CACAAAATTGACCATAAAGAGATAATAAACTCTCTCCTATTATTTCTGAAATTGGCATAGCCTAGATCCTATAGAGTAATGTCCTTGACGACTCAATGACTTGCGACACATTGAATCTCATGAAGTATGATTCCCTAATAATAATTATCTACGATCCACTTTAATGATGTGTTAGTTCCTAAGCGACTGCATTCTTTGAAAGAATAAACGTTATTTGAAATGGAATGTATTAGTCCTTTAAGCACCGCAAAAGGTTGAATACTGATTATCAGAGAAATATGGCTTACTGATATATAAGACAGTCCAAACTTAGGATATAAAAATTCTCCAAATATGCACCTTCACAACTTTATCACTTTGTATCTAAAATTTAATTTTATTTAAATCAGAACGATTCACTTGAATTTGCACTTTATTACTTTCCTATAAATGTATCTATTTAAAGTTTTTGGTTAATATGAAATTAATATTTAAAGGAATATATCTCTTATGGGATTATTATATATATACCACTAGTGAAACACAAGGACTAATTCACAGACACAATTCACTTAATTATAAGAGAACCACTTTATGAAGTATTTCTTCGTTCTAATATAAAATCTTTATTACCTTTATTATTTATTTAAAAATCCAATTTACCTTAGCTAGTAAGTCCATGTGGTATCGAACCCCGCAGGCCCTCCAGAAGATGAACCCGTCACTGGATGGAGACTGTTGGCGCTGCCATGCAGCCACAGGATTGCTCCTCCATATTTGGTGGGAATGCCCAAGAGTCAAACCTTTCTGGAAGGCGATCAACACCATCCTACAGACGTTTTCTGACAAATCCCCTCCCTTTCGGCCCGCCCCATTTCTCCTACACCATACCTCTTCACCAACTGCTAAATATAAGAAATCCGTGGCGATTTGGATCTTAAATACGGCACAGCAGATCATCCCCCTGTTCTGTAAACAGGACAAATCGCCCATACTGTCTGGTTAAATATGGAATGAAAGACTTAAGACGACTGGAAGAATTGATTTACATAGCACAGGACCGCTCCCAATTGTACGCAGATATTTGGACATATTGGCTGACAACTGCCTACACTTCTTCTTCCAGGGGTTACTGACATATGAGACCTGAGGAGAGGAGTAAGCGAGGGGAAGGAGGAGAAGGGGGCCACCGCGTAATGGGGTCTCGGGTTGCCAGCTGTGAGCGACAGTAACGTTCCAACAGAGTTCTAGGGACGTTGACACCCCTTACCTCTGACCTATAGGCCCCTATGCTGAGACGCCTTGTTTGTGACGTTTTTGCAGACGACCGCAGCCCGCTTCTTGGACAGGCTTAGGGCAGGTGCATGGGTATTATGGAGTACTGCTCCTCGCTAACCAAGACGGACTGGCGAGGGGAGGGAGGTGCTCTCAAACCACTTAAGCTATTCTCTTACCAGTACTACTTTGCTCTTGGAACATGAGTAGATGGAATTGGTGTATTAACCTGTTTTACATTATATCATAAATACTTTCAGGGCCACCATCAGAAATTTTGGGGCCCCTGACAAAGCACAAGGTTTGGGCCCCCCCCTCCCTCCCGGGCCCGCACACGCCCTACCTGGTCCGCTGACAATGATGCAAGACTGAATGTGGTGTGTATAGTGGAAGTGAATTAGAATGTGTGTAATGGATGTAGTGTTTGTGTGTATTAGATACTGTTTGTACAGTGAATGCAGAGTGTGTGTTTGTGTAGCGGATGCATTGTGTGTACAGTTAATGCAGAGTGTATGTTAGTATAGTGAATGCAGAGTGTGTGTCAGTATAGTGAATGCAGAGTATGTCAGTGTAATGAATGTAGTGTGTGTGTTAATGCAGTGAATGCAGAGTGTGTGTTAATGTGTAGTGAATGAAGAGTGTGTGTTAGTGTAGTGAATGCAGAGTGTGTTAATGTGTAGTGAATGCAGAGAGTGTGTTAGTGTGTAGTGGATGCAGAGTGTGTGTTAATGTGTAGTGAATGCAGAGAGTGTGTTAGTGTGTAGCGGATGCAGAGTGTGTGTTAGTGTAGTGAATGCAGAGAGTGTGTTAGTGTGTAGTGGATGCAGAGTGTGTGTTGTGTTAGTGTATGCAGTGTGTGTGTTGTGTTAGTGTATGCAGTGTGTGTGTGTGTTGTGTTAGTGTATGCAGTGTGTGTTGTGTTAGTGTATGCAGAGTGTGTTGTGTTAGTGTATGCAGTGTGTGTTGTGTTAGTGTATGCAGAGTGTGTGTTGTGTTAGTGTATGCAGTGTGTGTTGTAGTTAGTGTATGCAGAGTGTGTGTTGTGTTAGTGTATGCATGTTAGTGCATGTGTGTGTGTTGTGTTAGTGTATGCAGAGTGTGTGTTGTGTTAGTGTATGCAGTGTGTGTTGTGTTAGTGTATGCAGAGTGTGTGTTGTGTTAGTGTATGCAGAGTGTGTGTTGTGTTAGTGTATGCAGTGTGTGTGTGTGTTGTGTTAGTGTATGCAGAGTGTGTGTTGTGTTAGTGTATGCAGTGTGTGTGTGTTGTGTTAGTGTGCAGAGTGTGTATTGTGTTAGTGTATGCAGTGTGTGTTGTATTGGTGTATGCAGTGTGTGTGTGTGTTGTGTTGGTGTATGCAGTGTGTGTGTGTTGTGTTTGTATGCAGTGTGTGTGTGTTGTGTTAGTGTATGCAGAGTGTGTGTTGTGTTAGTGTATGCAGTGTGTGTTGTATTGGTGTATGCAGTGTGTGTGTGTGTTGTGTTAGTGTATGCAGTGTGTGTTGTGTAAATGTGCAATCTGGGGGGGAGGGGGAGGAAGGGGCATTTTAACATTAATTTTTAATTAATTTAATTAAATGTTTCTCCCCCCTCCCTGCTTACCTGTGTCCATGGAGGGGGGAGATTCCATCCGTGGTGGTCCGGTGGGGGCCCCCGGCTCCCTGTTACCGTCCGCAGAGGGGGCCCAGGCAGCACACAGCTTCTCCTCTTCTAATAACTCTCGCTAGACCCGCGGAGCGTTGCCATGGTAACCGGGTCTCGCGAGAGTTATGAGAAGAGAGACGAGAGGAGGAGAAGCAGTGTGCTGCCTGGCTGGGCCCCCTCTGCGGTAACAGGGAGCCGGGGGCCCGCGGCTGCCCACATAGATAGCGATATTCACTATCTATGTGTGCAGAGAAACAAAGTGGGGCCCAGGACTGCCAGAGCAGTCCGGGCCCCCCAGGGCCGCCGGGCCCGTGACAACTGTCACGGTTGTCACCCCCTGATGGCGGCCCTGAATACTTTAATTGATCGCAATGGACCTGCACGACTTGAAAAGTTTATTATGACAGTCCTGTGCGACCCACGAATGGTTGCTGATTTGGACCTGTGTCTCTACGAATGTTGCATTTGCTGTTCTACTTGACGATCAATAAAAATCTTATTCAGAGAAAAAAAATCCTATTTACATTGGAAACTTATGTCATATTGAAAGATTCACTTGCATTTAACAATTTATTTTATTTTATATTTTTGCAGTGCAAAAGATTGGTACATACATGCCTGAGGTACCCCGACGGCAATCCTTGAGCATCATGTCATGCTAACAATTGGGGTTATTAGAGTAAACTTTCACAATTTATATTAGAGTAACCAGGCCATGATTAGGTTGAAACCTGAACAGGCTAAGTGTGAAGGAGTTTTGCTGCTAGGAGCATGAGAGTTGGTGCAGGAGAGTCAGTATGTGTTTATTGCAGACTACAGTGTGGCTCCTTGCGGTTGGTGGGTGATTCCATGTCGTTGCTCCGTGACCCAGGTTGGGGCCCCACTGGTCGGTAGGCTAAGCGTTCATCCAACACCCCTGCAGGTGTTATAGTTTTATTTTGGGCTCAGTTATTTTGGGGGCGCACAAACAGCCACGTGGAGGTGAGGCACCCCTTCAGCCCCGGTGCCGTGGGAGAGCAGGCACCCTCTTGCCATGAGCTTGGGATCTGTTGCGGTCCAGGGTCCTCCCTGTCAGGATGGTGCGGTGGGTCTTTCTGCCATTTGAGTGTTGTCCTGTGGCCCTCTGCTTGTGTGGCCAGTACCTATGGGTTGTGACCCTTGGTGCTCTCAGCCCGGATGGGCGTCTTGCGTGGGTTACTAAGATTTGGGGTGTCGCTGTACCCTTAAGAGGTTTCCCAGGCCTCCTCTCGCTGCCAATGTGGTCCTGTGCAGTCGATACTTGAGTCGTTATAGCTGGCCTTGTGCGAGCCAGCATCCCAGCCCAGAAGCATTCAAAGATACTGTTAAGAGTATCCCTTACTTTGCTACTAGGGCCTGGCATGTCCGGTCGCTGCGGTTGCGGATCACGTATCTCTGGGTCTGATGGGTCTGCCATTTTGGAGGCCTCCACTCCCCCGTAGCTTGAGAGGACTGCAGGACCCACAAGAAGGTAAGGGGCATGGGCTACTCCGTCTATCAGGGACCGGGATATCCCCCACCGGTCCATCGGGGGGAAGCGTTATAGCGAGTCACTCGTGGCAGCGGGAGGAAAGCGGCCGCCTTTCCCCTCCACCTTCACTAGTAGGCCTTAACTTGCCGCGGCGGGTCCCGGTCGTTCCGGGTGTGGAGTTTTGTATCTAAGGGTATCGGCAGATTTCCCCAATCTCTATAGTTTCTTTTGGGGAGATTTCCATCACTGCAGCCCTAGATTACGGCATGTATATTGCCCGTTCAGTAGGAACTCGTGCGAGGCACGTATTGTCGGCCCACTAGTCAGGCTCCGCCCCCCCGATTCACTTGTATTTAACTGAGTATTTTAATTGGGATTTTGTAATTACCCAGTGTTTGTGAAATCTCACTGATACTAGATATATTTTTATATCTTTTATATTTTTATGAATATTATGGACTTTTTCCGCTCTTATTATGAGCGATGGAATGCAAGTTGCCGAATGGAACGCAAGCCTATACGTCATTGTGCCTGGTTTCAGTTTGGAAGAGAGGCTTGAGACGCATTTCCAGAAACGTCACGTGGATGTATCCGGAAGTACTAGAAGTGACGAACCCGGAAGTATGTTGCCGATCGGCTCGGACACTCTGCGCACCAAGATCAGATAAGTATAAAAGAAGCATGTCCCTGAGGAAGTTCAAATGATTGAACGAAACGCTTAGGGCCATTTTGATAAGTGCAGAGTTTTATCTGTTTTTTATTTGTTTCTTTATTTTGGATGCTGTTTTTTCCGGTGTTCCTTTTTTCTGGGATCCTGTGATTGAACCATTTTATATGATGTGCCTGTTTTTCACTTAAGTGTCTATTTTGACAGAGATACTCTGCACTATTATTTTGTATCTTTTTTCCTCTATATTTGCCATGATGCTCCACAAGTCCTGAGGTTTCTACTATCTTTATGATATGCCTACAATCAATTTTGGTTTGTGAGTGTGATTATTGCATTTACTTTCCACCCTTAATTGTTGCAACACTATTGCACTATCTTTTTCTCTGTTATTATTGTTTTGTGGATCCGATGATGCATAGTTGGATGCCTGATAAAAATGTCAATTCAAATTGTCACGATGAATGTGAAAGGTCTAAACATCCCTCAAAAAAGAGGCTGTCTCTATAAACTTTTAACAGAGCATAAAATTGATGTTGCCATGATACAGGAAGCCCACTGGGTTCTTGAGGGGAAAAAATCTGGAAGTTAAATAAATACCCTAATATTTATTCAGCCAGTTTAGTTGGACAAAAAAAAAAAAAGAGAGGGGTGGCCATTGTGGTTTCAGATAAAGTTAAAGTGGAGGTGGTCCATCAAGTCCTAGACAACAGTGTTTTTTTTTCAGATTTTAAGTGTTAAAGGACCACTACATGGACCCAGACCACTTCAGCTTATTGAAGTGTTCTGAGTGCCAGGTCCAGCTAGGTTTAACCCTTTTTTCTATGTTTACATATGGGCTAATCCAGCGTCTAGTGTCTGAGTGCCAGGTCCAGCTAGGTTTAACCCTTTTTTCTATGTTTACATATGGGCTAATCCAGCGTCTAGTGTCTGAGTGCCAGGTCCAGCTAGGTTTAACCCTTTTTTCTATGTTTACATATGGGCTAATCCAGCGTCTAGTGTCTGAGTGCCAGGTCCAGCTAGGTTTAACCCTTTTTTCTATGTTTACATATGGGCTAATCCAGCGTCTAGTGTCTGAGTGCCAGGTCCAGCTAGGTTTAACCCTTTTTTCTATGTTTACATATGGGCTAATCCAGCGTCTAGTGTCTGAGTGCCAGGTCCAGCTAGGTTTAACCCTTTTTTCTATGTTTACATATGGGTTAATCCAGCGTCTAGTGGCTGTCTCATTGACAGCCGCTAGAGGCGCTTCTGTGCTTCTCACTGTGTCCATAGGAAAGCATTGATATGGACTGGCTGAATGCGCGCTCCGCTCCTGCCACGCATGCGCATTAAGCCAAGGAGACGGAGAGGAGGAGGAGAGTCCCCCGCCCGGCGCTGGAAAAAGAGGTAAGTTTAACCCCTTCCGCCCCCTAGAGCTCGGCGGGAAGGGGACCCGAGGGGACGAGTATGTTTTCCTGGCACTATAGTGGTCCTTTAAATTAAATGCTATCTTATAGACATTAGTGAATATTTATGCCCCAAATAAATCACTGCTGAAATTTCTGAAAAAATTACAAGATAAAGTGGAATCTATACAATGTGGTAGATTGATTATTGGCAGCGATTTTAACTGCGTAGTCCATACTAAACTAGATAGAAATAGCAACCAAAAACCACTCAATAAGGCTAAAACCAGCTATTCAGAGGTGGAGATCCGTGAGTTTTTAAGTGTTTTAAGTGTTCTTTTTGAGTATTGGCGAGTTTTTCATCCTAATAATCAGGAATACACTTTCTTTTCTCCTGTACATGAGTCTTACTTGCATATAGATCTTTTTCTCACTACTTGAAATGGTTTGGAATTTTCTCAAAAGGTAGGTAGGTATCTGTAGTATTACTTGGTCTGACCATGCCCCAGTCTTTTTGGAAGTATCAAATAATGTGAATTATAAGAGTAGAACAAGATGGCATCTCAATGAAAGCTTGTTGGCTTCTAATCTCGATTTGGACCACCTACAAAGAGAAACTGAGAGATTTATTGATATTAATGATAATAGGTTTGTCTCATTCCCTATCCTATGGTGTACCTTCAAGTGTTTTGTCCGTGGGTTATTAATTAAACTATCCAAAAAAAGGATAAGAAGGAAAGTACACTCTCTGACTTAAACATCAAACTCTCTAAATTAGAGGGATTGAATATGTCTAGGATTTGTTCTATAAGAATTAGTGAGATTGATAGAATTAAAAAAGATATAACGGAAAAAATCCTTACTTCAGTCAATAAAGCTATCCTATATTTAAAACAAAGGTGGTATCACAACAACAAAAAAGTTGGAAAATTACTATCAAATAAACTGAAAAATTCAAAGAAACAAAAAGTTATTAACAAACTTACAGTAAATAATAAATAATTTTATGCCCCTACGGAAATTACTGAAATCTTTTCTAACTGTTATAAGAAACGTTATAATCTTAAAATAATGAGTCTCCCAAAGATAACATTAGAAACTATTTGAACAATCTAGAAATTCCTAAAGTTAATAATGAAGATCTTCAGAGATTGAATGAGCCTTTTTTTCCGAATGTGAAATTAAAAACTTCATTTCAAACCTGAAACCATCTAAAGCACCAGGTTCTGTTACTCTGCTTTATTCTATAAAACATTTCAGGACATTATAACCCCTTTCTTATTAAAGACATTTAAAAATTTTACCACTAAAGGCATTCCAGATGAGATGTTACAAGCCACTATTTCCCCAAACTTAAAAACAGGGAAAGATCCTTCCCTACCCTAAAAATTATAGACCTATTAATCTCGATGTAAAGATTTTCTCTAAAATTATAGCCAACAGATTAAAATTAATAATCCACAAAATTATTCATTCGTCATGGACAGAAATCCAATAGACAACACCCGTAAGATTATAAATATACTCCACAGATCTGGTCAACTTAAAGTTGGAGTTGCCTTATTAGCCTTAGATGCCGAAAAGGTATTTGACAGAGTCATCTGGAACTTCTTATATTTGGTCCTAGATAGCTTTGGTCTGACTGGCTCTGTCAAACACAATATAATGTCTTTATACACTAATCCCACTGCCAAGGTGGTCAGACCCCTTTTTGAATCAAATTGGTTTACAATCTTTAATGGGATTCGCCAGGGTTGCCCCTTGGCACCCCTGCTCTACATACTTTCCATTGAACCCTTGGCAATTTCAATTAGCCAAATAATGAGATACAGGATATTCAATTTGGGAACTTAAATAGTGAATTATCTTTATTATTATAATTGCCATTTATATAGCGCCAACAGATTCATCTTCTGTGTGTGTTCAATCTTATAAGATGTAATTTCCTGAGCTATTAATGCGATTTCTTTCCAGAGAGTATTTACCTTCTCACATGACCACCACATGTGCAGCATGGTACCCAGGGGCGTATTAGCCGCGAGGCAAACAAGGCATTTGCCTTGGGCGGCATTTTTCAGGGGGCGGCAAAAAAGCCGCCCCCATATGCCCAGGGCAAATGCCTAGTTAGCCTCGCAGCTAACAGACATGCCGAGCGGGCAGCGCTGGGCGGGCGGCCGGCGAGGGAGCTCTTCCCCTGAGCGCTCTGCTAAGCTCCCTTGCGCGGCGCCAGCAGAGTGAGGCCTGGAGCCGGAATGTGACGTCATATTCCGGCTCCCGGCCTCACTCTGCTGGCGGCACGCGAGGGAGCTGAGCAGAGCGCTCAGGGGAAGAGCTCCCTCGCCGGCCGCCCGCCCGCCCTGCAGCCACTGGACCCCAGGGAGAGGAAGAACCCCCCCAGCATTCCCAAAGGTAAGGAGGCTGGGGGGGTTAAATAAAAAATAAAAAAAACACAAGTGAGTGTGTTAGTGTGTGTGTGTGTGTCTGTTAGTGTGTGTGTATGTTAGTGTGTGTGAGTCTGTTAGTGTGTGTCTGTCTGTTAGTGTGTGTCTGTTAGTGTGTGTGTGAGTCTGTTAGTGTGTGTGTGTGTCTGTTAGTGTGTGTGTCTGTTAGTGTGTGTGTTTGCCTGTTAGTGTGTGTGTGTTTGCCTGTTGGTGTGTGTGTGCGTGTGTCTGTTAGTGAGTGTGTGTTTGCCTGTTAGTGTGTGTGTGTTTGTCTGTGAGTGTGTGTCTGTTAGTGTGTGTTTCTGTTAGCTAGTGAATGCGTATCTGTCAGTGAATGTGTGTGTGTGTATTTAGAAGGCGGAGCAGGGGGGAAGGGTTGGGTGGCGGTTGAGCGGGTGGGGGTAGCGCAGGGGGGGTGCCTGAGTTTTATCCTGCCTAGGGCAGCACAAAACCAGGATACACCACTGATGGTACCTTTATGTAAATGGCACCTCCAGCATATGTCTTCTCTTTCCGGGTTGATTGATCTAAGACAGGTTGGTACCATATACCATCTGTATAATATCTTTCGGGATGTTTCAAAATGTGCAGCGCATGAAGAGAGTCCTTCATGTGCTATAAAGATTTCTCCATTCTTCTTGCGATATCGTTTCTTGAATATCCGTTTGCCAGTCTGTCATAAATTTCCATGTAGTTATTTCTTGTAAATTATTAAGGTTATCATAACAAGTCGATAATGTTTTCTTTGGTGGGGATATTGCTGCACACATTTGTTAAAATTTTGTATTAGAGGAGCATAAAGTTTGTTGGATTGTACTTGTCTTATTGTTGGTCATAAGTGCTTTTATTTGAAGGTATGAAAAGATAAACTGTGAAGGAAGTTTGAATTCCACCTGAAGATCAGGGAAAAGCTTTAAGGCTTCTGTTTTGTATAGGCAGAAGATATGTGTAATTCCTCTGCGTAAGGAAATGTGTTGTTGCAATCATATAAAATTTTGATAGGAGTCGCCAGTGACCATGGGTGTGCCGAGCATAATTTTCCTCTATTTGTATCCCAGATACTAAGTAGAAGCCTGGTAGTGGGTAAGGTATCCGGGGATATTTTTCATCTTTGCTGAGGCATCCATATTAAAGAAGGTAAATCAAAGGTTCCACTGTCTTATAGTAAACATTCCAATTATAGAATTAATATCAATAAATCTCAAATTACTAACAAAGCCTTGGCTGATATAAAAACACACTTCCAATGTGATTGGAATAAGCTCTTTATTGACTATCTTGGCTTTAAAATTACTCCACAATTATATGACATGGTTGACATTAATTATTTAAATGTATATAGAATATAGAATGCACACTATAACAATCTCAAAAAAAACTTTGCTTTATTATGTACAAAAAAGTACCAGAGTGAAAACATATAAGAAAAGATAAACAAAGTGACAGAAGCAAGGGCAAACACAATAAAACAATAGTAAATTACCACAAAAATTCTTACAAGCCTCAAGACAGAAACACGAGTCACCAAACCCCCCAACGTTTCGGCACCAACTGGCTGCCTTTATCAAGGGTACCCATAAGTACTTTTATTTGAAGGGTACCCTTGATAAAGGCAGCCAGTTGGTGCCGAAACGTTGGGGGGTTTGGTGACTCGTGTTTCTGTCTTGAGGCTTGTAAGAATTTTTGTGGTAATTTACTATTGTTTTATTGCGTTTGCCCTTGCTTCTGTCACTTTGTTTATCTTTTCTTATATGTTTTCACTCTGGTACTTTTTTGTACATAATAAAGCAAAGTTTTTTGTTTTTTTTTAGATTGTTATAGTGTGCATTCTATATTCTATATACATTTGAATATTTAAAGCACTTGAGGGAGTGTTTATATGGTTTGCACCTGGCTGTTCTTATACTATTTTGTCTCTCCATGTGCTGTTGTTTTGACATTAATTACTTAAAACAGTCTCAAATTATCTTACCTCTCGTAAAGGATTATAAATGTCATGGCTAGGCCGTATCAGTGTTTTAAATGCCTTTGTACTCCCTGGAATATTAAATCTATTTAGAACTATTCCTTTCAGGATGGATTATAAAATATTGGCCAAAGATGTTTGGGGAATATGTTAGGATGGATAAAAAACCCAGAATAGCATTTAATATTCTTACCAAAAATTAAAAAGAAGGAGGGTGTGAAGAAATCCCCCTTTTATTACACTATTTTCTGCCTATTGCATTCGGTAGATGTAACTACCGAACAAAGACCACCCCCCTGGCTCGTTAAACATCAAAGACTGTTTCAATTGATGCCTCTGTCTGTGCGGCCAGCGTTCGTACTGACGAACGCCACGTGGCAGAGAAAACCGTGGCCATCTTTGTTCATGCGAACAAAGGCAGCGGGACTTGGTCGTCGAGTGTATGGAACTGAAATCGGACACTCGACTTCCCGAACACCGGTCTCAAACAGACGAACGCTGGAACTCTACTTACCGAATACCTAGAAGAGCGCTATTCGGTACTTTGGTGCATTCAACGGAGGGGAACGATCGCTGCTAAGAGCCAGGGGGATCCATTCGGTACTTTGTTTGCTTTTCTCCTTTTTCTAAAGTGACCGGCAAAACCCACCAAACTCATGGAACTGTTTTGGGCATACAGCCCAGGGTGAGCCGGTCACAGAAGACCTCCATAGTTTTTGAGAACCCCTGAACCGATCTGGGTGAAATTCGGATATGTTGGTCACCCAGATCAGGGCTATCAGTGGACATGGTATTTGTGGGGATACTCCAAGTATAAAGGGGTGTCCCAGTTATTGGGGAAAAATGTGATTTTTCTGCCTGGAGATAATTAAGTTATTATTTTATCAGGCTTAATTATCTCCAGAGCTAGGGGAGGGAACTGTGGGTGTGTGTTATGTTTTACAGTACGTGATTGGTTAATCTTTGTCCCTCCCTGAGGGATGTCCCCTTGCATGGGGACTTGCATAAAAGCCTGTGTGCACCCATTAAAAGTTAGTTCATTTTGTACCCTTCTTCTTGACTTCGGCTGATGTTTGGGGATTCGTGTGTTTCACTAAGGGAATCATCTTGTGAAGCTATTGGGATTACTATATGGTTCGTCTACTTTATCTACCAAACAGAGGGCTATAATCACTAAGGCTCTGGCGGTTCGGGAGGAAACTACCGAATGAGGGTTAAAAATACTTGGTTTCCTTACAGAGGGGTATCCTATCCAGACATATATCTCCTTCATGAAGCCACAATGCTAGCCCACTACATGTCTTATTTAAACTCAAATTCACAACTTACCGATTGGTATTTTATTGAAAAAACAGAGTTGAGATCAAATAACACACTTCATATATTTTGGTCGATCCTTCCTTTGATTAAACTGAAAATTTCTCAGAACCCGATTGTGAAAGATATAGCAGTTACATTGATAAAGTTAAAGAAAAGATTTGGTTTAATTAACAGTATATCATTAGAAACCCCAATAGAGACGCTTCCCTATGATTTAGCTGATTTAAATATTATACAATAGAAATCCAGGGGTATCCTTAAAATATCAGACTTAATAGATGACGGGGCTGTAATTCCCTTTGCCCAATTACAAGGAAATTTCGGTCTTCCTAATAATGAGGTTTATTTAAGAATGAAAAATTACTTTACGAGTAGGAGTATTATTCCAACCCATTGTCTTGATGAGCTATTTAAAAATTTCATTGTCAAAAAAAAGAAGTTAATATCTAAGATTTGGAGATGTTTTCATTCCTATTTCTGAAATACCGGAGTGGGGAACAATGAGGCATCCCCCATAATAAAACGGGAATCGAACTTAGTTTCCCACTTTCCCCGGGAAGTATGGCTGTCTGAGATTAAAAGCCTTTCTCAAAATATTCATTGTATCTCTATTTACAGATAGTATTTAGTTCCCACCAGACTCAAAAAATTTGTAAGCAACTCCTCTGACATGTGTTGGAGATGCCAAGCGGAGAAAGGAAATCTTTTACATATATGGTGGGAATGTGCTAGCTTAGACTCGCTTAAATCTCAAATATACTCATGTTTTCTGTATCTCTTTTCGTATACAAAACTTACCCCACATATGTTTTTATGGAATATTGATTATCCAAATTGTCAAAAAAGCCATGATTAGATAATAATGCAATACTGTTTGCAGCAAAATTGGTGCTGGCACCCAATTGGAAATCACCCTTCTTAAGGTGGTCAAACATATGTAATCAAATCACATACCAATATAAAATGGAACTTAGTTTTTATTTTGAGAGAGGCTCAATCGAGAAATTTGAAGAATGGTGGTAACTAGTGATGTCCGGAACGGTTCGCCGCAGACAGCGAACATAAACATAAACTTTGACCCTGTACCTCACAGTCAGCAGACACATTCCAGCCAATCAGCAGCAGACCCTCCCATCTTCTGGACAGCTCACTAAGAATGCAGCTTCACAATGAATGTAAAATTGATGCTGTCAAGGAGGTGGGAGGGTCTGGGAGGGAGGGTCTGCTGCTGATTGGCTGGAATGTGTCTGCTGACTGTGAGGTACAGGGTCAAAGTTTATGTTTATGTTCGCCGTCCGTGGCGAACCGTTCGGCCAACCGTTCGCGTCATCACTAGTGGTAACCCTAGAAGAAATATTTGGTCCATCTAAAGCTGGCAACAGACTGATCACTTTTAGATGGATCCACCCATTCCGCCACCCCAATGGCTTCAAACTTATTTATTTACTTCTTCTTTTCTTTTTTGCACTCTATTTATTTTTGTTTCTGTACGACTGGGATGTAAGAATTAATGTTTTTATACTTCTACACTCACGGTATAAATAATATAAACAATTGCGCTTCTGATATTGTATTTTATACCTTTAAGTTTGTCTATTTGAAATTTGTCTATAGAAGTGTAATCATTAAGAAATTGTAAATGATAAAATTTTCAATAAAAACGAGAAAAATCAAATAAAAAAATAAGCTAGAGCCTAGTGGCATCATGAAAATTTTAATGATTGAATTGTTTTAATGAAAATGTTTAATTCTCTCCTGATTTAAAAAAAATAATAAAAATCAATATATAATTTTTAATGTTAATATCTCTTTAACATATCTCTCTAGAGAATCTATTTAATGTCGCTATTGTACATTATTCAAATACTAACATTAAACCATTGTGTATCATCACACAGATTGCTTCTTCCAGCTGGGGGAGTTGTCGTTTGCCTTGGCAGATTATGAGGAAGCTTTTGAGTTAGATGCCACAGACTGGGGTGTGCGGACTCGTGTAGCCAAAGTTCTGGACGAAATGGGACTGCAGGCTCAGCAGCGGAGGTTGGCAATGATACAGGGCAACATGTACATATAAGAAATAGTTTATGAAATGCCAGTACCTAAGCATTGAATTCTTACAGGCAGTACGAGAAAGCTGAAAGCCATTTCTCTGAAGCCATCAATAAACAACCCCTACTGCCACAGTTGTATCTACATCGGGCTCGTGTCAGACGTTGGCTACAGAACACAGCAGATGCAGAAGAAGATGCTGTTATCTCTGTTGTGTTAAACCCATACAGTGATGAGGTACTTCTGTCGTAATTTACATACATTGGGGTTTTCCCCTAACTTGTGGAGCTAAAGAATCTGTACTTCAGCATGCGATGAAGCAACGGACAAAATGCATTCATTTAATTGTAGCCATTAGGGCACTATGCGACTTTTTGTAAGACCCTTTAAGGAGATGAGTTTTCAGGGAACATTTGCAGACAGGTAAGAATGGAGAGAGATGACTATGACATAGCAGTGGGATCTAGAAGTGTGGGGTAGTTTGGGAAACATCTTGTTGAGAGAAATTGAGAAAAATTGAGAGTTTCAGGCCATGAGAAGAGCAGGTACAAGGAAATAAGAGCTTTGAAGGTATTTTTTATACTCAATTAGATACTGATGACTTCTCAAATTATAGAAGAGTTTAGAGTTCGGATGTTTTACAATTCTTTCCTTCTGGAAATACTGACAAAACCTGGACTGTTGGTGTGCCCGAAAGACTGGAGTGGGAACCCAGGAGATAGAGAGCCAGGAAATGATTATTCCTCCATATTAACTATTATCCTTTATGGAGCAACCATATATATCCATGTAACTTCATGGAAAGGCATGAATGGAACAGGACGTGGAACCTATTATGAAGAATGTTCCCCCAAATTAAAATGACCTATTCAAATATTCCTTACACTATTTCCAATACAAAAACACAAAGTATAGGCAGTCCATAGCAGTAGAAGTACTAGGACACAAACTTGCAGATGATGGACTCATTTAACCAGTTTAGTGTCTGAAGATGTTGAGTGCACTTATAGTAAAGCTATTTAAAACATAATAAAACAGTTCACAGGGTCTGATGTTTAAAGGATCACGATAGTGTCAGGAAAACAAAGCGGTTTTCTTGACACTATAGTACCCTGAGGGATCCCTTCACCCTCAGGGTCCCCCTTCCGTGGTGCTGAAGGGGTTAAAACACCTTCAGTTACTCACCTTTTTCCACCGCCGGGCTCCCTTAACTCTCCTCCCCCGCCGACGTCAGTTCCCCCGTCTGACATCAGCGGAGCGGAATGCGCATGTGCGGCAGTTCCACACGCACATTCAAAGTGTCCATAGGAAAGCATTTTTCAAAGTGTCCGGAAAACAGCCACTAGAGGCTGGCTTAACCCCAAATGTAAACATGGCAGTTTCTGTTTACAGCAGGCAGGGTTCTAGAGGGACTTGGCACCCAGACCACTTCATTGAGCTGAAATGGTCTGGGTGACTATAGTGTCCCTTTACTGTGCAGTCTTCATTTTATTTAGATTTCCATACAAAGAGAGGTTGTCAGTTGGTTATCAAGAAAGAATGGTGCTTAGTGGCAATGAAGGCCTATAGCATTAATAAATGAAGGAATATTTGCAACTAATGTCAATCCATCATGTCTCTATCACATTGAGCAGCTGACTAGCAGATCGCTGACATCCAGTTTTGCTCACACAGGCAGCTCCTGCAGTGATGAATTTCTTTCCTGGTAAAACCGTGGAGGAGATTGTGAGCAGTAAACTGGCCCAAGCAGCTCGTAGTGCCGTGGAAAGGAATCTGAAAGGTCTTCCTATTACCTGGAAAGACACTGGGTAAGTTACTGTGCTGGGTGGGAGCTCATCAGGAATGGATCATCTTAGTGAATATGATTGACCCAAGACAAATCTTACCAGTGCCCAAACAATAGGGTATTTTTTATTTTTATTTTAAATCTTTTTTTATTGAGTTTTTATAGACATGGAGACAAAAGAGTTGTAGGCATGCAGGCCCCACCACACAAATACATGCAGATATTACACAGATATACAGCTTGTGTGGTTCCATTTGTGTTATCAGGTGTTGTACAATTGCGGGTGGTGGAACTCGTGTTTCATAGTAAAACTATGGAGCCTTCCCCAATAATAGCTTATGTTTATATCTACCTATGGTTCCATAAGGCTTCCTGTGTCTGTTGTGTAAGTCAGTCCCTCCCAACTCCATGTCAATGTAGTTAGGTCTGCGAGAGAGGACAGCCAAGAAAGATGCAGGAGGTAAGTAACTAAAGAGAAAAGGAGCAGACAAAGTCCCCTACTGGCACCCATGTCTCCCATGTGTGTACCCATTCAAAATCTGAGATATGTACTAACATATGAAACAGTGCATGCATCGCAACAAAGTGTTGTTATGAAACTTATGAAACAGTTATCACATGTTACACATGTGGCCTCCTGGACAGTCTATTATCGTTTCCCTACCACAACTTTATGATTAAGTAAACCGCAGTGGCTAACAAGTTATTCCCGGTTCACAAACATTATACTTGTTTTGTATGGAACTCTGCGTTGTATAGCGTATATTATTGAGCATGTTGCACCAAGCGCACCCCAGCAGTAGCACATGCCAGATTTTTCCCTTTGCCGATTAGGCTGATATAAGTATTAGGAAGGAGTGTCAATCTTTTCCTGCTCTGGTCATGAGAATAAAATCAGAGAAAGAGAACAACGTGAATATAGAAAGTGGAAGAAGAAATTAAGCCAGAGAGGTTCCTGCATGCAGGCGGGCGAGCGACCACAGGCACCCCACACATAATCCGCTTGTGCAAGCATTATAAGTCACGCGCCATATATACAAACCATGGTTGCCAAGCGTCGGCGTGTCTGTGACCCGTCCCGAGCAGGGAGGCATGCATAACAATAGGGTATTTAAGGTGTTTTAAAACTCCAGTCAGTACACAAATGCTCCTATACCCCTTGTGACTCCATCTATACCTGGTGGTTTAGTAGGAGAGCAGGAGATGAGTTCCATGAACTTTCTCTTAGACAGACACTCTTTGTAGTTTTCCACTAATACAATAAATACTGTATTGCCAGAACGTGCAGGAATGAGAAACCCTAGTTGCCCTGGCTACAGATCCCAGCTCCACGACTAGTCACCAGGGTTTAGAAAGATGGACCTTAAGGTAAGCACTGCACACTTGCTGCAGGAAAGTAGGAAGAAGAGATTAAGGATCAGGGTGATGGACACTGCATGCCTGTGGTTCAATGCCCACTAGCACTGGTCTGCCTTGTGACATTATCAGTTATAATGGAGATTTCACGTGTTGATGGTGAACAGAGAAGCTGGACTGAATAGGATTGACCGGTTTCATTTTAATTAAGACCCAAAAACAGTCTCTATAAGGACGATGGACTGTCTGATTTATTGGTTCTCTCTTGCAGCCTCCACTTGCATAAAAAAGCAGAATCATCCGCTGCTCAAAAAGCAGAGGGCCTGGCTGTATGTATGAAGGAGGACCAGCTGATGGAGCAAGTGGTTCTGAGACACAGGAAGGTAAGTTGAGAAGAAGCAGTCTTTATAATGCGTGGCATCCTACACACTGCAATAAAATTAACGTATCATTTATAGCCACCCTGCTGAATGGATTCTCCAATTAAAATGGAAATCTGAGGTCAATGGATAATTTATTCTTAAAGGGACAGCCCAGCATTATAAATCAAAATTGAATTATAACTTATATTTGGTCAGTGAAGTGTCCCTTTACGTGCAGAGCAGGCACTACCTAAGTTCTTTTTTTTTTTTTTTATTCTTTATTTAACTGTTAGCATTGACATAACATGCTGACTTTCAGAGGTAACAATCATATCTGTTACAGACATAACATTTACATCCCATGCCAAACCCACTATCCACACTAGGGCAGATCGCCTCTCATCTCCTATATCCCACTGTGCATAGCTCCGAGTCCGTGAATTGCTCATGTGTCCCCCCTGTTCTCCCTCTCTCGCTTTCCTTGCCAATGCCAGGTTTCTTATTTTAACCAAACACGAGATAAACAGACAGAAACCAAAAAAAAATAAGTTTGTCTCCAACTCCCGAAACGTAAGCCATTCTGCTCCGCCTGGGCCATGGTCCCTCAATCGGTATCTCTCCCCCCCGCCAACTCCCTCCAGCAGGACAGCTCAATAGTTGGCTATACCCCATTAGTGGTCCTTCATACATGACCGTGGCCACCCCTTTGTCTATGTTATGGTATTCTCTTCTGCTAACAGGCTATCCCTATCACTTTCTAGAGAAGACTTACTAGTGTCCCTGCGGTAGAGTCAGCGGGAGACATCAATTCCCCATTTCTGCCCAGTGCGCCCCACGGAGACAAGGTAACGAAGCGATTGGTGCGCAGGAGACAGAAAGATAGAAAAGTAGTGTGACAGGTTGGTAGGGAAAAGAAGAAGACGGGGGGGAAGGGGGTGGCAGGGGGTGAGGGGCCACTGTCCTCTCCTCACGCTACATTCCTAGTGGGGAACTCTCCCACGGCTCCCAGATCCTCTGACTACCTAAGTTCTTAAAAAGGTTTGTGGAGGCTCACACTGTGTGTTGCATTGTCGTATTTATAAGTAGCCCAAGCAGAGCCACCCATACCTTTGCCCTCCCCAGCCCACATATCAATTTCAATAGCACAATGTAAAAATAGAAAATAGAAATGTATACAGAATGTCAGGTGCACTTAAAATATAAATAACAATCAATTAATGGTGGGGTTAATCATATAATTAGGAAGGGGTTTAAACCTCCATCCTTATGCTACAATGCCCTTCTCCAGGGATCGGCCCAAGAAAAGATGTCCTACATGACCCAGTGGGAGAGGGAGCTAAGGTGCACAATCTCACTGTCACAATGGCACAAAGCCATGGCGAACACTAAATGAGCCTCGAGGAGCTTATCACTCTGGGAGGCCTTCTGTAAAATCACGAGGTGGTATCTGGTGCCCTATAGGTTGTCGCACATCTACAGTGGAGCGTTAGAGCTTTGCTGGAGGTGTGAAGATAGGATAGGCACTATGCTGAATATATTTTGGGATTGCCCATCCTTAGGCAATTAATGGGAGTGGGTAGGATTACTTGTCTCCAAAACTATACACTGCAGCCTCCCTACAAACCAAAAAGGCTACCTCCTACATGTAATCTCCGAGTTAGTGAACCACCCCAACCGCAAGGTGATACTCAACATTCTCATGGTAGAAAAAATTAGTTTAGCGTTCTACTGGAAGAGCAAAACGGTCCCCTCAATGGAGAGTATCAGCCATAGGCTAGACATCATTAGCTCCTATGAAAAGATGGCATGTAGAGAATAAATACGCTCGAGACTGGGAAAGCTGATCCGCAAAGACAGAGGCAGAGGTCATCCACAAAAGCTAGAAAATAAATCCTGGAGCAGATAGGCTAGCGGGGCACACCAAGGCTCCAGCAAAGGGAAAGGCAGAGCAAAAGAGAAACAACTGACTGACAAAACGGTCAATGAGAACACAAAGTACTGCGGGACTACAGAGTAGACAACTAAAGGTATAGGAACATAGACAACAGGACATGGTAATGGATCAGTAACAATGTGATCCCACTATCCCTGTTTCCTTTCTGTATCCCTTCCCCCCCTGTTGATACTATGTTAATACAATGTTAGAATCTATAATATGGTTAAATAAAACACGCAAGCGACTAACTGACAATCAATGTGCATAGCTTAGGGACTTGTGCACTGAATATGCGACTCAGTCCTACAAGATAAGATTCTCAGCTCAACAACACAGAGTGACTACAAAACTGCATGTGGGCACACGAATTAGCTTGAATCAGTTGTTAATGAAGACAATGTATTAGAGCCATTTACAAGTGGAATGTGAGATATTGTTGTAATAATGCACAAATGAACATATTTCAATAAAAACGATACGTGGAAAAAAAAAAATTAGGAAGGGTTTTCTGGCACCAATGTTATTTGCTGGTTTATAGTCATGCTGGAAAAATATTCAGTGCAAATGAGTAACAGCATATTTTATGCACTTTTTAGTTAACATATATATATAATATTAAACAAAAATCTGCACACCAGTCAAGCCAGAAGACTTGCTTTTCCCACAGAAATCCCATAACTGCAGCTATGTTACAACCGCAAAGGATTCTTGGTGGGCATATGCAAATTAGTTTAACAAAGAATCAAATTTTTGCCTCATTCCATTTTAAACATAGATTCCTTTTAATCTGTGTTTGCTGTATACAACAGCTTGAAACACAATATAGGAAAACATGCAACACCAGTTAACCACTCATGGACAGCTGTTTCATTGTTAATGCAACTCGTCAGCATGAGGATGGTTACTGGTTTGCTTATTGAGGCTTGGTAGTGCTTGGGAAGCAAAATCCAAATAGGTTATGGTGGGGAAAAATTGTGATTGAAAACCCCTTCCACCTGAAGTCTGTGGATAATGTTAAACAAAAATTTGCACGCCACTCAAGCCATAACACTTGCTTTTCCCACAGAAATCCCATAACTGCAGCGATGTTACAACTGCAAAGGATTCTGGGTGGGCATATGCAAATTAGTTTAACAAAGAATCACATTTTTGCCTCATTCTATTTTAACCATGGATTCCTTTTAATCTGTGTTTGCTGTATACAACCGCTTGAAACACAATACTGTATAGGAAAAGATGCAAAACCAGTGAGCTACTCATGGACAGCTGTCAAACTGTTTGACAGCTGTCCATGAGTGGTTCACTGGTTTTGCATCTTTTCCTATATTGTGTTTCAAGCTGTTGTATACAGCAAACACAGATTAAACGTTTTTGCTGTATACAACAGCTTGACCTACAGCTAATTTTATACTATTTTCATTTATTTTACATTTGGTCTGGTTTGTACCAATAAAGTTGCTAAAAACAACGCCTATCATCCAGAGTCCTGATTTGCCTGAGAGTAAACAGATCCTGGAGGGTTTTAGAGCCCCCCATTTTTATCGGGGGAGGCACCTTTGGAGCGCATACGTACTACTTTTGTGAGTGTATTACATCATGGCGCAAATAGTTTTCATATACCGTATTACACTATATTTCTTAATTTTCGTATTTCTAAATGTTTACAGCTGTATCCCATTCACTATATATACATATGTTGTCAAGGGATTAATACCTGGGAAGTAATCTAAGAGAAGCTGTTCTTTAGATAAGTATTACGTTCTTACTTATTGTAATCACCCATACGATATAGTTTTGTGATGAAGGTTGTTTATGTTTTAACACCTGACATGGAGATATCACTATATTGGGAATTGTGGGGCACTGACCATGGATTTTTATATTAATAGACCAAAATGGGTGAGCTGGATAAATATCGCAATTTGACTGTTTAAATCTACATTTTGCAATTCTCTTCCAAATTCAACACAATTACCAGTTTAGAGAATAATCGCCATATGCTAATTTGCTTCGGAGAAATCACATGTTTCTTGCCGTTTTCCCCCAGATTAACACAGAGATCCAGACAGCTTTGAATAGAAGAGGTCGATTGCAGTCTAAACCTTCTCATGAACCTCAGTTGCCACCAGCTAAAGAGGAACCATGTAATGCCAGTGCACCCTATCACTGGAAGAACTTCAGTTCAGGCTTGGAACCTCCTGAATAATGACCTTGAGGTTATTCACCAAACTTGTTTGCAGAATTGAGACCAAAATGGCAAAGGTGGGGGAAAGAAACTCCCATTATTAAGATTTAATCCTGCATTAACATCCTGCACTCACAAAGAAATCCACCACTTATTAAATCAGCATTTTATTACTTGAAATGAGATACAAAGTGGATCATTATTCATTTGTAATATCTGTAGTAGATAAATGGAGTTGAAGATGAAGACCCTTTTAATTTTATACTGTAAAGCAGAATGCTCATTTGAGAAAATAAATTTTCACCTATATTATAAAAACAATGATTTAACAATTAAAAACATATGTTTAAAACCCAATCTGATTCTTCTCCAGTCTCTCCTAACCTCTAGTTTGGCCAACCTGACCGTATTCATTGTTGTATAATTTTGACTAAATAAATCACACAACTTTTACCGTATTATCAGTTAATTCTGGACTTTGACAACATTCCATCTTTTCTCATGATTACTTGGCCAAGCAGTAGTTAACAGAAGTGGTTGTAGTGCCTGGAGTACACTGGTGTCATACCTTCATTCAGTGTGAATTTCTGCTTTAGCCATAACTCTGGCAGAGTGTAATTTAGTGTTAAATTACTTAATACTAAATGGAGGGTAGGTCTCCAGGCACTTTACAACAACTCCAATGATATGAAGTGGTTATAGTACCTTGCATGTCCTTGTAAAACCCATCTAGCAGTGTGGAGAGCATCTTTAACTAGTTCATATGCACTTTCGATCTCTTGTGTTTAAAACATTACCCATTATGCACCTGTCCTCATTGACAGCTCATTATTTCTCTTCTAAATTAAGTTATAATAATTTATATTAGATCGTTTCAAGCATACCCCAAATTTTAACAGCACTAAATTGTTGTTGTTGTAGCAGTTAACCTAGAAATCATTAAACAAATCTAAGAACCATTGAACAAGTAAAAACAAACAAAAAATGTTTTATTAGTAATAATGTAGATTTCAATTCTTTGATTACACAGCCAGCCCAGGAATAGACATAAAGGGTCACTCCAGACCCCTAAGCACCTTGGGTTGCTGAAAGGTTTTATGTGTGAAGAGTGTCTTCCCCTCACTCCCTTATTTTGCAAAAAGGGCAGATTTCAATAGAAATTGACACTTTTCTAAAATTACATTGGTTACACAGTGTGCAGCACTGTCCCAGGAAGCACCTCTAGTAGCCATCTTCTCACTAGACTGTAATGTAAACACTGCATTTTCTCTGAAAAGACAGTGTTTAGTGGAAAAAGCCTGAAGGGAATGATTATAGTCACCAAAACAATAAGCTGTAGTTGTTCTAGTGACTATATAATTTGGGTTATATCTAGAACAGTTAGGTTTTATTTATTTTGTATTTGGGCACTGGAGTGTCCCTTTAAAATATAGATGAAGTCGATATAGTAAATGGGAAAATTCCAGCGAGTAGGGCCAGGCTAAAAGGTGACTTTGGGTGAAAATGTTCAAAAAATTTTACATTAAGCACAGAGGGACAGCGCCATAACCACTACATTGGCATGTCGTGGTTATGGTGCACAAATCAACCCTTACATTATTAGTAATAGAGAAAAAAAAAATCTGTACATTGACTAAATTGTTTGAATAGAATTAAAAGTGGACCAATCATTTTGTTAGTATTACAAAATATTTGATTACAGTCCATCGGTTTTGAAGTGACTGAGTGTAATAGTATGGCCCGTATAAAACCACATGCTGTACTTCATGAGGTGACATTCCCGCTGAGTGCACGGCCGGTGGGGGCTGAACCTAAAAACAGTTATACTTATTCAAGGCCCTTCCTTGCCAGTACCACAATCTTCTTTCATTTTATTTCCTGATTTTTCTGCTAGAAACCCATTTCACTGCTGTACTCTGTGTTTCAATGAAATTCCAATGCAGTCAACAGAATATCTTAATTAAATAATAATAAAAAAAAAATGTGTGTGACGACAGAGCCACTTTAATTGGGTCCCAGTGTAGTGCAAAATTGATTGATTGATGGCTGAGGTTAACCAACAGTCAAGTTAAACATTGTGCAGAGACAAAAAAAAAAAGTTAGAAAAATAAAATTGCTTTAAGGGAAATGCCACTTTTAGATTACTATTGAGTCATTTCTCTAAGCAGTGTTTTATGGGTATGGCTAGGGTTCTAGAATGGGTTTCTAGCAAAAAAAAAAAAATAATAATATAAAAAATTATTTTAAAAATCATGAGTTTTAGTTCAAATGGCAAAAAGAAAGAAGAAAAAGAAACAAATTAAAAAAATAAAAGACCCAACACATATAGGGTCCTGAGGCATGTCATTTTAAGTTCTGGGATCCAAAATACTTACCTCTCCAGACAGAAACATTAGATAATATAGCTCTTCTTATTTTATCTTAGCAAAAACTAAAAAAAAACAAAAAAAATAAATAAAAATAAAATGTATATAAAAGAATATTTAGCAAACAAAAGAAAAAAACAAAATAAATGCACATGCATAGCAGTTCACATTTAGGTTCCATTCCTGTCCATTAACTTGATGTTATAATTCAAACGGACTTTGTTCCCAACTAATAGTACCTTTGCTCCACGATACATGATTTTCCCCCCCCCCCTTTTGTCCGAGTACTATTTCATGTGTCTTACCGACTACAATGTAACATCACCTCACTAGCCCTTTGGACTCTGAATAGCACAGTATGCCAGTAAATCACATATCTAATATAGATACAAAATCCACGTATAATTGCTCACTGATTCAAGCAAAGTATTGATAAAATTCTCCAACCCATTCAAGGAGGGAGAAAGGTTGTAGATTGTAAGATGATTCATTAACAGTACACCGATTTCAAGTGGAATTAGAACAGTGTGTCAGAGAAAGTAACTGACGCGAGAGGACACAGTTTTGCAGCCAGTGGAAGAGAAAACCTTTTCATCCTCTGGGAAATAAACAAGATTGTTCAGTATAGATTGAACGGTGTCCTCTTCATACTCCAATTCTTGCTGCTCTGCCTCTTTCTGTATGCACTGCCGGATGTGACTTGGACGCAGAGGTAAAAAAGGCACGATCACATCAATAAGGCTCTGATTCATAATCTGTGACTTCCAGAAACCATCTGCCAAACAAACAGTAAATAAAATTGAGCTTTAGTAAACAGCTTTAGAAATACGTTCTACAAGTTCTTTTGATCCTAGATAAGAGGGACCATACTTACTGTCAAATGATGAAGATAAGGAGAATATAAAATACAGGTTTATCTTTTATTGAGCTAGTTGAAGAAGTGTCCTTACTCAGACATGAGCTGGCACACTAAATGATCTAGAGATATACTGATCGTGCCGCCATTAATAGTTTATTCTAGGATGTTCCAGTCCGCATGAACCAACCATAAATCGAGGTTTCCAAAATGACAGAGTGCTGGGATAGCAATAAAACATGGGCATTTGTTGGTTATGGTGACCAAAGTGGGAATCATCGATGGAGAATTTTGTGATGCCCATGTCATCCATTATTTAGAATCCAACCCAAATGTCTCTCAAAATCTTAGAACTACTTTGGCTTCTATAATTTAAAAAGATTACTACAAACTCCATGACCACTTCAGTGATTTGAGGTGAAATGTATGTGCAGTGATTCAGTAAGAAATGCCAGCCATAAAAAACAGTGTTTTCATCAAATCTTATTTTTGGTTAGAGTAACCATTCAAACAAACATGGTCAGTGCTCTACTATCACAAATCTAAAAGCTTAAACCAATATGGCAATGTTACAAACGCACACTCACTTACCTGGCACTACCTGACATTCAGTCACCTTCTCTTTATATTCACCCAGTGCGTTCAAAGACACGTTCAGGGACAGTTATATTACCTCTCGGTAATATATGTTACTTTTTTTTTTAATTTATATTTTTTTCTATTTTTCCCTGTGGGCTTACGATGTCACAGCCAGTGACATCGCCATGTGCCTTTTCTTTATACTCCCTGATGCACGGTGTTATTCTGTCTCACTGTGGTATCAGCTGGTTACAATAGAATTAGTTCGTCTTTCATTTGCAAGTTTACAAAACAACGCTGTATAGTCTTTTACAGAATTATACACTAGAATGACAGGATAGTAAGAGCTCATTGCTAGACCTTTTGGATTACCTTTTATACTACTCAAAATAAAAAAATTAAAAAGTTTTATCTTCCTTGTTCTAGGCTGTCTCTCCTATTATTGCAACCTGTTAAAGGAACACAATTTAAGCGACAAGGTCCTGCCGCCAGGGTTAAAAAGGGAAGTTTAAAAAAAATAATAAAGTCCAAGCAATAAGTGAGAGCAAATAAAGTTGAGGAGCAAAAAAAAAAAAAAAAAAAAAAATAGAAGCATCTACTTCCGTGAGATCATCCAGTTTATACTTTATTATATATGGCAGTCAGCTAAAACACAGTTGCAGTGTAATGGAGGTTTGGATTTCTACATTTTAGGGATCAACCAATATCATTTCTCCAAAGCAATTACACTATCACTGAGTCAGCCCACCCAGCACATTACAGTAGATTATTCACAGACTCACCTCCCTGCCTTCACTTGAGCTCCACATGCAGGGACTCACAAGGTGGGGTGACGGAACCGATAATCAGTCTATCCCTATTACATTTAAATGGTTACGCTTTCCCTCTGCCACTAGCCTGTTTAGGCTTACAATTGTGATCAGGCCTTCCCTTCTTGAAACATAAAAAAAAAACTTAAACAAAAAAAAAAAAAGAAACACACTTTCCTGGAATCCAGCATGGGGCAAAACTCCTGGCGCTGATATCCCTCTTCCATTTAATATTAGCAGGGGGCCTTGTGCATTCCAATTACAGGCTTCTCATATAGAAGAGAGTAGTGGTGAGGCAGGGATTTTGGAAAGGATGGGGAGATTTTTAATTAAAAATAGAAAAATTATAAATAAATAAAACAGAGGGAGGAGTAAGCAATCTTCCCCTTGCAGGCACACTGGCTGCAGGTGAGAAGATTAGTTAAGTGTGTTGCTAGTGACGTAAAACATGCATAGAATTGACATTAGGTAGGCCGGAACAGAGTTCTGGGCTGCCCAAGTCAGGTGTACCAGGGGTGTAACTAGTCCCCGCAAACAAGTGCAAACATCTATGGATGTACAGAAACACACCTACTAACATGACCACTTCAAATCTCCTTCTCCCGCAAATGCCATGCTGATGGGGGAACCTAATTTGTGCGTGCCTTAGTGCTTCTCCATAGGGAGGCAATGAATTGCTTACTTATGGATAATTTGAAGACGTTGGATGCCCTCATGCTTTGCTTTTACAGAGTTAAACTCCATTAGAGTCCAGGAAGCACCTCTTGTGCCTGTCTCAACCCTACAATGTAAACATTGCAGTTTCTGTTTCATATTCCAGGGTTAAGGGGACAGGGGGACTTTGCATTTCATTGGTCAAGTGGTCTGGAAACCTGTAGTGACCTTTTAATGTCAGTATTTATGTTCAAAATTTTACTTACGTTCTGGAGTGGACATCACAGCAATGGAAATTGCAGATTGTAGATGACGGAGTTGGATCTCTTCCCTGTCTTTGCGATCCCTCCAAAAATCCAGTGCTACCTGATTAATGACGTCTCCACCAGCATTACTGCAAAGAAATGCAAATCTAGGGTTTATATTTTCCATAATATATTTCCCATATATCAAACTCCATAAAACAAAACTAATTTGATGCGTCTCACTACCAACTAATAATAAAATAAAAAAATCAACAATTTATAAATGGTACTTCATAGCCACAAATAATTCCCTGGCAGCTTGAAGATAAACATCAACTCAGTAGGTCAGCTGCTTGTTTTAGACAATTTCCACTCAGGCCTACATGAAAGACCCATTATATCCTTCAACTATGGGACTTGAGATATCTTCAGCTAAAACATGGTCACTATATTTCTTTGTATCAACCCAACACACATACACTTGGATTATGATGCAATCTTAAAAAATTCCCTGTAATCACTACATGCATTCTCCTCAAAGAAAATGGGTTACAAAAAAAATAAAAATAAATTAATAAAAAACAGTTATGCTTTTTGATGTATATTGAAGGTTTTTATGGCTTTTTTTTTTTTGTTTCTCTGAACTAAGGGGAGTTGTCTATGTTTGGTATTGTGTATTCTCTGTGCAGTTTACTCCCCCTCCACTGTGTTCATCTTTCCAGAGTTTCAGAACCAGGTCTCCATCAGGGCTGTGTGACACAAAGGCCGTCTGGTCACAGGCTCATCCTGTTCAGACCAAGGCTGCTTCAACCAAAGTGGTTCCTATCAGGAATTTAAGCCAATATCACCCCTCCTCCCTAGCTAAGGTTGTGCATGGCGTTCCAGGGGTTTCTGAGGTTCCAAAGCAATACCTGCCGCAGTTTGTAATAAAATCACGACTTTTTGTCATGGAAAAGCAAAAAAAAATGTGAATAATTTTGAAAGGGAATGCAGGGAAGCAGCGCCTTCACAAGTGTCCTCAAAATAAAGATGTAGTGATGTGCAAAACAAGAGGACAAATAATAAGGAATATGGTGTAGTATTTTTTTATGCTGGTGATTATAAATAAAAGAAAGGAAATGCTCTTACAATCTTCTGGAGCTTTGAAAAAGCCTGTGTGGAGGTGAAACGCGGTGGCGTTGTCGTACTCTATACTTGTAATTTGATTATTTTAGTTATAAATAAAACTAGGTTTTTATGGCATTTGAACCTCCCTCTTTATCTCTGAAGAGTTTAACCTGGAGGATTCATACTTCGGTTTCCTAGGTAGGGACGTTACCACCCAAGCTATATAGGATTGAGCAGAACTTTACAGTGATCTCCATTTGTGAGTATACCTCTTTTTAAAAACATGTATTAGCTGAACAGAGAGCACCATCTTCTGTTTTTATTTTAATGCTATGAACTCGGGAACTCTCACTGTGATAAAACTTTGTCGAACGCTGATCACCACGCACTGCTGACCGGCCTAAGGATACCTTTCCACATAAGACCGAGACCAAGATCAGCATATCCACAGATGGGAATTGTACCGTCCAAGCACATATCTGGAGCGGATTTCAAGCTCCCGAAGATTGTAAGTGCATTTCCTTTCTTCTATTTACAATCACCAACATCAAAAATACTACACCATATCCCATTTTATTTGTCCTCTCGTTTTGCATATCACTTTATTTTAAAGGACATTTGTAAAGGCGCTGCTTCCCTGCATCCCCTTTCTAGATCTACCTATGGCCAGTAGGAAGAGACTGCCACATAGACTTTTAACAAGCGCTAGAAATACCATCTTTTTATTTAAATGAAAAAGCAATGTTAGTCCTATAAAACCAAATAATAAGCCGAGTGCGTTACTATAAAAAGAACCAATGGTACAGTTACCTGATGAAGATAAATATAGCTTTTCTGTAGTTTGTTCCATACACCACCCAGGATGGCCCTAGAAAAGGGACAAGGACATCAATTATGCCTGGGTGCATCTTATCCATTTCCTCGAAGACAAAAACTGAGCGACTGCACTGTGTTAAGTTTCCTTGTATCCATTGCCTAAGGTCTTCCTGGAAGGTGAAAGATGCCGTTAGATAGTTATCAGAACATTCCATTAAAAGGGAGAAGGAGAAACAACTTGGAAGCACATTATTTATTCCTAAACAAGACTTTACCAAGGGGGGAGGAAAGGAATATTCTTGCACCATAACAACCTCGTCAAAATGAAGTTTTGATGGTGCCGGGAGATTCCAAGGCACTTATTAACTGAAGAGGTTAAACCAGCCTCGAACAGTTTAACCCCAAAGGTTGCCTCCAGTGCCAGATCTCAGTTTTCCCCAGAGACATCCAGCTTCAAGGCAATTAGCGGCGCCCCTGAGCAGCACTCCGCTCTTCCTGAAAGTAAATGCTAGAAGCTGGATGCCACTTGGAAAAAGGCATATCAAGCATAGAATGTGACAGCAGATAAGAACCATTTGGCCCATCTAGTCTGCCCAAAGCGCCTGGGATCTCCTAATTATATAAATTTTTAAATGGACAAGCTATAGAATACATTACAAAAAGGCATTCAATAATTTTACCAAGTGAGAGACCAAAATTAACACAAAGAAAAGTTGTCCAGTCTTTTTTACAAAGTCTGTAAAATTCAACAATTCAAAGTATTTCACTGTGATCAATGGAACTCACAAAATAAATAATTCACTAACCTTATACAGCTCTACGTTCTGCGCATGAGCAAAGTGTAGGATCGGGGAGAAGTAATGCACATGAGGATTCCGGGTCCCGTCTTTGTAGAGATGTTTGACCAAGAGAGAGCTAAGAAAGGTTTTTCCAGAACCAGTCCAGCCATGGAACGATAACACTAAAGGTTTAGTTGGCGAATCTGTTTCTACAAACTGTTTCACAGCTTTAACCACCAGATCACAGGCTAGGTGCTGGCCAAACACACTGCGAGCAAGCTCACATTCCAGAGCTAGAAAAAAATAAATAAAAAAAAAAAGATTAATTTATCTGGGTTGAGGTGGGTCAAGTCTTGGTATTTGACTACAGATGGTCATCTAGACATGAAGTCTCCGAGACCTCAGCCAATAAATTCCATTCAGACAGAAATTTGATATTGCTAGTAGGAACTTTCACTTTAGTGAAATTTATGAATAGAGTGCAGACTGCAGGCCCATGGGAGACCCAGGTAGGTATCAAACCATTCGAATGACTGGACCTGTGGGATGGGACCTGGGAAATTCTAGCACCATAACCACAACACAGTACTGTAATGGCTACAGTGCTACCCATTTAAAGTCACTCCACAAGTCTTATTCGAATATTGACGCAATATTTTGTTTTGATTTGCCGCCTCTTATATCCCTTCTATCTTAATTCATTATACACCCTCATAAATACATATTATCCCCCCTCCCCACTGCCAATTCATTTTACTGATGTATTGTGGGTAAATTTGATTGCCAAATGAAATAACTTGCTCAAGTTCATTCTCATTGATATATTTTCTCTTTTACATGTCTTTGCACTTATATGAAGACTGTGAATCTTTATGATAACTATTTCAAATGCAACGCTATTGTGTGTCGGTCATTCTCAAGTTTTGTCTAGACTGCTCTACATAAGGAAAAGTAGTGCCCGCTTTTATTATTATATTTTATATGATCACCAGAGCACTCAAAAAAAAAAGTAAGAAGCAATTTAGACACAGTAAGAAAGATTAGAGGAAGGTTTGATTGGTTTTTTTGGGTGTCTGATCCTCTTACTGAACCCCAACTTTACCTTGCAGGACCTCAACATGCAGTCCTCCAGTCACTGTGTGTACAGGTGCTGCAGAGATTAAGCGGTCTCTACTGTTAGCCAACTTTAGCATGACAAGGGCAGTCTGGCAAAGCACACAGCTGCAGCTAGGTAGATTTGGTAGAGCACACAGCAGACTGCTAGCAAAGGCAGTGGACAGACCGCAGTACAGGGCTGCAGCCTGGTAGTGATGGCATTGCTGTACAGACCCCAGTACTGCATGCACGGCTGCAGCCTGGTAATGATCAGTGATATGGTAGTGAGGGTATTTCTGTACAGACCACAATAGTGGGGGCATTGCTGTACAGAGGGCACAATTCCAGCCTAGTAGTGAGGGCAATGTTGTACAGAGCCCAGTATGGAGTACATGGCTCTAGTCTAATAGTGAGAATATTGCTGTACAGACCCCAGTAAAAAAATTATAGTTATAGCCTGGTAGTGAGGGCAGTGCTGTACAGGCCCCAGAAGTGAGGGTGCAGTTCCAGCCTATTAGTGAGGGCAGTGCTGTATAGAACTCTGTAGTTGGGGCAGTGCTGTACAGACCAAAGTACAGAGTGCATACATGAAGTCTGGAAGGGAGGGCATTTCTCTACAGACCCCAGTAATGAGGGCACAGTTCCAGCCTGGTAGTGAGGGCAGAGCTGTACAGACCCCCAGCACTGAGTACACGGTTGCAGTCTGGTAGTGATGCCAATGCTGTACTGACCCCAGTAGTGAGGCACAGTTCTAGCCTGGATTAGGGAAGTGATATACAGACCCCATTACTGAGTACATGGTTGCAGTCTGGTAGTGAGGGCAGTGCTGTAGAGACCCCCAACACTGAGTATATGGTTGCAGTCTGGTAGTGAGGCCAATGCTGTACAGACCCCAATAGTGAGGCACAGTTCTAGCCTGGATTAAGGAAGTGGTATACAGACCCCATTACTGAGTACATGGTTGCAGTTTGGTAATAAGGCCAATGCTGTACAGACCCCAGTAGTGAGGGCACAGTTCTAGCCTGGATTAGGGAAGTTATATACAGACCCAATTACTGAGTACATGGTTGCAGTCTGGTAGTGAGGCCCATGCTGTACTGACCCCAGTAGTGAGGGCACAGTTCTAGCCTGGATTAGGGAAGTGCTATACAGACCCCATTACTGAGTACATGGTTGCAATCTGGTAGTGAGGGCAGTGCTGTACAGACCCCCAATACTGAGTACATGGTTGCAATCTGGTAGTGAGGGCAGTGCTGTACAGACCCCCAATACTGAGTACATGGTTGCAATCTGGTAGTGAGGGCAGTGCTGTACAGACCCCCAATACTGAGTACATGGTTGCAATCTGGTAGTGAGTGCAGTGCTGTACAGACCCCAGTAGTGATGGCACCGTTCTAGCCTGGATTAGGGAAGTGCAATACAGACCCCATTACTGAGTACATGGCTGCAGTCTGGTAATAAAGCCAATGCTGTTCAGACCCCAGTAGTGAGGGCACAGTTCCAGCCTGGTGGTGAGGGCAGTGCTGTACAGACCCCCAATACGGAGTACATGGCTGCAGTCTGGTAGTGAGTGCAGTGCTGTACAGACCCCAGTAGTGAGGGCACCGTTCTAGCATGGATTAGGGAAGTGCTATACAGACCCCATTACTGAGTACATGGCTGCAGTCTGGTAATAAAGCCAATGATGTTCAGACCCCAGTAGTGAGGGCACAGTTCCAGCCTGATGGTGAGGGCAGTGCTGTACAGACCCCCAATACTGAGTACATGGCTGCAGTCTGGTAGTGAGTGCAGTGCTGTACAGACCCCAGTAGTGAGGGCACCGTTCTAGCCTGGATTAGGGAAGTGCTATACAGACCCCATTACTGAGTACATGGCTGCAGTCTGGTAATAAGGCCAATGCTGTACAGACCCCAGTAGTGAGGGCACAGTTCCAGCCTGGTAGTGAGGGCAGTGCTGTACAGACCCCCAATACTGAGTACATGGTTGCAGTCTGGTAGTGAGGCCCATGCTGTACAGACCCCAGTAGTGAGGGCACAGTTCTAGCCTGGATTAGGGAAGTGCTATACAGACCCCATTACTGAGTACATGGCTGCAGTCTGGTAATAAGGCCAATGCTGTACAGACCCCAGTAGTGAGGGCACAGTTCTAGCCTGGATTAGGGAAGTGATATACAGACCCCATTACTGAGTACACGGTTGCCGTCTGGTAGTGAGGCCAATGCTGTACAGACCCCAGTAGTGAGGGCACAGTTCTAGCCTGGTAGTGAGGCCAATGCTGTACAGACCCCAGTAGTGAGGGCACAGTTCCAGTCTGGCAGTGAGGGCAGTGCTGTAGAGACCCCCAGTAGTGAGGGCACAGTTCCAGTCTGGTAGTGAGGGCAGTGCTGTACAGACCCCCAATACTGAGTACATGGTTGCAATCTGGTAGTGAGGGCAGTGCTGTACAGACCCCCAATACTGAGTACATGGTTGCAATCTGGTAGTGAGGGCAGTGCTGTACAGACCCCCAATACGGAGTACATGGCTGCAGTCTGGTAGTGAGTGCAGTGCTGTACAGACCCCAGTAGTGAGGGCACCGTTCTAGCATGGATTAGGGAAGTGCTATACAGACCCCATTACTGAGTACATGGCTGCAGTCTGGTAATAAAGCCAATGATGTTCAGACCCCAGTAGTGAGGGCACAGTTCCAGCCTGGTGGTGAGGGCAGTGCTGTACAGACCCCCAATACGGAGTACATGGCTGCAGTCTGGTAGTGAGTGCAGTGCTGTACAGACCCCAGTAGTGAGGGCACCGTTCTAGCCTGGATTAGGGAAGTGCTATACAGACCCCATTACTGAGTACATGGCTGCAGTCTGGTAATAAGGCCAATGCTGTACAGACCCCAGTAGTGAGGGCACAGTTCTAGCCTGGATTAGGGAAGTGATATACAGACCCCATTACTGAGTACACGGTTGCCGTCTGGTAGTGAGGCCAATGCTGTACAGACCCCAGTAGTGAGGGCACAGTTCCAGTCTGGCAGTGAGGGCAGTGCTGTAGAGACCCCCAGTAGTGAGGGCACAGTTCCAGTCTGGTAGTGAGGGCAGTGCTGTACAGACCCCCAATACTGAGTACATGGTTGCAATCTGGTAGTGAGGGCAGTGCTGTACAGACCCCCAATACTGAGTACATGGTTGCAATCTGGTAGTGAGGGCAGTGCTGTACAGACCCCCAATACGGAGTACATGGCTGCAGTCTGGTAGTGAGTGCAGTGCTGTACAGACCCCAGTAGTGAGGGCACCGTTCTAGCATGGATTAGGGAAGTGCTATACAGACCCCATTACTGAGTACATGGCTGCAGTCTGGTAATAAAGCCAATGATGTTCAGACCCCAGTAGTGAGGGCACAGTTCCAGCCTGGTGGTGAGGGCAGTGCTGTACAGACCCCCAATACGGAGTACATGGCTGCAGTCTGGTAGTGAGTGCAGTGCTGTACAGACCCCAGTAGTGAGGGCACCGTTCTAGCCTGGATTAGGGAAGTGCTATACAGACCCCATTACTGAGTACATGGCTGCAGTCTGGTAATAAGGCCAATGCTGTACAGACCCCAGTAGTGAGGGCACAGTTCTAGCCTGGATTAGGGAAGTGATGTACAGACCCCATTACTGAGTACACGGTTGCCGTCTGGTAGTGAGGCCAATGCTGTACAGACCCCAGTAGTGAGGGCACAGTTCCAGTCTGGCAGTGAGGGCAGTGCTGTAGAGACCCCCAGTAGTGAGGGCACAGTTCCAGTCTGGTAGTGAGGGCAGTGCTGTACAGACCCCCAATACTGAGTACATGGTTGCAGTCTGGTAGTGAGTGCAGTGCTGTACAGACCCCAGTTATGAAGACATGCTCCACTCACCGTTCAGGTTGGGCCGGAAGCCGCACTCACAGAAGTTATAAAAGCTGCAGTGTAACGCTGACAGCTCCCAGGGATTCACAAAGCCAGCGATAAGAACAACCAAAGTGATCTGCCACCAGTCCGCCGCCATCCTCCCGGCACCACTGCATGTCGGGAAATGTAGTCCGTCGCGGAAAGCGCTCACAATGAGGTGTCGATAGACTGGCCAATCAGCGGCGGACAGTCACATGATCGAACTAGAGCTGGCTCTGCTGCCATGCTGGTTGTGGAAACAAAACATTCCATTGGAATGGCAAGATTGGAAATGGAACATCAACAAACAATATGTTTTCAGAACATGTCTGTGTTTTATTAAATATCCTGCTATTGGGGATTCATTATTGGAGTAAGGAAGAACTAGTCATTTAGCCTAAAAAATCAAACTCACATAAAGTGGGAATTGTCAATCATTCAAAATGGTTTTAAAGTGAATTTCTACTTTTAGGATGAAACAGCTCTTTTAATTTTGGATGTTTTGGCATAAATATTTACATTTTCAGGCCTCCCAATCATTTCAGTTAAGACCGGACAGTCACAATAAAGGGGCCTGGCATGCCATCCTGGGTTTGTTCCCTGGTATCCTGCTTTTGGGCCCTCAGTGAACCGTCCCCAAAAAGCGTAGTGCAAATCCACCTAATACTACGCTATGGGGTCTAGGACCCGGCGGAGAGCAGTGAAACTTATCCCTGCTTGCTTTGCCCTCAGTTGGCCAGTCTATGTGAAGGTCAGCCTGGACTGCATTCCTGCCCAGCTGGAGCCAGTTGCTCAAGCGGACCATGTAGGCCTTTTAACCTGTTTGAGTTATTCACTGAAATTGCGTCACTCACAGTACCTGACACCCATCTTTTAGGTAACTTTACCTTAAAATCAACTCGGAAATTCAAGCTGTAAATAATGTGTGTGCTGGCTGTATGTAATGTGTGTGGTCATGCTCTGTGTAGCCCTCTCCTGTTTGGCTTCCCTCCACTGGACCATCCTTAGTCGTCCAATGGAGGGGGTCATACTCCCTGGTGATCTAGTAGAGGTTAACTCTGCCAGTTTCTCTATTGGGGGTCCTGAGTCCCTGATGGTTCAGTGCAGAAGTGTGAGGTTTGCACCACTAGTAGATGCAGACCTCAGTAATTGCTTCCTCACAGTACGGTATTTAGCGAGTCAGGACGCAAACTGGGAACCTCTGGCGGCTGCACTCTGACTCACTAGAGAACACTGGATCCCAAGGAAGCCATTACTAAGGTCTGCACCTGCAAATCTCATGTTGCCAGCTATGAAGCCCCCACAAAGCAGACCTGCCACTTATCCATAGCAGGCTAAAAGAATAAAACTGCCACCCAGACACTGCTCAGTGGCACAAAAGCCGGTTAAGGTTGCCCAGCAGGGTGCTAGCCAGGGTGAGAGATAGGGGCTGTACCTGTGTATCTGCCTGAGGGTGTGTGTGTGTGTATTTCTGACTGAGTGTGTCTGTGTCTCTGGCACGATGTACCTGTGTATGTCTGTGTTTGGGAGCATATGTGTGTGAGGCAGCTGCTTGCGCTGTGCTATTTGTAAGGGGAGATGTTTGTGCCTTTTTTGTTGTATTTATGGAGTGGTAGATTTTGGGAGGTGAGTGTGACAGAGAGGTGAAGGTGACGGGATTGTGTGAGTGAGTTGACAGGGTTAGGGGGTGAGTTGGGGTGTGTGAGTGTTAGCGGGTGTGTGTTACAGGTTTAGTGTGGCAGGGTGTGTGGTAGGGCAGAGGGTGTGGCATGGTGAGGGGGAGAGCTTTACCTCGAGGACCATGGACCACCAAGGAGAGACCATTTTTTAAAGGGCTGTGCAGGTAGAACTTTTGATCTCCCTGCCGATTCGAGGGTGTCTCACTCAGAGCGTAGATATTCCGCTGCATTCATCTCATGGGCAGGCCTGCCAACTGTCTTGAATCAGGTGTCCTACAAGTGGTGTGACTGGCCTGCTCAACCACATCCATCTTTTACAGGGTGCCAATGTTTTGGGTAGTCCATGAGTAGAGTGCTTTAACAATGCTCTTTGCAAATGCTGCTCTAAATGGGGCTTGCCAGCACAATGGACAGGCACACCAGGCTGACATGCCCCTTCCTCATAAGGCCATGCCCGTTTGTTTCACTGGCATTCACCCTATAGGTCTGCACACGCCATCCAAGGTTCATACCTCCCAAGATATGACATGGGAATAGTAAATTCTATGCCAAAGTAACAGAGCTGGAAAAGTAGCTGAGTTGGGGAAGAAGAAAAAAAAAGTTACTGTTCATTATAGCAACTCTGCAATTATTATTATTACTGGTATTTATATAGCGCCAGCATATGCCATAGAGCTTTATAATATTATCAAAGGGGGAGATTTAACAATTAAATTAGAAAATTACAAAAACCTACAGGAACAAATGGTTAAAGATGGCCCTGCTCAAATGAGCTTACAGTCTATAGGAGGTGGGGTGTAAAACACAACAGGGCAGGAGGTAGCAATCAAACAAGGTGGAGTGAAGCAGAGCTGGAGGAGAGAATAGAGTGCTTCCCTTTATGAGAGAGCAAGGGACAGGTACGTGAGGTACAGGTTACACTAGGAGGCCATAAGCGATGGGTTTTGAGGCACTTTTTAAATGATTGAAGACTAGGGGAGAGCTTGATGGTCGTAGGCAGGCTATTCCAAAGAAAATTAGCCACCCGCGAGAAGTCCTGCAAGTGTGAGTTGGCCGTATGGTTGTGAGCAGCGGTCATGGGCAGAGCGGAGAGACCGCATACCAGCGGATCAGTGAAGAGATATAGGAGGGGCTAGAATTGGTCAGTGCTTTATAGGTGTGGATTAGTACCTTGAATGGACTCCTTTAGGATACAGGAAGCCAATGTAAGGACTGACAAAGGGGAGAGGTGTGAGAGGAGCAACAGGAGAGAAAAATCAGTCTAGCTGCAGCATTCATTACAGACTGTAGCAATACAACTTGCGGGAAGACTTATTAGGAGAGAGTTACAATAATCCATGCAAGAGATTACTGGAGCATGGACAAGCTCCTTAGTAGCATCTTGTGTAAGAAATGGGTGAATGCAGGCTATGTTTTTAAGGTGGAATCTACAGGATTTGGTAACAGACTGGATGTGAGGCTCAAAGGTGAGGCCGGAATCAAGTATGACGCCAAGACAGCACGCTTGCAAGGATGGACTTATGTAGAACCATTAACTTGAAGAGAGCAAAAGAGGAGGATCAGTATTAGGAGGAGGAAAGACAAGGACCTCAGTTTTAGAGAGATTGAGTTTCAAAAGTGGGAGGACATCCAGTCAGAGATGGAAGAAAGGCAAGCAGTGACACGTTGCAGGATGGCAGTGGAGAGGTCTGGGGAGGAGAGATATATATGGGTGCCATCAGCGTACAGGTGGTAGTGGAATCCAAATGAGGCAATAAGTTTGCCAAGAGAGGCAGTATAAAGAGAAAATAGAAGGGGACCAAGGGCAGAGCCTTGGGGGACTCCAACAGAGACAGAACGAAGGGAGGAAGTGTCATTAGAAAAGGAGGCACTGAATGAGCATTGGGAGAGATAAGAAGAAAACCATGAGAGGACAGTCACAGAGACCAAATGATTGAAGAGTTTGGAGAAGGAAAACATGGCCAACAGTGTCAAAGGCAGCAGAGAGGTCAATAAGAATTAGAATGTTGATTTAGCTGTGATTAGGTCGTTAGTGACTTTAATAAGAGCAGCCTCAGTAAAGTGGAGGGGGCAGAAGAGGGTCAAGGAGAGAGTTGGAATTGAGGAAACAAGTCAGACGGGTAAAGACAAGTCTTTCCAGAAGCTTTGAGGAAAAAGGGAGCAGGGAAATGGGACAATAGTTAGAAGGTGAGGACGGGTCAAAAGATGGTTAATACAGTAGCATGTATAAGAACAGCAGGGACAACACCAGAAGAGAGAGCAGTTGAAGATGTGTGTTACGGAAGGCACAAGACAAGAGGAGAGAGAGATCTTATAAGATGAGATGGGACAGGATCAAGCGGGCAGTGATGTGGTGTGGCAATGATTCCACATTGTAAAGAACATATTGACTCCCTATATAATACTGAGCTTAATCACAGTGCCAGGCAGTCTGGCTCCACTGGTCTGGTGTAGAACAGGATCTCTGGAGGCTGTTTGTAACTGTGGTCACAAAATTCAATGTTCTGGGAGAACGGGAAGCAGCTCCATTTTTTGGGGCCCCTTGCACAGCTCACGGCCTGGGCCCCCCATAAGGCCCACCCATAGGTCCACCTACATGTTCCACCCATGAGTTCGCTCACAGGAAGTGGAGTGTGTAGGGGATGTGTTATGTGTTATTGTAGAGGATCTAATGTGTGTGCGCTTATGAAATGTAGTGTATAGGGATACCAGTTTGTGTAGGTGATGCAGTGTGTTTGTGTGTAGTGGAAGCAGTGTGTTTTTGTGTAAGGCATAGAAAGCAGTGTGTGTTTGTGTATAAGGGATGTATTGTGTGTTTCTGGTTGTGTGTAAGGGATGCATTGTGTGAATCTGTGTTTGTATGCATAAGGGATGCAAGGTGTGTTTCTGTGTATGTAAGGTATGCAGTGTGTGTGTGTCTGTAAGGGGTGCATTGAGTGTGTGTAAGAGATGCATTGTGTTTCTGTATGTGTGTGTGTAAGAGAAGCAGTGTGTGTTTGCACGTGTGTGTAAGGGATGCATTGTGTGTTTCTGTGTATGTGTGCAAAGGATGCATTGTTTTTATGTGTAAGGGTTTGCATTCTGTGTGTGTGTGTGTGTGTGTGTATAATGGATGCATTGTGTGTTTCTCTGTGTGTAAGGGAAGCATGTTGTGTTTCTGTGTGTGTAGGGATGCATTGTGTATTTCTGTGTATGTATAGGGATGCATTGTGTGTGTGTGTGCGCGTAGTGTGAAAGAGCTCCCTGTCCTTCCCCCTGTCCTATAGAGCTCTCCCTTCCATCCCTTAGAGCTCTCCCCTGCCCCTTAGTGGTCTCCCCTCTCCTTCCCTGTCCCTTAGTGGTCTCTAATCTCCTCCCCCCCTTTAGTGGTCTCCTTTTCTCCCCGACTTTCCATTAGTGGTCTCTCGTCTCCCCCTTAGTAGTCTCTCCTCCCTCTCCCCCCACTCTCCCTTAGTGGTCTCTTCTCACCCTCCCTTTCCTTTAGTGGTATCTCCCCCCCCCTCACAGTGGTCTCTCCTCTCCCCCACCTTCCCCTAGTGGTCTCTCCTCTCCCCCCATCCACCCCTAGTGGTCTCTCCTCCACCCCCTCCCTCCCTTAGTGGTCTCTGCTCTCCCCCCACCCTCCCTTAGTGGTCACTCCACCACCCCCTCCCTCTCTTAGTCGTCTCCCCATGTTCTCCTTAACCCCCCACATTCTCCTCATCCTCCCCCCTCCCTCCGCGTTCTTCTCACTCCCCCCTCCCTCTCTTGGTGGATTCCCCCATTCTCCTCACCCTCCTCCCACTTTCTCCTCACCACCCCCCCTCCTTACTGGACTCTCCCCACATTCTCCTCACCCCCTCCTTTGGTGGACTTTTCCCCCATGTTCTTCTCCTAGCCCCTCCTGTGCCCCTCATCCCCTGTGTTCTCCTCGCCCCATCCCTGTGTTCTCCTCACACCCCATCCCTGTGTTCTCCTCACCCCCCCCTCCCTGTGTTCTCCTCACTCCCCCTCCCCGTGTTCCAGTAGTTCCGTGGAGCTGCGCTTGGGGAGCTGCATGGCTTTCCTTAAAAGACTCCAGTGGCATATACTAACATTAGTTTAACATGTTTATGCCACGCCTTACTTTATTTTTCTTTTCTTTTTTTTTTTTACTCTTAACCTGGGCACTGTTTGGACACTCCAGACACTGGCAATCGATATATCTAGGAACTGTATCCTACATGTGTTTCCTATTTTAAATGGGTGACTGCCTAATATCCCAAGTATTGCCTACTGTGTATGGAGCTTCAGTCACCCACTTGACACTGCAGCCCTGCTGCGCTCACAGCCTGACCACAGTGGATTCGCTTGATAATGGTTCACTGCTAACACAGTGTCTAACAGTAACGTAGGATGGAGTGCCAAAGTTGCATAAACTTACAACCTCATATCTCTAGTCTATATACCAGGCCCAAAAGTACAGTCATCTGTTAAACATAACCATGCCTGTCTAGCCAGTTTAAAAGCCTACTCTTTTTGTTTATTATTTGGGGGAAAAAGTGCGACATTCTTGCCATCCCACATATTGTATTATTGAAATTTCTCTTGTAATGTCTACTCGTGTGTTAATGCCCGCAAAAGCATGTTTGACTCTTATTGCACTTCAAAAATAAAGAATGTAAAAAAAAAAATAATAATCCTGGAATGTGACAGTTTTCCTTTAAAGGGACACTATAGTCACCTGAACAACTTTAGCTTAATGAAGCAGTTTTGGTGTATAGAACATGCCCCTGCAGCCTCACTGCTCACTCCTCTGCCATTTAGGAGTTAAATCCCTTTGTTTATGAACCCTAGTCACACCTCCCTGCATGTGACTTGCACAGCCTTCCATAAACACTTCCTGTAAAGAGAGCCCTATTTAGGCGTTCTTTATTGCAAGTTCTGTTTAATTAAGATTTTCTTATCCCCTGCTATGTTAATAGCTTGCTAGACCCTGCAAGAGCCTCCTGAATGTGATTAAAGTTCAATTTAGAGATTGAGATACAATTATTTAAGGTAAATTACATCTGTTTGAAAGTGAAACCAGTTTTTTTTTCATGCAGGCTCTGTCAATCATAGCCAGGGGAGGTGTGGCTAGGGCTGCATAAACAGAAACAAAGTGATTTAACTCCTAAATGACAGTGAATTGAGCAGTGAAATTGCAGGGGAATGATCTATACACTAAAACTGCTTTATTTAGCTAAAGTAATTTAGTGACTATAGTGTTCCTTTAAAGTTATTGAGTTATTTATGTTTGCGTATTTTATTTTCCAACAATTTTTTTTTTAACATAATAAGCATGCAAGTAAAACATGTACCAAAACTCCATTCTTTACATCAATACGTTTATTTACACAGAAATCATTAAGACATTGCTCTGTACAATGAATGATCTAGGATACTGTACATCACAGAGAGAAATAAAGCTATATTTACAGATAAATGCTCAGCTATTTACACCCTGGCAAAGGGTTTCCCTTTCAAATGAGAACAGACATTCAGAATTCCAATTTTAAAAAAAATATCATATTTCAACTAGTATATTCACTAAACAGTGTACTGACAACCTGAAAACACATTTAGGCCACAAAAGCAGTGTTTGAAAAGTTATTAATCTCTCCGGTTTTGGCTTTGTTTTTTTTGCATCTCAATTTTCAATTCACAATTACTGGTACCATTTAGTGAATAAACCCCTCCATAAGCTGTTTAATGTACTCTGTGTTCTAGCAATTCATAAGTATATAAAACTGTGGCTCTTATGCTTTCTAACAACTCACAATGCCCCTTAAAGTTACCACCTGTATAGTAGTGCAACATGGGGGGGTTGTAATTTGCCATCAGCAGAGCCACAAATGTATCTGCCTCAAACTTTGCCTTAAAGAAACATACTGCACACCATAACCACTACAAGTCCATGGAGTCCCCTGGCGCCAGCCACATTTTGGGGGGGGACAAGCCTTATGTGAATGTATATCTTCTTACTTGGGATCAGCAGAGTGCTGCTCCCCACCTCCACCTTGTCAGGGAGACAAAGGTTCCTAAGCAGGAACTGCAGTTAGCTCTCCTGAGCTAAGCTCTGCAATTGGCTGAGAGTGAAGCTAAAAAGCTAAACACCACATTGCAGACATTCCTTTAAGAGAGCTAACAAATGTTCCTAAATAGGAACTTTTGGCTCTCTTCCATAAGTAGTGGAGGCAGACCTCAGGTAGCAAGTCAAACCATTCATAAACTGTTTGATCCCTTACATTGGGGGGCTATTGGTTACTTCTGGCATCATAACAACTACAGCATGCAGTAGTGGTTGTGGTGCCTGGTTTGTTCCTTTACCTTTTGGGCACAAACTGCTCTTTTCTTTCTACACCCTGTTAAAATATTTTTACAAAATTATTCACAGTTGTTTACTGACAACATCACAATTAACCTCTTCAGTGATGAAATGGCAAAATATATATTTATGTATATATACACATTTGTGCAAATAACTTTCTAGTTCATTCTCCCATGCCCAAAACACCCCTTTAATTTCCTTTATACACATCCCACCCTCTCAGGATTCCTGCAGTCATTATATCCTTTGACACAAAGAGACATTTAATTTACATTTTTAATGTCTTATATCAAAATATGGTGATAACTGTATAAAATAAAAATAAAAACCATGCCTGGAAATATATTTGTCACATATCGAATGCAAACACAGCAAGTCACTTAGTGACAATGAAGGCAGAATGCACAGATGTCCCCAGAAACATGAGGAATGATGTGTGAAAGCATGATTTTACAAAATGTATAGTAGATCCCTGGAACAGCCTTCCAGCAGAAGTGGTAGGCAGCTATCCTGAAATATAAGTAGAATGTCTGCAGATTGGATAGGAAAAAAGCCAAACGAATGGGCCTTCTCCAAATTGTCTTGTTTTGTTTTTTTCTGGTTATGTAAGGCATTTTTGGGGGCAATAAATCTCCAGGAGAGAGTCTACCTACCATAGAGGTTTCTCAATTCTGACACTTTGCAGGTATTTATGACTTAAAAAGGTTATTTCTAGAAGATCAATATTGTTAAACTGAATTTTGAATAAAAAGCATATCTCTTTCTGGGATTCCTTCCTGTGATCTGCAGTGATAAAGTGATAAAGGGCTAGTCACTAGAGCAGGGGTGCCCAAAAGGTAGATCCCCAGATGTTTTAAAGCTACAGCTTCTATGATGCTTTGCCATTCTACTGGCATTCCAAAGGCATGCAAAGCATCATTGGAGTTGTAGTTCTACAACATCTGGGGATCTACCTTTTGGGTACCCCTGCACTAGAGTGAGAATTATTTGGGATTCAAAGTGAAATTAAAGTGAATTTCAAAGTTTAGGGAAAAAGTAGTTGTTTTTTCAGCTATTTTGGCCAAAAATGTGAACTTCACCTTGAATTCCAGACAATTAACCCTTTATTAATTATCCCTGACAATTACAAAAATAAAATCAAGAGGGCTCTCCCTGTGCTATGCCTGCAGTTGCCTTTACATACACTAGATGGCGTTTATAATCCATGCTAATTGTTTACTTAGAGCCCCAGTTGGCCACATAATGAGGCAAAGAGAATATTGGTAAATTTGTTTCTGACTAAGCACAGTTTTGACACATCCTAATTCATTTTCTCCTCCTCCCACGGCAGGGCATGCTTTGACTGGCTGCCACGGAGATGAGCAATGGATTTCTCTAGCTCTTGTAGGGTTAAACACAACTAACGAGCCAGTCTTCACCCTACATCCTCCATGATGTACTATCTGTTGGCAAACGTCAATCTGTCTGTAGACTTAGCAGTTCACCCTCTTCATTGTTAGCAATCCCAGAATGCTCTGCTGGGCTTTTTGCAGCAATGGGTCCTAGAAAAGAGGGGATGTGTCCCTGTGATAACCCGTAGTCTGATATTATTCTTGGACCTTGTCATGTCTCTCGTGTTCTGCCTGTTCTTTCCTTGCTGGTCCCCAATCTTCACTGTGACACCTTTTGTTATAATTCGCTGAAGCGCACTGAGGGTTCCAGTTTGTGTGACAGGGCAGTGAGCACCTTGTTAAACTTGTCGTATCTCTCAGCCTGACTCCCAGATGCCCCTTTGCTGCCCCACAGCATCCGCATCTGGAATTCCGTACTGGAGACCTCCAGAAGATCTGTCCTGGTGTGGAAGCCTGGAAAAAACATGGAGCTTTGTGAGTGAAAGGTGAATGCAGACAACATCGTGCATGTATTGTTCTAAGGTAGCACTGCACTAATTAAAGCAGTGGCTATTCACATTTTATTTTACCAGGACCCAAACAACACGTAACGCTAGCTTGGTCACCAAGTTGTCCATGAGATAATTAGCTCAGTGACCCATTCATTGTGTTTAATATATTATTTATTTAAGCTCATTAGACTCTTTTTGAAGGGCTCTCCATTGCACTGGGAATGCCACGTTCACTACAGTAAACCATAAATAATATTATGACCCAGTTTTGCCTTAAATGGCCCTAAGCACAAAACATTTAGAAACGGAAGGGGGGTTTTGTTCCCCTCACTGGAGTGAATGGCTTGGGATTTTTACCTAAAGGTTCCACATGCTGCAAGTGTACATAGCAATGCCATTTAATGAGAGGGACATGACTGTGCTAAATTAGAACAGACAACTCCGATCCCCATGCCCTTACAGGAGCTGCAAATGCAAGTAATATATCAATGACTGGACTCGTATCTGGGATTCATGTGTTTGGTTACATCGCACCGTTACCGGTTTGTCTATAATGAGACAATAGAAAGCAAACAGCACTAGATATCAGTTATCTACTGAAAGAAATAGATTATCTTCTTCTTCCATTTTCTCTCTTTTCTTTCGCTACTACTACTTTCTTTTTTCCTCTATTTTATTAACTATCTTAGAAAACCAGACATGTTCTATCTACGATTTGAATTTTAAAACCTCTAAGTCCAACTTTTTATAATGGGCATCTCGCTGGTAAATTTAGGCAGCATGCCATATACCCGATTCATATGCGTTACTAAATGTATTAACTCTTGATTGCTTTGACTTTTAAATATAATTACAAAATGTGTGACGACTGAAGCTACAAATGTTATGTGAGATACATCAAGCAATACTTCGCTTTTTGTGTTCTTGTTCAATTGTACTCATTTTTTCCATACATATGTAATTAATTTGCTATCTATGATACTTGTCACACCAAAAATTTTTAAAAAACAAAAGAAAGGAATACATTCTACCAGTTAAGTATTCTGAATATCAATGATAGCCTTAATTAAACACATACTAATGTACACCTAGCTTTGTAAGAAATGTCAAAGGTTTGTGTAATATAGGCTGAAAACAAGATTAATATCCACCTAGAAGGTAAGGTCTCTAAAATGTAATGATATATTCCAAATAAGGTTCTGCAAAAGAACCCCCAAGGGGAATCCATGCTTTCCTCCTTCTGCTTACCCTGAAGCCTCATCTCAGCGTTGGTTCGGTAAAGTCCTCCATGATGTGCCACCATCCGTGCAGCCTCCAGATGTGCCATAACTACTTCTACTCCATTGTCAATGCTGTCCCAGGGTTCTCCCCCGTCAAGCAGAGGGGTGTCTCGCTCCAGGAGGGTAATGAGCGGGATGATATGTGGGAATGTGGTGTTGCTTAGAGGAAGGCTCTCTGCAAAGAGAGTTACACATTATTCATTTTGGATGAAAAAAAAGTCCATCCAGCAAAAACTGTTCACACATCTCTGTACTTCTGTTTATAAGGTAACTGATGTGTGATGATGAATATCTTATCTAATAGGATTCTAAATAGAGCGTTGTTTTTACTTGTTTGCTCCTGCTAAGCGATTTGCCATCACAGTGCCATTTTGACAGGATAATAATCTATAACATTATAAAATGTAATTGGCCAAAGCGGGTGGACATCAGGTTGAAGATTTAGTGTCACTAGCAGGAAAGTGGGGCAAAGTTCTAAAAGAGGAGTGATCACCATGAACACTCCAGTGGTTACTATAGTGATTGCTCCACTTTAGAACTATGCCCCACATTTCTGTTAGAGACACTTACGACACAGAAGAACAAACACACACAAACATTATCAAAAAATATGCTGGCAACATGAAACAAGTGTTGAAATTTTGTGGTTAATCCTACAAGAGCCTCAACTGAAATTTCTGTTTGAAAATGAAACACAAAAGCAGGGGAATAGGCTAATGATGATAAAGTCAGCCTGATCCTGGGGTAATCTTTAGAAATCTGTAGCCTTCGGCAGTTAAAAACCTCAAGATTCTTGCAGAAAAATGTTGATGAGATTCAGGGCAGACGCTCACCGTTTCCTTCATTGACGCTCTTCAGAAATGGTTTTAGCTTTTTCTCATACAAGATGGCTCCTTCTGTGTGTCGCTGCCTCAGGCCTATCCATGTCTGCTCCAGTCTGGAGATCTGAGAATGTGGGATAGACAGGCTACGTTACTTCATGCAGTGTGGATGCATTAATCTGGCTGTGTTAGACCAACTATTCCGTCAAGATTATAATGGACCAGGCAGGAGGTCTTGTGGAGCTTAATTATAGTGACCGAACCTCCCCCCATAAGCTTATTACTGTGACAGCAGGGTTACCAAACTAAATAGCTTAGTTTATATGCACTATATGAAAATAAATTCAACTTGCTGTCAAATCTGAGGCCTACTCACGGCTAATTAAGATCAAATATAGCCATTATATTCACAGTGATAAGACTGAAAACTTTACATGTACAGTCTAACATTAATATATATTTTTTTTAAAGGAATTGAACTATCTGGAGTTAAATATCTCTGGCAACAAAATAATCGGGATTGCTGAACAAACTGACAGGGTTATTCAGTGAAGGGTCAATGGTCGGCCGTTTAATTTTTTTAAATGCGTTTTGATCTTCTGACAATTCATATTTTAGTGAACCATCCCGGTATAATAATTAATTAGTTTGCTGCACCGAGCTTTGACTTGAACGTTGGTGTTTTACCTGTGTCATTTCCAAAGCGTTCATTACAGCGGCAAAGCTGAACATATTTCCCATGGTGCCTTTCAGCTCAGCCGCCAGCTGGATAGTCTTGTGGAGAAGAGCCGCCCTTTCCTCTGTGCTACCCGTGCACCCCAAAATATCGACAGCAATCATAATGGACATGGTGTGAAACCTGCAACGTGCGGAGAAACAAGGTGGTGAGACTGTGTGACGAAAGCAATGGCGGCGGTACAGAGGTAGACGTGCAGGACTCTCAAAGGACTGTTGATATCGTCTGCACACTATAATGAATAATGTGCTAAATAAATTCATGTGAAAATAAAACCTGGAATTCTGGGAATAACTTCTAGAACACTGGCAGGATTATTCAAAGGGACTTCAAATTGAATTTCCCATTTAAGGTCAAAATAGCTGAACTAGGAAAAAAAAAATCTGTAAATCAGCTATTCTGACCTTTAATTTATAATTCACCTTTAATTCTCCATTTAGTGAATAGCGCCGACAATCTCTCGAGATTTATATCGTGTACTTATGGAGTGGTTAGATAAGGTCAATACAATGGATCTTGTGAGATACATGCATTGTACATATAGGTACATGCATCGATAAAGCATACACAGATTGGGCCACATACACCAATTACACATATATAGGGTATGATCTACACACGACTATTTATTTCACACACAAAAAATGTGTACCAGACCAGGCGTTTTTAGTATTAAATCAGCCTACAGAGCAGGTAATTCTATACAAAAGATGCCTGAACCCAAATTAAATTTAAAATGAGATAGAATTAGAGACAGAAGTTCTTGGTCACAATTTATTGTCCAGCTTAAAGTTGCCATTGTCTTATAGCAGTGGTTTTCTTTTCAGTACAGGCTAAATCACTACATTGCACAGTCAGGGTTGGAGCTCAGCAGTCTAGCTGATATTTTCTGCCCATTATCATGCCCGAGAATAATACAGCCAAATAATTGAGCTACTTTTCACATACCTTTCCAGAAGGTCGAGTCGCAGTTGGCGGCCATGAGGCAATGTGAGTAGCTCCATGCCGGAGCTCACCCCCATGGTCCTCTGCATCTCCTTGGTAACTCCGAGTATCCTGGCAACCTGGGAATGATGCAGAAGTAGAGATTAATGTCTCCTAATTGGAAATAGATTACAGTCTGACAATGAGGAAAGAGGGCCCCAAGGGGAATCTAATCAACACGTCAATGACATTTTAAAAACTTTCCTGTCCAAAAAAAAAAAATTGCTGGCCTGCTGGGAGAAAAACAGTCACTGTTTTTTTCCGAGAAGTACTGGCAAAAGTAGAACATGACATCATCATGACATCACTGGAGTTACTAAAAATATATTGATGTCATTAAATGGGTTAGCTAGAGCCCTCCTAGATAAGCACGGTTGTGATAAACGGAGTTTAAAAGCTGAAGTGTTCTATGTACAATAGTCACTATCCTGTGACTATATATGTTGTTGAGCCCCACAGAATAAAACTGCGAACTATTAATCAGCACTGGATTAAACTCCAGAGGCTGCCAATTTTCACTATAACTCCTACCCATTCAAAAAGCAGGCATCTGTGTACTCTAATCACACAATGATCGGTCCCAGCTACATAATGCACAGTGACGAGACACTAAGTAGATTGGTTCTGCTGCCAGGAGGATTGCTAGGGCTGTGGGGACATCGCTGGATGTTGAATGTATGAATATAGCATGTCAGCATGTTTTGTGTATTTTCTAAGAGTTACAGATGCGCCCCCATCCCTTGTACCTACTGAGTAAAGAAATTGAACAGCGACTCAAAGACTGCAAAGTGGTTAAGGTCATAGGCTTAGAGCTGAATAGTCTTCTTAGATTTTGGGAACACTCAGCTTTTCAGTAAGGTTTTGTCCTGACATCATGCAAAAAGGGGGATTTGACACCCTGACAAATTACCGTCAGAATTATAACTGAAGGTACACCAGTGCCTACACTCATTACTAAATTAACCAAATGTTTTTACACAGATGCATTAAGTAAAAAGATTATATATATAGAAGCAAGAGCCGAGAACACAGTTTATATACATTTCCTTTCCCGGATACTCTAACTTCCAGCCAAAAATGACAAATTCCAAAGAGAGGCTCACTCAGGGTATTGTAATCCAAAATATGATTGCTTTAATTTAACTAGTGTTGTGTTAGCAGAACGGAAACGTTGACTTTTGTTTTTTTACACTGATAGAATAAACCCTGGAATGCTGGATATTTCTCCACTTTAGTTAATTAGTGTAATTCCAAGCACCGGGCAGCTGAGGATCCTGGGAAGTTGATTGCAGGGCTCTCTATATATTTTTTATATATACCTTAGTCTTTGTATAGCAGTGTACCCCTAATCTATAAACATAACTCTGTAAGACTAAAGCACTCCGGCACCTAACACGCTCAGCCTGCCATAATATCTGTAAACAGGTAGGTCTTCAGCATCAATATTGACTTTTATATTGACTTTTTTTTTTTTTGCCATATTATCTAGTGGTTATCCATGCAGTGTCTTTCCTGTGCCCTCTGACATGTGTGCATTCTGCCTAACAGGAAAATCAATCCTGCTCTACCCTAAAGGCAAATCCTTAACCAGTCAAGTGTGATTTCTACCCCTGCTTGTCAATATGAAATCACCCCGCCTATAAATAACTCACCTGCTCTCAAGAACAATTCTATCCATTGTGTTCTACCCTTCCCAAAAATTAAAGTAATGACATAGTGGCTGTATTTGCCCTAAAATTCAAAAATGTTATATTTTGCTGTCATCACAATTGTGTCCTGAAAACCTTATGTCATTATGGAGTGCCTTTCTTCTTTAAAAATAGCAGGCTTGTATAGAGTTGTACATACTATCTAGCCCTTACAGGGTTAAATAAGCGTATAGCAAAGATACTTTGATCTAATTACTAAAACATCTAATTTGGCACAAAGATGAATCATATATTAGTCTACCATTTCTAACATATAATTAATGCATGATGTCTTACAGTGTGACAAAGTCTTTGGCCTGTTCAATAAGGGGAGCATTGTGTGATATTTAAAGGACCACTATAGTGCCAGGAAAACATACTCGTTTTCCTGGCACTATAGTGCCCTGAGGGTGCCCCCACCCTCAGGGACCCCCTCCCGCCCGGCTCTGGAAGGGGGAAAGGGGTTAAAACTTACCTTTTTCCAGCCGCCTGGTGCAGCTCTCCTCCTCCGACCTCCTCTTCTCCTCCCCGTCGGCTGAATGCGCACGCGCCAAGAGCGCGCTGCCAGATTCAGCGGTCACATAGGAAAGCATTCATAATGCTTTCTTATGGACGCTGGCGTGCTCTCACTGTGAAAATCACAGTGAGAAGCACGCAAGCGCCTCTAGTGGCTGTCAATGAGACAGCCACTAGAGGAAATAGGGGAAGGCTTAACCCATTCATAAACATAGCAGTTTCTCTGAAACTGCTATGTTTATGAAAAAATGGGTTAACCCTAGCTGGACCAGGCACCCAGACCACTTCATTAAGCTGAAGTGGTCTGGGTGCCTAGAGTGGTCCTTTAAACATTTATCACGGAGGTGGTGGGTCGCACATTTAATGTTTTGCGACTAACTGCTCATGAATCCTAGCAGCCAGAACTCCTCCCTGTATCTTATTGTCCCAGAGCTCATTCTCTTACCTCACAGTCAGTTTTGGTAATGTGCTTGGCGATGGTTTTGGCATCCACCTCGGAAAAGAGCTCCTTGACTTTTTTAAGGATGCACATCTCCAGTGGTTTGTTGTCCAAAGGGATAAGAGTGGACTTGAAAGTCGATGGGTTGAATGAAGATTTGGGTTCCATGTTGGGGATAGTGAAATTTCCCCTGTCTCTTTCTGCATCTTCCACTCCACGGCTGCCCACAATCCTGACCCCCTCGTCAACTTTTAACCTTTCCACATAGCTCTTGGGAGGAAGAGATTTGTTAGGAGAGTCATGGGAGGGTGAGGCTGGGCGAAGCTGGCAATAGTGCCCATTATCCGGATCTGTGTAACTGTTCATGGAGGGTGAAGGAGAGATGTGTGGGTATCCGTGACTTGGCGTAGAATGGGAGCTGTCAGCCATGTTTAGTGCAGCTTTGTTATTTGCAGGGCAAACATAGGGTTCGCTGGATCTTCTCAAAACTGGAGAAGCAGGAGTGACACAATGGGGCTTTACTCGGACAACTGTACAAAGATAAAAGCAGCACATTAATTTAAAGTGTAATCAACATGCACTACAGATTTTCCAAAAAAAGAGAAAAAAATATTTTAGTCACCTGCAAACACAGATACTGCTTAGGGATGTATTCACAAAAAAAACAGAGGAAAGTAGACACAGTCACTGGCTTAATAGAAATGCTACATAATTAACCCCTAAAAGACACATTCCCCAAATTCCCATGTGTACGCATTTTAATATCACTTACTGCATGAGCTAGCAATTATCAGGTTCTTATATGATAACATTCAATGAACATTAACTGAACACTAGTGAGTATAACCAAGCATCGCACATACCTGTACTATATGCAGGGGATCCAGGTGTCTCAGCGATTGGAGACATGGGAGCGTGCAGGTCCTGGATTTGGTCCACACTGACAGCACAACTTCTGACAATATCTCTGTGATGTGGGGAGGAAATGCTGAAAAACAAAAAATAAACATTGTCCATATCTTATATAGAAGTCCAAAATATACAATCCTTCCCCTTTGCATTTAGAAAGATGTATGATAAAACACTATCTTGTTTCTAGAAGAGACAATTGGTAAATTGCAGGCCACTTGATAAGGCTGGTCAATAGCTTTTAAAAGTAGCCACATTCCTTAAGACTACTTTAATATATATGAAAAACATACAATGACCAAGCCATAAAACGTGGAAGCGCTGGGACTACACAGAGGGGATAACGACATAGTAAGAATAGAATCTCTGCCAAATGACTTTTCGTCAAATTATTCCTGATACCTCCTGTGGTTAAATGTGAAATTGCGTGTGATAAATTAGAAAATATTAAATACAATTTAAACATCCCCGGAGCTAATTGTTTTCCTTCCCTGCTACCCTGTAAAGATGGCAAGAGGCCAGAAAAATCTCCTAGGAGAAATATACAGATTTAACAAACTCTATCCAAGAACACTTTAAACCAGTATTCAATCACCGATAGTAGAAAAGGGAAAAGCTTTTAAATAAATAGCAGAAGTGCTTTGCTAGCTGCCATACGCTTAAAGGGTTAAATAGATTGATACCCGAGCTTTGGTTGTGCTCCATTGACTGAGCTTGGCTCCTTCTGAACTATTTACTTCTCAAAAGTTTGACTCAAGTTTTAGAGAGAGTGTTTTGTGAATATTAAAGGTCTAAGAATGTTCTAGTTATTTGTACCTGTTTGGACAACCGTTGCCTTTGGTAATTTTGTCTGCGGTCAGCCCATCTGTCATTGTGATGCTCCTTCTTTTCATGTGTCCTTTTTGGGGGCTGTGAGACCCTCCGTGCCTAGAAGGAGCGAGTCCATAACTGGCTTCCAGATATCGCAGTGGAAACGTCCGGTTGATTGGGCAATAGATAAGGGCACCGCTTTGTTCTGACACTGCCCGTCGGCTTCCCACATAGAAGCGCACCAAGGAGGGAATGTTATCGAAGCTCTCCTGCTCAAACAGATACTGTATCCGTGTGTAGCCATCACTGGTCTTTACCATCACCTTGTTGATCTTGAAATGCAGGGGCTCATTTTTCCAGCGGCTGGTCAAAACATAGTCACCCAGACTTGTCAGCGAATCCCGGATGAGGAAGTCTCCATTTTTTAAGACCAAACTCTCTGATACCTAAGGAAATAGGATAATTATTAATATCAAAATCAAATGGTTTATCTAAATAAATTACACTGGGCATCAAGATGGATGGTAAATGCTTCATCTTCTCAGCACTGCCTGTTGTCCTTTTAGTGTCTTTTTACTTTCCTCAGCACTTCGTTATTTTAAGACCACATCTGTTCTGTTCGGCCCTTATTTCCTGAAACCCCCATTCCTTATTGTTGGCCCCCATGCTACATTTCCTTCCCAGGTAAAACCCTTAAAAGATACTGTGCTTTATTATAACACACTATTAATGCACCCCCCATATCCATAGGAGGCTTTCTCATTCCATAGAAATCTTGCATTTAGAAACATGAGAATTGCAGCACTCCACATTCCCTGCAGTAATGAAAGCTTATTGAGAAAGTTGTCCAGACATTAGCACCAAATGTGTCCCTCAGCAGGTTTAGTTGGCATACTGGAGGAGATATATTAGAGTGTCATATTCTGAAAAGTGACCCAAAGTTCTAAAAGTGGAACAACCACAATGGGAACCAATTTAATAAGAAGGCACATTCCACTAGTCACTTTGATTACTCCACCTTCACAATTTTTGGAACTCAACACTTTAATTAATCTTCCCAATTGTATTTCTCATGTGATGCTGTTGTCAAGGTATCTAATGTAAGTAGTGTTGTTTCTTAGACCTCTGCAAAATTTGTGGGCACACCACAGCACATAACGAAAGACCTGGCCTTTGCCCTCCTTACACAACTCCTTACTGGAGAGCCACCTATACCTCTTTAATGGTGGCCATGTGTTTTAAATGCTTTGTACTGGACTTGCTTGCTTATCGCTATTTCATTCAGTGTATGCAAAATATCTAGTGAAAAATACAAAGAAATACAGTTATCGTAACTTACAAGAGGTTTTTGTTCACTATGTGTGCTTTTGTGAAGCTAAATGAAACAAAAGTGATCCATTGTCTGGAGTTTGTTGGATTACATCTCAATCATAATCTGGTTGAAGATATTCAAAGTTACAATCTAAAAAAAGACTGAGTAAAACAGAGGCATGAAAAGTGGTTCCGTAAGCCTTAATATGTAGAAGAAGAATCTTATACAGAGACCTTCTCAAATCAATCATCTCTAGTCTGTGACAGAGACCTTCTCAAATCAACCATCTCTAGTTTGCGACAGAGACCTTCTCAAATCTACCGTCTCCAGTCTGTGACAGAGACCTTCTCAAATCAACCATCTCTAGTCTGTGACAGAGACCTTCTCAAATCAACAGTCTCTAGTCTGTGACAGAGACCTTCTCAAATCAACCATCTCTAGTTTGTGACAGAGACCTTCTCAAATCAACAGTCTCTAGTCTGTGACAGAGACCTTCTCAAATCAACAGTCTCTAGTCTGTGACAGAGACCTTCTCAAATCTACCATCTCTAGTCTGTGACAGAGACCTTCTCAAATCAACAGTCTCTAGTGAGTGCAAGAACATGGGACTAGAATCGCACACACATGTATACACCAGATTAACATACAAATTGGATAGGTTTTACTCATTGGATTATTAATGGTCCATCATGTCTGTGACTTTGTAATGTCAACTGAAGATGAATTGAATGTTTCTACAGCTATTGTTAATAACTCGTCGGCCACTGCAGTGTAACTTTGACTCAAACAACATCACAACAACATTGTGATTCCATGTCTCCATCCCCAACTTACCTCCCGTGGAATGCGTCCGTGGTACCAGGCGTGGCTGCGTAAATCTGAACTGTTGAGCTTTAATTCCTCCTCTAGTTCTTTGTGTAACTTCTCAGGCGGAGTATCCAAAATATATTTCTCCTTCGAGAACTGGAAGGTGATAATCACAAAATTAACAAACATCACAAATACATTTTCACAAACAAACATAATGGAAACAAAAAGCTGTAACATCTAGTTATTTTATGCTTTATATGTTAGAAGAATATCCAGAACAAGTTCAGACGCAGTAATAAGCTCCAGTGGTTACTTTTTGAGCAATGTAGTGGTTCACGTTTAAAAAGTAATAGTCACCTGACTAAGACTTTCCCTGCATAGTAATGGAGTAATGGAGTAATGGAGGTATCAGTTAGATTCAAGAATGGATCTCCTATTTTGTGTTCACAGTATTGCACCTTGATCTATAATTGAGTCTATTTATAAATTTTGATGCTTTTATGGTCACAGCAACATCCAAACACATTCTAAAAGCTGAGTACCACAGGATTCTAAGTACTTACGCAGTCAAAATGCTAACATACAGACATATAACATATGATACACCATCCATTTAACATATTGAGTGTTCTGGGGCAAAGTTATAAAAGTGAATCAGTCAGCAGGAACATTCCATTGGTTACCATGGTGATTCCACCATTAGTACAACTCTATCTTAAAATTGCGCTTTATAAAACCAGCATTGTTTAGTTGCTTGTTTGGTTTTTATTTTTTGCGGTTCTCCTAAATTACAATGTTGCACAAGATTTGAGACTGAAACTGGTTTGTAATCCTTTGATGCCCAATACTGTAAATCCAGGGTAATATTCCTCGAAGACAAATTCTATGCTTGATAAAGGAGTTCAATTACCAAGCCGGACTACAGGGAAAGTAGCTGCACGATCAAGGTGATAGACATCCTTACAATATATACTGGGGTTATTTCTAACATCACTGGCTTGATCATAGCCCACTCATCCATCAATGGGTGACGGGGAATTAAATATAAATAATTTCTACATTTGGCAAACCCGATGATTCTAGAACAGGGGTGCCCAAAAGGTAGATCCCCAGATGTTGTAGAACTACAAATCCCATGATGCTTTGTGTGCCTTTAGAATGACAAAGCATTATGGAAGTTGTAGTTTTGAAACATCTGGGGATCTACCTTTTGCGCACCCCTATTCTAGAATAACATGAAATACTGTTTCTATAGCAACCTGAGAACAACACATAACAGAATGACTTTGCGGTAGGTATGAATGAAGACGCACTGCATGCCTTTTGTGTGCCATGACTACCATCTAAGCATAGCAGACATTATAATACAACAGGGATTGAAAGTGCTTTAATACAATGTTTCACCGTATAAAGCTTTGGGCGGCTACACTGATGTTTTCAATGTCTCTTTGTGATTCTTTGTACCAACTGACTGAAAGCTAACCTCATGCATTTTTCTTTTTGCCTACTGCATTGGCTTCAGACAGACACATCATCTTCCCCTCCATCCTTTAGTTAATTCATATTTTTCCCCCCAAGTCTCTGTCTAGTCTCCATTTAACAGGATCAGATTTAGCAGTTTAAATCTGTCTGAGGGTTTGACCTCATGTATGGAGACAGAGGAGGACCTTGAGGTTTCTACCGTGTCGATAGACTTCTCTAGCATTGAATAGGGTTAAGCACTACACCAAAAAAAACATTCTGCCTCCTCGCTCCAGGTGTCCGGTCTTAGAATCCCCCCCGTTTTCACTGCAGCATGAGATAATCCCCTTCTGCACAAAATCGTATCAAAGCCGGACAGGGATCTTGAATAATACAGACGGTTTAGAGCCATCGTCTGCATTGTAATGAGATTTCATGGACGTGGAAACACCTGAGCCGATCACCCATCCCTCAGAGCCCCCCCTTCTCGTCTTGCACACCACACTGTAAGAGCAATGATGTAATGCTTTGAGTCAGTGGGATCCCAACAGTACAATTCTAGAAGCTGTGCTCACCCATACAATTAGAAGGCATGCTCTTTGCAGCTTCTTTCTCCCTACTGTTCCACATTCTATTTTCCTCAAATTGTGCTATAGAAACAGAATGGTAATGATCAGAATGGCACTTGGCCTATTTCAGCAGGCTAATTGCCCTGACTGCTGACAGGTTGCATTAACCCTCTTTGAGATAAGCATAAAAAAACAAAACAAAAACACAATAATAATTTTTTTTTGTTTGTTTTTTTGTCATTATAAGAAGAAAAAAAAAACTCTAACAAAAAAACACCCAAAGCATAAATATCAGGATTATTCACTTTACTGGGAATTGTGGAGAATTGACAAGCAAATTGCTAATTTTAGTTTAAAATTGCTAAACTGGAAATATATTCAATAATTTTTCCCCTTCAGTTCAATTATTTTCGTGTATAATTTGCAATTAACGAGCATACAATTACCAATTAGCTGTATAACCTATAAATTAAATATATATATATATATATTTTTTTTTTTTTTAATTGCTTGTCAACTTATATGAACGTATTAGATTGTGATTTTCAGAATTAATGATGAGGTCCCTGTAACACAGCTGTGTACACATAAGTACTTAGCATATTTGTCCATCGAATCTCTGCTGCTGTTCTTTCATTCTCACCAGCTCCCATAAAAAAAAGAAATATAATCACCCCACTAAAAAAAACTCCAACATAATAATTATCAAGATTATAATACTGTAACTTAACACAACAAGAAAGTTTAGCAAACCCCAGAATTATATTTCTGTTTGTGTGGCCTTGCTTTCAGTAGGAGCCGAGAAAGGGAGGTGGTCTAATTACTGGAGGGGACATCAGCCTAAATATTCCCTAGAGGGGAAAAAAGGTTTAAGTAGATGCTGTTTCCATGCCAACCTATGCTTATTCAAGCACTATGTCTTCACTACCGTCTGACAGTGAGACTTCCCCTTCCATGGTTGGTTGTTACCACAAAACCATCCAAGGTCCATACATTGATTTTTTTGGCTAGCCGATTAACAGCTAGAGAATAAAATATCTGCTTTAGGGAAGGGTTGGAAACACAGAGATATTCTGGCCTGTAACAAGAGTCTAGCTGAGAACCAACAATTTTTTTCAGATACAACATTGTCTAAGGTACTCAATTCCAAATCGATGAGTTCCACAAGCATGGCATGAGTGTGTGGTCTAACTTGAAGGAAGGTCTACGGATGCCCAGCTGTGCCAGTCAAGAATTATTTAATGGAGTAATTTTTTAGCACAGTTATTTACTAAACTGTGTATTTTCAGTAATTAAAAACTTTACGCCAAAGTTGTCAATCTGGTAACAAAGCGCACTACCACAATAGCCACTTTAAAATCCCCACAATTCAAATTTCTGCGAATAACCCTGTCAATGTTTACAAGAACCAATTTGTAGAAAATAATCAAGGCACTCCAATAGTTTCCAATTCTTAAGGCAATTTATTTGGACCAGGAACTACAAAGCAACATTTCAGCCCCAACAGGGCTTTTTTCAAGCTTGAAAAAAGCTTTTTAAGTCCTGGAGAATAATCTGATTCATTTTGTTACTACACGCAGGCTTGGAAAATTTTCCTAAACTTTTCCAGCGTGAAAAAAAAGCTACAAAACAAGGTTGTTCCACCCAGAGGCCTGGTTCTTGTAAACAGTATAATCAAAGCTGGAAGTACACTCAGCTCCTCACTAGGGAATCCAGTGTACTCTTGAAAAAGTCCCAGTACCCAAAAGGACCAAGCGGATAAATTTGTAGAAAATAATCAAGGCACTCCAATAGTTTCCAATTCTTAAGGCAATTTATTTGGACCAGGAACTACAAAGCAACATTTCAGCCCCAACAGGGCTTTTTTCAAGCTTGATTATTGATTATTTTCTACAAATTTATCCGCTTGGTCCTTTTGGGTACTGGGACTTTTTCAAGAGCACACTGGATTCCCTAGTGAGGAGCTGAGTGCACTTCCAGCTTTGATTATACTGTTTACAACAACCAGGCCTCTGGGTGGAACAACCTTGTTTTGTAGCTTTTTTTTCACGCTGGAAAAGTTTAGGAAAATTTTCCAAGCCTGCGTATAGTAACAAAATGAATCAGATTATTCTCCAGGACTTAATACAGTATGTTTCTAGATCTCTAGGCCCCTAGCTACTGACTTGTCAAACATCCTACAAAAATAACAAATTTCTATGCATTTCCACTGACCATGGTAAAAGTGGGCCAAAGATCATGTACGATGTTCACTCACAGTACTGTTAAAAGTATTTGTGCACAAGAGGCTGGGAATATGTACATGTCTGGGCTTGGATTACTAGTGGGTTTATATAGTCCATCGCTATAGAATCTTAGTTTAGAATCTTGACATTTTTACAAAGCTTTAGCAGTAGTATAAATTTAGATAAACCTGTCTGCCAATAACCACCAATCATGCAAATTAACAGAATACTTTGTTAAATGTGCAAATTGCATTGACTAATAACCTTGAAAATTACAGACGACAAATTAAAAAGTGGTATGCAGAATTGCACACAGTAAAGCTTCTTGTGGTCTAGATTCTATTAGATAAAATAAGCTTATCTGGTGCAAATGAATAGCATTCTTTTCACATATAAAATTCTCAATTACAAGAGATTACAAGGCTTATACCATCTAATAGAATCTGGCCTAGGTTTGGTATGATCCCTTCCCGTTTACTCAAACTAACAAACTATACATTTTGACAAAAATATTTTTGGATTAAATTTATATATATTTATAGGTTTTTCATCAAACTAATTTATTAAAGTGTCATTGATAAGAAAACAATATCGCTTGGGATAAATCTGAAAATTGCCTGAAACCTGATTTTTCTGTTTCATTTCACACTAAATGCCACTTTACTGCCTTGCCAGGCCTAAGGGCAAAAGCTCATGTCATGGGGGAGCGCAGCCTGTGAGCAGGGTTCTCATTGTAAAATTTCACACCCTGCTGGACAATGTACACACAACAAACAGATGACATAATCCTGTTTTCGTTTAACTCTTTCATCGATCACCGACTCTGCCATTTATTAACCCGTACTTCAGCAGGAATTTAAAAAAAAATTTAATAAGCTAGACCAGGTTTAACGATTTGCATCCTATACCCCCCTCCCCTATTGCTGCTACTGATTCTAATGATGTAAGATACTGGCGTTTTTATTCTGGGGTTCTAAGGTTCTCCCCCTGTTCAGATGCTGCATCTTATTCCTCAGCTGCTATTGGCTAAAAATGATGTCATGTCTCCCAGAGCTAGGTAGGTTTCTATTGGTAGAGGTGCAGAGATGTTGCCGTCACCGGAGCAACACCCAGTCATTCATATATATCTTCATCACCCATCCTTCCTCAGTAACCATTAAGGTACCAGAGGGCAGCAAATGTCTTTCCTACAGATTACATGTGGCATGTTTAATGCAATAGATATGAAATCAACAAGACTATATAATATATAATGCAAATATATTTCCTTTTTTTTGCAATTGTTCTATTTATAATGACCAGCTCTCAAATAATGACCAATGACGTACACACAAATATAAGCACTTACCCTTACAAAGCATGCAATTTCACAGATATTAGTGTCTAAGCTATGCCAGTAATCCATTCTACCCCAAGTCACATCCTCTTTCAACAGCGCTCAAAACCTACAACTCTTGTTACAAGCACATGGAAGAGGGCCTCTTGCCAAGCAGATGGATCATCTTGCTGCCAAGAGGACCAGCATTGTGTGGCATAAATGGGTTTACCAGTACAAAAGCCACTTGCTAGTGAATGGCAATTGCTCATGTAAGATAGAAAACAGAAGTGGCCATGCGATGGGTCCATCCACTCCACTAGCCACCCTGTGTTAAAGCACTCTGCAGAGGAGACAATTTTATGACCCCATCTGCAGAGTTACAACTGGAACCTCAATCCAGAATCAGTGGTTATGGTGCACAGATGCCCCGTTGTACATACAGAAATGCATGTGTTAAGCATTACACAGGCTGGGTTTAAAAAAAAACTCATGGTCAGCGTGCTCAAGGCGAGGCGAGCTGACCTCAGCATGGTCAATATTTACCCAGTACCCAAACCAAAGCATTACCGCAGATCAGTGACAGCTAACCTTTGGTGCTCCAGCTGTGGTGGAGAGTTTCCTATGATCCCCAGCCAACCATTCAAACAGCTAAGAATCAAGGGAAACAAGCTTAAAAGAACTGGGGTGGCAAAGGGTGATGGAGGAAGCTCTGTTGAGATTCTGTTGATCATCTACCAGGTAACAAGCAGGTAACAGACAGGTACCGGTCTAGGTCATCTGGAACACTGGAATATTAGTATTGCGTGTAAATAAAATGTAAAAATCTCTTACTACTTCAACACAGAATACTTAGAAATATCTCACACAAAATCTGTTAAATATTGGGGACCACTTACAAAATATTATCAGCGTATATTAAAAACAAATCTGGTACCAAAACCCACTACAGTGTCAGCTTCTCTGAGGTTCTTAATAGTGATGGTCATAAGACAAGGGTTAGGTTTAACCTATGTATAGTCAGAGAACTTGAGTTAGCAATTCATCTAGACCTGTGTGGGTTAATCTCAGGTGTTGCATGGGTTACTAACAGATACATTGTATACTGCTGATAGTATGTATAGTCCATTCTAACCATGCCTCCTGTACACTGCAGCTTACCTGCACCTGCATAAACGAGCCGCGGTAAAAGCAGCATGCGGCCGCTGAGAGGGCACTCCACAAACTGCACCTTTCAGTCATTGTATAAAGGTATCCTCCATCCACTTCCAGGGGAAAAATAAAAAATAAGGTAAAAGGAGAGAGAGTCTTTTCACTTTCCCCTCTTGCCTTAGACAGCCTTGTCTACCCAGCACAGAGCGAGATAAGGCACTGTAGCAGCCTGTTCAGAAGATGCTGACTACTGGTGCTGATGCTGCTGTTAAATTGCAGGCTGATGCTACTTGCATTACCTCATCCCTTGTCAAGAGAACATCATGGGAGGAGTCCAGTTACTCACAGAAAATCAGCCATAGCTAAAGCCTTATTCCTATCACCCACCCAGCCTCCACCCACCCATTCCACCCCTCCCTACACCAATCTCCCAATTCCCTCTCTGCCTCTCTAGCCTTACACCTCCCCCTATGCTTGCATTTAGGCAGGAACGGAGGGATATTAAGCATGTGTATGAATGAGGGGTCCTTAGTGCTAGGCTATGCAAGGTGGGAGGTAGGGTTAATACTAAAGGTTAGCATAACAAGTGGAGCTATATGGTGGGTGTTCCAGGTGTTGCAATACAAGGGTCTGAGCATATTTGGCATGCATTACCTTCCATCTTTAGATAGTGTGTTTGTGGCGAGGATATATATGGCAATCTTGCTTCTGAAATTCACTTTAACCGTAAAAGCCTAAAAATACCAATATAACTGCACACAGGGTTAAGTGTACTTTCTCTGTACTTCATGCGTACCTCTATACAGGTGGATTTAGTCTTTACATGAATATGGCAGGTTTAAATACAAACGTTCTTTTGGGGTAAAAACAAACAACTCCACAGGGAAACTGGAATCTTAATTTAAAAAACAAACAAAGAAAAACAATCCAGTATTCAAAATGGAAAAAGTTAAATTTTAAATATTATTAATAAAAATCATCAAGTAAAAATTCTTCTCGCTACAGGCAATACTGCACTATTTTATACTATTTATTTAGGTTCAATAACTTAACAGGAATATTAAGAACTAAAATAATGTATTCAACACAAATGAAGGTGAGAATTTGCATGTGAATTCTTTCTGTGAATGATGGAGTACTAGACATGGGGACCTGCCCATTCAAAGGTAGAGGGGGCCTCCATGAAGTATCACTATACATTTTCTCTCTAACAAAAATTGCATCACTAACAGAGGGATGTGAAATTGTGAATGATGGCGTACTGGACAAAGGGACCTGCCCATTCAAAGGTAAAGGGGGCCTCCATGAAGTATCTCTATATGACCATCGCCCCCAATCCCAAACTTAAATGTCATCACTAATATATGGATGTGAATGATAGCGTGCTACTAGACATGGGAGTCAGCCCATGCCAAGGGAAAGGACAGACGTTCAGCAAACTGGCAACTTGCCAATTTAAAATCAGTAACAAGAGGGACAGGGATATGGGGTGCAGGTCGAAAAATAAGGGACAGAATCCCCTCAACTGGAGGGGTGACACTTATTTACAAGTCTAAGCACAAAAGGCCCTTGTTTAATGTTCACTTCTGCTTGCCGTAAAACCACTTAGAGAATGGTTTATATTAGGCCGTTTACTCATAAGAACACGCATAGAGTGGTCATTTAAAGGAATGACTATAGCTGGAAATGGAAGCCACTCAGACTCTAGATGTAACCGTAAAATATGGATCCTATATTTAACATGGAGGAAGCCTTTTTAGCTAACAAAATATTTATTCGTTAAAATTTATTTTGCCTTTATTTAAAATGACACATTTGACAATGATGGTTCCTAAGAGGACAGAAGCCTTCTTTTAAAAGGAAACTAACCTAAAGCTATAGGTTTGTTGCAACAGCCATCTATTCAGATTTCCATTTCTGACACCATCAGGGGAATACAATTCTCTTTGATTTCCAAATGGCAATTATATTTCTCCTTGGATCAATGTGCAGTTCAATGATTTTGCAAAACAAAACCTTTAAAATGTGAAATGTAAAAAAAAAAAAAAAAGAAAGAAGCATTGCTCTATTCTCTCCACCAAACAAATCCATGAGAAGTATTATTATTATTAATATTAATAGAGAAGAAACTAATTTTGAATATGGCCTTTAGTTAAATCCATTCTTTAGCTGAGCTATTCTTTTTTTTTTCTTTTTTTCACAGCTTGTCCTTTATTTCGTATGCAAAATGTTAGCAGACATGTAACAGGTTTGAAAAGAGGGTGCATTGTTGCCTACACAGAGGCATAGTACATCAAACAAACAAGAGTAAGGCTTATTACATATTTCGTGGTAGTTCCGACCTGGGTAACGGTGGGCAATTCATAACCTCTGATAGAGAACAGTTTACCCACGCAGGGGTAGTGTTGTATATTTGGTAGATGGTTTGAAATGCGGGGTTGTTTCATCAGTAGCTTTGCAACATTAGCCTACGCAGAGGCTTATAAAATATGATCCCTGTGATTTTTGAGGCCGGCATTTTTTGTAATATACCTTTCTTAAGCAGATTGGGTATGTGGTCTCATGGGGCATAGCGACTATGGTGATATTGTTTTACGATATATTGCATAGTGGTCGCTATTGCGTGCCTTCCATAGGGAATTGCTTAGCCGATGTTAGGGTGCTATATAATGTATCTAGGTCAGGTTTCGTAGAGGAGTAAAGCAGTCCGTCTCTATTGGTTGCCTTGTAGGAGCGTCCGTGTTCAGAACCCGTGTCGTGGCACCCTTGTGTTATTTCTCTCGGTTCGAGGCTGTCTCCGGGTTGGGGTCAGTCGGGATATCTGTGTGTCTATGTGTGGTTGTGGGTGTGGGGGATGTGTTCTTGTGTGTGTGCCCAGGGCCGGTGCAAAGATTTTTGGGTACATAGGCGAAGATGTATCTTCCCCCCCCCCCCCAAAATAACATCTTCACCTATGTGCCTCTTAACCAGCCCCTCTCCCCGTCCATTAGTGGTCCCCTCCCTTCCCTGTCCCTTAGTGTTCTTCTAAGCTCTCCCCTCTTTTTCCTGTCCCTTGGTGTTTCTCTCCCCTCCCCTCCCTGTCCCTTGGTGCACCCCCCACCCCTTTAGTGGTCGCACTCCCCTTCCTGGTGTGCCTCCTACCTCTCTTGTAGCGTTGCCGAGTGGAGGATATCCCCTACAGGAGCTTCAATTTTCTGTACCTGGCCAGACTGACAGGGAGTGCTCTCTCAGTGAGCACCTCCGGTCAGTCTGGCCGGGTACAGGAAACAGAAGCTCCTGTACTGCGCTCTGCCACGCTACACTCAGTGGTGTATACACACTGACAGTCACACACACTCAATGACAAACACACAGACTCACTGATCTGACACACACTCATTCATTGACAGACACACTGATACTCACACACAGACTCAATGACAAAGATACTCTCACTGATTTGACAGACATTCACAAACACACACTGACAGACACACATACACTGCCACACTCATACCCTCACATGCAGTACTCATACAAGCACTCACAGACACACACACACACTCATACAATCACTCACAGACACACATACACTCACAGACACACTCACTCACAGACACACATACTCATGCACACAGTCACTCACAGGCACACAGTCACTCAGGCACACATGCACTCACACACAGACACACAGACACACACAGACACACACTCAATCACACAGTCACTCACAGACACACAGTCACTCAGGACACACATCACACACAGACACTCACACACAGACACACACTCAATCACAGACAGTCACTCACAGGCACACAGTCACTCAGGCACACATACACTCACACACACAGTCACACACAGACACTCACACACAGACACACACTCAATCACAGACAGTCACTCACAGACACACAGGCACACATACACTCACACACAGACACACACACACACAGTCACACACAGACACTCACACACAGACACACACTCAATCACAGACAGTCACTCACAGGCACACAGTCACTCAGGCACACATACACACACAGACACTCACACACTCACTCACAGACAAACAGACACACATACACACACTCACTAATTATTTTAATAAATAAACATTTTCCACCCAGCCTCCCTACCTGGAGAGCTGGTGTGGATGATGAATCATTCCCTGGGGTCCAGTGCGGCAGTGCTGTGATCAGACGCGGCGAGGGAGCTCTAACCTCTCTGCTCTGCTCCCTCGCGGCTGCCTTCTGATACCGCGGGAGCCGGAATATGATGTCATATTCCGGCTCCCGCGGCATCAGCAGACAGCGCGCGAGGGAGCAGAGCAGAGAGGTTAGAGCTCCCTCGCCGCGCCTGATCACAGCACTGCCGCACGCCGCGCCGGGGGTCGAGATGGTGGCCTGGCAGGAGGGAGAGCTTCCCTCCTGCCGGTCACTGAAATATTGCGCCCCCGAAACCGGTGCGCCCTAAGGCGGCCGCCTGTGCCGCCTTATGGACGCGCCGGCCCTGTATGTGCCGCTGGTGGTGTTGATTTAGTAGTTTGGGGGTGATGGCTTATGGTCCCGATGGGTGGGGGACTTGTTTGGCAGGCTTCTATGGGTAGTGTCAGCCCCCCTTTATCTAGCGTGGTGCCCTGGTCCTTGAGTCTGGTCTCATTCACCCTGGATCTCGGTGAGGTGGCGTGTGATTGTGTAGGGGGGAGATCTTGGGTGTCCTCCCTTCTCCTCTCCGCTTGGGCGTGATATTGTCACTTGTGTCTTGTGAAGGTTAGGTAGCTGAGCTATTGACTCAGGCGCCCATTCTTCCCTATTAGTTAAGATCAGATTAAAGGAACACTAAAACGTTAGGAATACAAACCTGTAGTGTCCCCATCCCTAGTTAGATTGGTGTCCCCCCCTAGATAAATGTTTTTACTTCCCTTTTTCCAGCGCTGAGGCTCCCGCGGTGCTGCTTACCTATCCTCCTCCTGTGATGCAATGGTGGAGGCATGCCCTGCTCAGGCGTGGTCCAATCATAGAGGAGCATTGGGGACTTGATGCATGTGTGAATCAAGAATTGCGCATGCATTCAATGTTCCCTGTCACTTCTGCGTCACATAACCGAGTTTTGCTCAGTAAGGGCAGTGGAAGCACCTCCAGTGTCTGACAGTGTAACAGCCACTAGAGGTTTTTTTAATCCTTCAAGGTCAACATTGCTGTTTCAGAAAAATGGCAATGTTTTATCTTGAATAGATAAATTGACAGGACCACTACACCCAGACCACTTTATTGAGATGATGTGGCCTGGACTTTAGTGGTCCTTTAGATTCCAAATAGTAGCTTACAATATGAATAGTATGTACCTGTTCCTATCAGAGGGGACCCATTAAAATGACATAGGAATCAAATTTTTTTGTCCTGACCCTTGGGCTAAGATCCACTGATGGAGACATGCTGGTACAAATGTAACAGTGAAGCTTAATTTCCTTTTGCATTCACAGCACTGTTTACAACGTGCTAACTAGCAGAAAGTAATGGTACTGAGCATTCTTCAGCAAGGTCCAAACTACAACCTAACCAAAATACTGAAAGTGTATTATCGGACCTCAAAGTTACTGGACTTAAAGGGACACTATAGTCACCAGAACAACTACAGCTTAATGTAGTTGTTCTGGTGAGTATAATAATTCCCTTCAGGCATTTTCATGCAAACACTGCCTTTTCAGAGAAAAGGCAGTGTTTTACATTGCCCCCTAGGGACAGTGGCCACTCCTAAGATGGCTGCTAGACTGTGCACTGTACAATACTTAGTACAGTGCACTATACTGTGCAGCATTGCCGTTCAGCGTCTCCACATTGTGCATGGAGACATTGAATTTTCCCCATAGAGATGCATTGATTCAACGAATCTCTAAGATGAGGTGCTGATTGGCCAAGCCAGCATTTGGCCCCCTCCCACATCCCACGTCCTGGCTGATTTTGTCCAATTCAATGCTTTCCCTCTGGGAAAGCATTGGATTGGTTAAAAATCATAAATTTTGATGATGTCAGCAAGGAGGCGGATCGGGGCAGGGGCGGGACCAGCGTCAGTTTCTTGATTTGCATTGTAAATAATGTAAGTTTTATTACCTTTGAAACACTTATTTCAAATGTGGAAGTACCAGCCACAGAAAAACAAAATACTAAGAGCTAATCTAATACTCATAGGCGTGCGCTCGGGGTGTGCCGGGTGTGCCTGGGCACACCCTAATCCCCGCTGCACTTGCTATCTGCCTCCCTCCGTGGGCCGGTGAGGGAGATCAAAGATCTCCCTCATCAAAGATCTCCCTCACAGACCCACAGACAGGGAGGGAGGCAGGAGAGGACCCGGGGAGCTCTTGCCAGCAGCTCCGCCGGGTTCCTCTTGCGAGGTCAGAGTGTTGCCGCGGTTACCGCGGCACCGCTCAGATCTCGCAAGAGTGAACTCTAGCCCCCTCCCATGGATGGCAGCAGCACGGTCCCCCCTCCCTACATAAGGTGAGAAGATTAACTAAAAGGCCCCCCCACACATTACACACAAACAGCACACAGACACATACATCACCCTTACACACACAGCACCCACACACACTAACAGCACCCTCACACACACAGCACCCTTATACATACAGCACCCTCACACACTAACAGCACCCTCACACACTAACAGCACCCTCACACACACAGCACCCACACACACTAACAGCACCCTCACACACACTGCACCCTTACATATACACACACGAACATCACCCACACACAAACAGCACCCTTACACACACATACATCACACAGCGCCCTCACACACACAGCGCCTGCACACACACACAGTGCCTGCACACACACACAGCGCCTGCACACTCATACAGCACCTACACACTCATACAGCGCCTACACACACAGCGCCTACATACAGACAGCACCCTCACACACAGCACCCTTACACACAGTGCCCGCACACACACACAGCGCCTTCACACACACACAGCACCTACACACAGCACCCTCACACACACATAGCAGTATGTGTTTGTGTATGTATATGTATGTGTGTATATATATATATATACGCGGCGTGTGTGTTTGTGCTTTAGGGTGCACACCCTTATACAATAGGCTGCGCACGCCTATGCTAATACTCCAGAACACAGAAGCTCAGGAACAAGGTCAAAGTAATCTTGTAGTCAAGCAACACAGGAACACTGGCACACTGGAACAATGGTAAAAGGTGACTGGACAAAGTCAGAGTCAAATACAAAAGGGCACTGTAGTAGGGCTGAAAAGCCTGAGCCCGTGCACTAAATTTGAATCAATTGTGTGCAATACCAAATTTAGAATTCCAACTTTAAAATCCTGTAAAAGATGTTTGGGTTGTGGTTCATGTCATTGATTCTAGTTTGGAGCCAGAATGTTTGGACCTTGTAAAAATTAGGCTGCTTTGGTTTTGGCTAGAAGAATTAGAAATTGACAGGGGGGGTGCCAATTTGATAAGGATGATTAGCAGTAGGAGCAAGATTTGACCCAGCTGTTTCATTTTCAGCAAAGAAAATGTTTATTTTGAGTGACTATTAGCATAAGTTATTTTTGACACAGATGCATCAAAATCAGGAATTGACCTTACTCTGAGAACAAATCGTTCCAGTTGGATAAATTCTGCTTTACAACGTCAGTGTTACAGGTTTTGGTTAAAGTTAATTGCGTGGGATAATTTATTGACAATTGCTGGCACTTTGTGACGGCCTTGCACCTCAGGGACCATGAAAAAAAAAGACATATAGCCGTCTTTACACACTGATTTTATAAACGTGTTTTTAGCCTTGAACAGTCCTATCAGTGAGGGTTGGCAGATGATGACGTTACCATTTCTCATTTTCTTTAAATAGCTCAGTTGGTTAATATACTTTAAAATTACTTTAACGCTCAGAGATGTCTCAATGATTCACTTCTTCAAGGTTCATAAAGGGAGTACGTTTATGTTGTGCAATATTAACCCCTTAAGGACACAACTTCTGGAATACAAGGGAATCATGACGGAATATTTCCGTCATCTGTCCTTAAGGGGTTAACATGGTGACAAAATGTAAAATAAGTGAATAAATGGTATTAAAGAAAAAAACCTTAAATGATACTATATTCTAACAACAGTAACCAAATAAAGCGCAATAGCTCAAACACTAAATAAAAACAGCAATACACATTGTGTTTGTCTTAAATGGACAGCAAACCCCATATTTACTATAATATTAACCAGAGTACACCACAACATGCTTATAAATGGCAAAAAATATGCAAACTGTATCCTCCCTGGTAAAATGTTTTAATTGCCTTGTTAGATATTTATTGCCATTATCACCCAATTAGAATCGGTAAAAAATGAAGCTTGGTATAGGATCGAGACATTTCTGTCTACATCCACAAAACTACATTCGCTATGGGCCAGCTTTTGGCTGACGAATCAGAAGGGTATTAAACATCCAGATGGGGGGTCTTTGGACAGCATTATAATTAAAAATCTGTTTAAGATTTGGGATAAGTTTAAAGTTGATTGTCATCTCAAGAATAAAATTATTGCTGAACTCCCTCTCACCTTTCTTGCGCATAATATAGAAGACCTAAATATAAAGAATTGGTTTTCTGCGGGTATACTAAAAATTGACAATTTACTGAAATATAATAAAATCTATGATTTCTCATCTTTAGTTAGAATTTATAACCTCCAGAAGAGTGAAATATTTAACATATCTTAGAATAAAGAGTTATCGTGAGGAATACCTGAGCACAGAAAAGGCATCAAAGATACTACTTTTGAAGGAAACTCCTAAAAAATCACGACTTAGGGGCTTAGTAGCGGACTCTATAAAGATGTTAACTAGTGAAGAAGACCCACTTCTACGACCGGTGATAAAAAAAATGGGAACATGACCTAAACATCAGAATTGAAGGGAGAAATTGAATTGAGGGATTGGATTGAATCATTAAAATGGGTTAACAAAAAAGTTAATTGTTTAAATTTAACTGAAACTCATTTTAAAATCTTTAAATAGGTATTTTGTTCCTAGCAGATTGTCAAAGATTTACCCCAGCTATCCGGATATATGTTGGAAATTCCTGCAAGCCAGAGATTGTAAAACGGTCATAGCACAGTGCTGGCTGACAGTTAGGGAGCAGTTCATATTTCAGATCAAAATGGAAATGGGCATAGATAGACTGATTCAAGAGGAACTTGAGCACTGGATTAGCCGAATTGTGATGATTTAAAGGTGTTCTATCTGCATCGGATAATCTCAGCCACCTGATACCCAATAACCTTTATCTTTTATCAGCATAGTAAACCTATGCCTCTTTTATCTCCCCTTGATCCATATTGCAGGGACATGTTTAATGTTGTATGTTTAACGTTGTGCCTTATTTGTAATTATTTTCATTTATGTACATGAGAATATGGAGAATGGGCAGCAGTTGAAATAGCCTGCCCTTCGGTGGGTCCGCGCTCAGATCTCAAGCTGGTTTTAGCTCATCTACAGAGAGAACATCTCTGAAACATATCAGACTGGTCCCACGCATACGAGCAGTCCATATCCGAAATGCCAGCAAGTTCCCTCTGCACGAGAGACACAGCAACCCCAGACGATCGTTTCAGCCTTGTAAGGCATCATCAGTGAGGCATAGCTGATATCTCTCTAGGCACCGTGAGCATTATGTATTACATTATGTAATGCATGTATGTTATAAAAAGGAGAAGGGAAGGGAAGGGAAGAGGAAATAGAAAAGGGGGAAGAAAGGCAAACGTGTTACATGTACTACGACTATTATGATTATTTTTTTATTATTCTTACAAATGGATCATCTGCTCTTTTAAGTGGAGCAATTTTACTTGCTCTATGTGCTTGTGCATTATCTCACATGGAATATGGTACATTATATAATATGTAAATGAATGTTGGAGTGAGACTCCTATTTATACCTTTTAATGTGTTGCATATCATAGTGCAATGTGAAATGTATGGAATATCTTTCCCCATGATGTCATCATTAGTATCTACAAATACAGTATGCTATCTATTATAAGGCAACAATGTATGTACTCAAGCTTGTACTGTTTCCATGTGTCCAATTGTTATACCATGAAAAAATCTCATAAAAATAAAATATAAAGAAAATAGGTGTTTATTACATACTTCTCAACATATTATATGTTGACTTTGCGAAAGAGTACATCGTTAGCCTTACTGAATCTGATTAAAAGTATCCAGTGCAATGTAAGTTTAATGAGATGAATAGTCTAAAAGCAATTAGCCATTCCTATCTGTCCATCTATGCATACTCTATGTACACACACAGCAGAAGAGCATTATATGGGTTCTATGCAGACAACGCCATGTTTAAGAGTTCTATTTATCACAGCACTAAGGTATGATTGCCAATTAGTGCAGAGGCAATGTCGACATTAGTTCTGCCTCCATAGTCAAATGTTAGCTGTTATCTGTTGTGTAAAGAATCTGCTATGATAGCAGCCATGGTTACTAATACTACTCTTTTATTAGATGTCAACATATTCCGTATCACTTTAATATGCAAACAAGCAGTAATGAACCTCATTTACACATACAGATGACTTAGAAGCTGTCGAAGAAGAGGATTCTGCTAGTGGGCCTTAAGGGGACTCTCCATACCGCTAAAGCACTTCAGCTTGCTGAAAAGCGTTATTTGTGAAGACTGTGCCCTCTGTTTTTCATTTTACAAAAAGTGCAGATTTCAATAAAAATTGGTACTTCTATAATTTAATATTGTTACACCCCCTGAGTTGTCAGTCAGACAACCAGCCCTGTTACTTACTGGTTTGGTTTGCTCAGTGGAGAGACACTCAAGAGGTAGCAATTGACCAGAGCACCAGCTTTGCAAAGACTTCTCACTGAGTTCCACTGGGAAGTCCGTGATTGGACAGGCACAGAAAGTCTGGGCTGGGGAAGAAGGGGAGGGCTTGCAAAGGTATAGTAACTTTATGGTAAGTTCCTGCTCCATAGCTAATGATAGTCCAGCTCATATACTTGCATACTACATGGTTAAGTCATTGAAGTAATTGAGACACAATATAAGGAAGGTGGCCTTACCTTTACATAATCACTTCCAGGATCGAGGGCACTACAGGTACTGCAAGAGAGAAAAAGTTGCAATTAGAGGTGAAGCCATTATTAAATGCACATGGAATATTGTCAGCATACATGGGAATTTTAAAGGCAAAGATGACCTGCTGTATACTCAAATATTACAGCTCCCATGATACTTTGCCAATCTTAAGGCTCTTCAACAGCTGTGATACGTCGGGTCATATGGTCTGGCATGGACTTCATAGCTCCGCAGATGGTGCTTTAAATCTCTGCATGAATGTAGGAGCCTCAAATAAAATGTTTCAGTAACATAATTAGAGCACTGATCCTACCATAAATTAAAACATCACTAGAGAGACAACAGCAGTAGCACTTACCACGGACATATCTCACTAGCTTCACGACAAGGTATAAAAGTGCAAAATGGGCAGCTCTACCACTTTTATCTAAGGAAATAGTGAAGCAAATCAAAATCTGTTCAGGAACTTTCGTTTCTGAGCAGATGTCAAACTAAAGCACTACCACATCATGCGAAATGCGGCTTCCTTGAAAGACAAAGATTAAAAGGGACACTCCAGAGCCCTAAAGACGTGTTTTATGTGTGAAGACTGTGTCCTCTTATTTTTATTTTTATAAAAAGTGCATACTTCAATAGAAATTGGCACTTTTATGATATGTTGTGTGCTCAGATCCAGGCTATCCAGGGATATAAGACTTGAAAGGGTACATGGTTGTTTTATGTATGTTTTGGGATGTTGTGAATATTGTAGATTTTTCTGTACCGGAGAGATAATTTATATATATATGTTTTTTCCCCAGGTAATTATCTCTCAGGCACAGAGGATCATGGAAGGGTTTACCCTGTTATTTTGTGTGGGAAACCCCTTGTAAGGGCTTTTGCATAAAAGACAGTGTGTGGCCCTGAATAAAACAGTTCACTCCCAGCATTCAGTCTTGACTAACGTCTGTGGGGGAAAGCTATACCTGCTTTGGATTATAACTACTTGAGAAATTCTACTCTTTATTGCTACTAGAATTGGAATTGCTGCAGCAGAGTTCTATAAGGAGGGAAAAAGCCATCCTTAGCGGCGAAACCCGTGTTCCTATCCGGATGGCCGCCACAATGATTAACTCTCTTCATCGCTTTATAAGACATGTATAATAAACCCGTGGGAATTAAATGTTGTCCCCTTTAATATGATAGTTCTTTTTAAGGGGACACTATAGTCACCAGAACAACTATAGTATGTTCCTGCAGGCTTTTCATTGAACAGCTGCCCTTTAAAAAAAAAGTGCCTAGTAACACCTCTAGGTGCAGTCACTCAGACAGCCAATAGAGGGGCTTCCTGAGTAAATGCTGCACTGTGTGCAGCACCTACGTTCTGCTTCTCCAAGCTCTGCATGGAGGCAGTGAACGTTCCCCATGGAGATGCAGATTGGTGCAGGGTGGCAGTTAAAGACCAGCACAACATGGGAGAAAAGATGAGTAAAATCAACTTTTTAGAATGATCTAAAGGGGGTAAAAGGGAGCATTGACCTAAACAGCCACAGAGGCACTATAGTGCCAGGAATACGGTTGTATACCTGATACTACAGTGTTCCTTTATATTGAAATACTAATGGTATTTACATAAGATAATAAGATAGGGGTTTTAACTCATTGCTAAACCTACAAAATACTTTGTTTTGGAAACTTTTTGAAGCGTTAAATTTACTTTAAAATCCTAAAGAACAATAAACTAAAACATCGCAGTATTAAAAAATACCTCTGTCATGAGTAATATGACTTGGTGTCACTTTAAAAGAGAATACAATTCTATTTTAACATTGTGATAGACAATTTTGTAGCAAATGTATAGATCAAACTTTCACCTACACATTATATGATCGTATATATATATATATATATATATATATATATATATACGATTACATAGGGGGAGAGTTTTAGCACTTGCCACTATCAAGTGCAGACATCTCTCAGTACAATTAAAGCAAAAAAATTAACTTTTTTGAAATTGTTTCTGTACAGCTCCCTGTGTCTGAATCTCTTTTTATTTATTTTTCCTGAGTTCTTTAATTTTTTTTAAAACATAAAATGAAGCAGGGACTACTTTTACTTATGTATAGCAGTCAATTTGACAAAACTTGTCAATGGGGATAATTTAAGGCAAAGTTCTATTTCAGTTGCCAATCATATTTACCCACAATACATCAGTAAAACCAATCTAGGCCCAGGAGAACAAAATGACTTCTCCCAGATATTGAGATCCAGCACAGGAGGTAAAGAGACTCAATATAAAGTAAAATGACAAAAGGGAGAATATAATCATTAAGACACAGAGGGCATAAGCTAAGGAAAAATTAAAGTAAAAAAAAAAAATCATGACAGGGCCACTTTAAGGGATACCACTTTGAGGGTGGGGCAATTGCGGACACAGTCATTTCTTTAATTTCAGAACGTCATCTTGGTTAATCAAGGGGAACTGGATGTAAATGTATCTTTTAATCCACTTACAAGCTGGCAATTTCACCATCACACTGTAAAGATATCATATATCCATCTGAATGTAAACCTGTCAACCACCTGATTTGTGGACGACATGTCCACTTTACGAGCAGTCCTGGGTCAAAGTTCTAAATGTAATGAAATCCGTAAGATTCCATGGGTTTCCATAGTGCCTGCTAGCTCCACTTGCCCAGCTTCCACCCAGAATTGTTCTTTACACAAAACCTTTTATTTGTCGCTATGTTTCATCCCATTTTTTTGGGCCATCCCCATGGATTCAGTCAGCTCTGAGCTTTACAGGACACTGTGTTCACTAAGGTTTCCTGGCTCGGGGTGAATCATAAGAATGAGAATAATGGGGTCAAGTGACAGGGTGGGACTCCGGTGGGAGGTAGAACTCAGGAAACAGACTTTTCTATCCCTGAGTTTGGACAATGCAAAGCTTCCTTTCACCTCTCCTTACATCCTCTTACTGCAAGCAGGGGAAAACCATGTGTATCTGCACACGCACACAGCATGCACACTGATCTGTGTCTTATCTGACTCATGACCGAGCACTGATGGACACACAAAAAAAATTAATTCAGTACTTGTGTTATTTCCTTTTAACATGAAACCAAGCTTAATGTACCAGGGAATTGTGCTGGCAACCTGCTACATGAATTGTTTCCCTTCTCACCCGTATCGTTCCAACCATTATTAATTTGACTATGTTCATGCACATGTTAGACAGAAAAGTACTCGTACATCAATAGCGTGATCGACCTATGAAACATTATATTGTTAAGTGGTTTTTTCAAATAATGCAATCTATTTTGGTTTGTGTGTTCATATAGTTGTGGAAGGATGAACGTATGCAGAATTAGTTTAGTAGAGTGCTGGCAACACAGAGACGCCAAACTACAGACTCAGCAATAATTTGTCTGATGCTTCCTATATATTATTTAGCCACAGTAGGAACACCTACTACGACAGACAGGCTTGATGACATCACACTGCAAGTGCAGCTGTATTGTTATTTTGGATATATCCAACAGGAATTTGAGATTTCACGTGGAAATTACAACTTTTGGAGTAGAATAGCCTAGCTAGAAAACTAATGCAACTGCACATGACAATGTGCTGCAGTGGTTATGGTCATTACAGTGGTATTGACCTTTCAATCTTCTATCAAATGTCAGCAGTTTCTAGTTTAGGACATGACTCCGATGTGATGTCATGATCTGTGATACCTGTGTAGTATCTTTGCCTGTGTGTTTGAATATGAAAACCAATTGTATTGCTGCAAAGTCAATAAACATGCAAAGTTTCCCTGCTACATGCAACTGGGGGAAATATTTTAATTGTTTGTAAGAACAATGCGACATAGGTTGTGATGTCACTGCATGTTCCATCCAAATTGGGACACTTGGTAACCAGGCTATAACTGCATTTAAGCCAACCACTGACCTATGGAGTAATTGTATTGCCCTCGGCTACTTGGCAACCATTCATACGGGCCTGACACCCAAGCAGTAATCCTGACAGACGCAATCTATCTCTAAAAAGCGTAATAATGCACGGTTGTTAAAAAGATTGCATACTGATAGTTAGTGTCTCCGCATTATTACACCAACTTGGCTACCCAAGTATGATGAAGTCTTTCCAGCATTAAGGTTTTTCTTTAATTATTATTTATAATAATTCTCTTTAAGAAATGGTGTTTGGTTCTCTTCGAGGGGCACACATATTGTCATAGATAGCTGTGACAAACAAATAGCTCCAGATATTGATGCCCAGCTGGTATACCCAGCCAAATGCTGGCTGAAGGTTCTACAAGATGGTGTTCAGTAGTTAGAGCAGTCAGTTGGCTCTGGAGAGATCAGATTAGTTCATCAATTCCTAGAGTACTTATTAAATCACAGTGTTTGACTCTGTTCTAAATCTCCACCTAGTAGAATGACTCGACCTGCTTAGCTATCTTCACATTACTCATCGGTTTATAACCGTTGTGTGCTGTGCCCTATATATTGGAAGCAATCTGTGTTATTGTTGGCCTTTGTAAAATATCATAATGCAATTATCTATTCCCACTTTCTTTTCAATCTTTTATTTTGTTGCGATTGTTGCTCCCTTTTGGTTTAGTGTTTTTTTTGTTTCTTACTGCGATCACTTGAATTGACACAGATACGGAATTTGTCCCAAGTGCAAGTTTTTAGACACATACATAAAAACTACGATTAACAAACAGACTGGAGTTTGGGCCAGTATTTCACCAAAATAAATATTAAATGGCCGTGTTGGGGCACTTAATTCTGTAAACTAACTTGAAACAATTGAATGTTTCTTAAAGTAAACAAAAATGATAAGGTTACACTTTAAGGACCGAAAAGAGGAGGGGCAAGTACTATTATCAAAGGATTTTTCTAAAAACAAAGTTATACATAACATAGAAACATAGAATGTGATGGCAGATAAGAACCATTCGGCCCATCTAGTCTGCCCAATTTTCTAAATACTTTCATTAGTCTCTGACCTTATCCTATCCCACGCATGCTTAAACTCCTTTACTGTGTTAACCTCTACCACTTCAGCTGGAAGGCTATTCCATGCATCCACTACCCTCTCAGTAAAGTAATACTTCCTGATATTATTTTTAAAAACAATAAGCTCAGGTTACATACCACAATAATATAAATTACACAGTTGATACATTTCAAAACTGTATAAGACATAAAAAAACATGTCATTCTTAAGAGATCATAACATTTCTGTTATTGAAAATCGTTGTCAGGTGATATCCTATTTGTATGACTATCAAATTCCCAAACGAACACGGGCGTTCGCAACATGGGACAAGAGGGGCAAGTGCCTCCCCCTGGAAGGCTGTGGACACCTCATCTGTCATTAGGTTATTATAGCTAAATATTGAGTGTTAATAAAAACTCTGGAGTTTATTCACTATACAGTTAATCATGGTTCGTTATAAAAAGTAGTTGAGTATGAGATATATTTTTTTCTACAGTTCAGCTATTTTGGGCCAAAATGTTTCCAGATCACTGCCAATTTGCGGTTTGTACATAAAAGATTGCTTTCTGCACTTTTGTATAGCCTGGATAGTTTATTGCTTCCTGATGGGTTTGTTTTACTTTGATTAACCGTTTTTATTTGCTTATTTATTTGCATTTAGTTTAGAGTGTCTTGGCATTGCTATCCCTCTGTAATTGCTTAACAGCACAAGGGGTGTACTGATTAATTTTTATTTTTTTCCTGTAGTTAATGATACTTATTTTTTTTTTAATACTTGTTATGCTCTAATACTTGTGTAATTATTGATAACCCCGTATGGCTGCTGTGTACTGTTGTATCAATATGCTGAACTTGGAAAACATGCAAGGTTTTCAAAGTTCCCAGAGTGCGTGCGGCCACACTGAAATGAAGATACACAAGCTGATGGTACTGTGCGGTATAAATCAAAACCCACATGCTGTGTAACTGCCCAGAATGTTCAGACAAGGGAATGGGGAAAAAGTGAGGTCATTGAGCTACGGATGGGGGTGGAAGCAGGGTGACCTCTCAAAAAAAAATAAGGATTCTAATTGTAAGCAGATGATATGGGAGAGAATGGGAAGGTAAAGCAGAGTAACATTAAATGCCAGACAAGATGCAGATCTGAGAAAGAGCAGGAATGGGTCAAGGAAAAGAAGAAAGGGATGCAGGGAAAAAAAGAATAAAAAGGCTAAAAAAAAAAGGAATAAAAGTTAAGAAAGCATTTGATTTAATACGTGTGGTTGATAGGCAACAAAGTCAATGAGACGGGTAAAAGATCCCCATTAAGTCTATAAGGCTTGTAAAGGCTCTAATAACTATTTCACGAGCTGCGGGAAGCAATGTATTGAAAAATCTCACTTTTAACATCTTAGAAAGATGAACACTGTAAGTATTAGCCCAAAGCAATATGCCACCCTGTAGGATGTATCACTACGATCACTTTGACACAATTATCTCATCCCCATTAGAACACGCAAACCACTTGCCCCTTTTACAGTCTCCTGTGACCTGCTGCCTTACCAGAATGTGATCACCCCTAGCATTGTCCCACATTCTGTTACTAAAACAAGGGGACACGTGTTTTATTATCAATTTATATGAACGGAATCAGCCCTGTCTGTTCAGATTAAACCAGGATGCACCAGGACCATAAAACCGTTGTCTACGCTAATATTTTATTGATGTAGTTTACCCCATTGTACAGCGCTACGGAATCTGATGGCGCTATATAAATAATAAAATAACAATAATAATAATTCACTAAACTACAGATTACAGAATAGAATAATAACTGGAGCTGTATATTTTAGGCTCTGTCTAGACTGTAATCTCGTTTAAGCAGGGTCCTCATCTACCTATTGTTGCTGTAACATTTTGTAATTGTCTCATTGATTGTTACATTTCCTCCTTTATAATATTGTCAAGTGCTTCGGAATAAGTTGCCGCTATATAAATGCAAATAATTATAATAGGCCAAAGTAGCAAGGCTTAAAAAATTAAGAGTTACACATTATTTTCATCTAGTTCAGTTATTTTGGCAATTTGCTATTCTCTTGTAAATTCCTGACATTTCTCAGCTTATTGAACAAATTTTTATTCCGTGGATACTTTGACAGATGAATAGGCATGAAAGTTTGTTCAATAAATGCTGTTAACACAATATCACTCTCTGCATTATATAAAGTTATACGTTGAATTATTCTCCCCTGCCCCTTGAGAAGTTTATCAAGGTAGCTGTATGCGTTCTCTTACCGGTAGCCCACGGGGTACACGTGCCGCCCTACATCCGTCATGGGCCTGAAATCCAAACTCATCTCTACGAGTAGTCAGTGCAGTCTGAGAAACAACCGTTTGTGAACTTGGGAAAAAGATTCCCTGGACCCCAGCAGCATGCCTCCTCCTTGCACTGTGTCCCTCCCTCCCACTGCCCTGTTTGGAATGTAGAGCAGAACAAGGGGAAGTCTCCTCTTGGCTCTAGGAACGATGGAATTCCAGGTCATTAGCATGCTCCTGGCATCTCAGGGCCTCCTCCAGCTCTAGTGAAACAGAGAGGGAAAGTACTCTTTGGGGATGTGTTTTCAAACTTTTTAGGACATGCTACAGAAAGACAGAACCATGTTAACGGACTGTTAAACATCCACACATCAATTAAAGATACAAGTTACTGAACAAAGGAACAGCTGAACTCTAAAACAAAGTCACAAAGTGGCATTTATATCAAATGTCACACTGACACATGTTCGCACATGTTGAGTAAATGTGACAGAACTTGCATTTTATTTCTTTGTATTACAGAGAAACTGCAGGGGGGGGGGACATATATTTGAAAAGCTTTTATTTTGATCTATGTATGTATTTCGTACATGAACAGAGCAAGTCTATGCGTGTTGATACTACTTATAAATAAAAAGGTAAATTTTGGTGTATTTGTTTATTTTACATTTACAGTAGTTTTCTATAATATTTTATTTATCTATATTTTTGAAAATACAAAATAAAAGTAACTTGAAAAATTATTATCACTTTAAAAAACAACCCACCAGAACATCATGGATGTCCCACCACATAGCCAGAGAATCATGGAATTCTGTCACCTACATGGTCATAGAACTGTGAGTTTTTCTGTAAGATTGCAAAGGGCTAAATATGCCTATCTCAACGGAAAAATGTCAGAAGATAATTTTTTTTGGGAGGCTCTAGATATGTGGATTTCACACAGCATCACCTATCTCAGGAATGTGAGTTTCCCTGTCTAGTCTAAATGAATTGCAAAGCTAAAAGTCAGGCACCTGTAAAATCGATCCCTATAACCAATAAAGAGACACAAATAAATTCTGAAACAGAATAAAAGCTCTAAGCTGGTAACTGTGATGAATTTAGATCTATGGGGTGAATCCAAATTTAAAAATCTACGCCAAGCATTATAACTACTACAAACTGCTGTAGCAGGTATGATGATAGGAGCCCTGACCTTGGCCCCATTTCCTGGTAATGGCACAAACTGTTTTTGCAACCTTTACCTGGGACCCCACTGGGGGCCGAGGCCCCTTTCTGCACTGGTGAAATGTTTCTGTCAGAAGCCGATCCAGTCTCCATTCACTGGCTAAGAACGTCTCAGCACTCTCAGCCACTTAATGGCACACTGTGCATGAAAAACGACCATTCCTTGGTGGAGTATGTGTCAGCTGACTGCTTTCAGCCAGAAGAATGAAACTCTGTACATAGGAAGATGAACAGAATTGACATTAGCCAGCATGGAACTCTAGTTACAAGTTTAACCCCTCTGCTGCCAGAACTTGTAACTAGAGTTCCATGCTGGCTAATGTCAATTTTTTCAAAGCAAATCACTGCACATACAGACTCCAAAAAACATAACCACTTCAAATCACAGAAAGTGGACATGTTGCTTAAAAGTAACCATTTAAAACAGGCTAGAAAAACAGCCTGTGACAAACGCCGCTTTCCACAGACGTTTGCCACGGACTCCTGGAAGAGTGTGGAAGCTGGCTTCCTGCTCACCGACTATGGGCCAGGTCAGCGTCTGTAAAGGCCAATATTTTATTTCCCCTGGTTCGGCACTTTCCATTTGTGCGCATAGAACCGAACGCTAGCTCCCTGGCGGCCGTTCGCATGGACCAAAACCGCGATTAGACTTCAGGGGGACTTAGCCGCAAATGCCCTGGAACTATTTTCAGCATGAAGACTTCGCACTTAGCCGCGATTCTATGGAACTATTTTCGGCTAGGGGACTGTGCTGTTACCGGTCAACTTGGTCCTGCGTTTTGGACCACTTTGAAAACGGCCAGGAGAGCGCTTTTTGGAGGGAAGGTACCTGAGACTGTGGGGAACAAATGCTGCTTGCGATCCAGGCGGAACACCCTGTAATTCGTCCGCTGGAGCCCCGGAAAGTTGACCGGCAAAAGCACCAAATGCTCTGGGACTGTTTTGAGCATAGGACCATGTGTGCGGCCGGTCAGAACTTTAACACGGTGGCGATTCCCATGTACTGCATGGATCTTAGTGCAATTTGCACAACTTGGGTGCTCAGGTCAGGGGTGTTTGGGGATGTAAAATTTGTGTGGTTATTATGTATTTTTATTATGTTTTTGGGTGTTTTGTGATTTCGTGTATATTTTCCTGTAACTGAGATATAATCAAATTAAGGTCCTTTAGACTCAATTATCTCTCGCTACAGGAATTAAGGGAGGAGTTTACGTATGAACCTGAAGGGAGACTGTGTATTGTGGGTGTGTTCTACATAATGTAATTATTGCTGTGCATTGTGTATAAAAGCAGGCCATATGGCCAGATTAAACGTATTCCAGCTTGTACTCCCAGAACTATGTGTTGTCTGGTTACTGGGAGGGGAAAGGGCTAATCACTGCTCCAGCGTGGAGGATTCAACGGTGAAAGTCCTTGTAAGGACTAGAGCTTCCAGGACTGAGTGTCGTCCAGTACCTGGGATGGATAGAGCGAGTTCCCCATTCGGCTCCAGGTGTGAGCGGTTCCAGGACCCCAGTCAAGCCATGGCGACTGTGGCAGAAGTGCTGCAGTTTGTCCCTTGTTCCAGCTAGGAAGCGGTCCTTTGCGGAGGTACCCAGCCAGGGGTACAGGGAGCTCTGTTACTCAGCTGAAATTGGAAAATGTGGGCAGTAGGACAATAATCACGCCGTTTTTTTTTTTTAACATGTAAGTATGCACAGACTCATTTTTATACAACGCAACAATGTGTAGTAATAATGCAACATTTAGATTGTGAACTAGAACATTTACTAAGCAGATTCATTTTTTGCACAACTTGATAGCTAACTAAAAGTTAGCCACTGGTAGTGCCATTTCCAAATAATTGGAACGTGTCGCTGGAAACGACTTTGTTGAGATTTGTAATGGTTTGCAAAGTTTAAAATTATTTTGATCTTGGTGTAATCATTGGGGGGGTATTGACATCCAGCAGGTGGAAATATCTGCACCTACATTACATAATGTTACAGAGTTTTGGGCCAATCTATGGGAGGCCAGTTGATCCACAGTCTAGTGATATCGGTGATCACGTCAGGTAGGTGCAAAAGTTTATACAAATTTTTTCTTTTAAAATGTACTTGTATGAACCATTGATAGTTTTGTCTTCAGCTGTTGGGATACTCGTTCTTTTTATGGAACACAGTGTTGTCATGTATTATCACAACTCCATTCAGAAAACAAAAAGTTACACGGTGAGCTGACAGCCAGCAAGATTAGACAAAAAAACCCAAATCATAAGAAAATCAAACACAACTGTTAAATAGAGAGGGAGGAACAAACTTATAAAAAAAACATCAAAACTGGTTGGTTATTATAGATCTTCCAAGTCAGTGGTGACCTTGCACAATTTACTTTTTAATGAAAGAACCCCAAAATTATCTTACCTTTCCGCACAACTTTCATTGTTATTGATTTGTCCGCTGTCTGCGGTTTTCTCTCCATCCCTTCCTTCCAGTTTGGGAATTTCAGGTGGCAACCCGTGAGCTGTACAAGAGGGATCCGTATTGATCTGTGCATGTTCATTCTCTGGTTTATTTTCCTGAGATTGGGATTTGGAATTCTCTATATTATTCAGTTTAGAAGAATCTTTGTGGATCCTTTGAGATCCTAACTTGCCTGCAGCTCTTAGGGATGGAACGACTATAATATCGTTTGGGTCATCGTTCAGTAGGTCATCTTGTGATCTCATGTCAGCCGGTGGTATATTGCTACTGCCAACGTGGCTTGCTTTTTCCTTCTTGGCTTTAGATGCACGTGTGGTGCTTAATCTGGGCATTGTTCCCATGTGGCTATACATGTCACATGACCTCGCATATGTAGGGCTTTTTGGTATAGATACAAGGTCATCCTGAGTCTTTTCAAACATGCTGTCTGCTCTGACATGGTGCTGCCGTATGTCTGTGTCTCGGGATTCCCTTCTTCGAAATGCACGAGGCAGGTTACTAAGGCTGCCAAAAACTGTTAATTTAAACAACTCTGCAAATAAAAAAGGTGAGGATTAGTGAAACCTTGCACTGATAAAAAACATTTAATTAGTTACAGCGCAATACAGAAGATCTAGAACACTGTATGTTCAGCAGCTTAAATAATTAAAGTATTACTAATATTATAAAGTACCTGCAAATCTCCAGTATTGCCCAATAGAACAAGTTTCAAGTAAGTCGATACAAAGTAAAACATGACTTCAAATAGAACACTATAGCCTTAAATTAGAGCCAATACTCTTTCTTGGCTCCTGATAAGCCTTTCATCAGTCTGGATCAATTAATTTATCAAATATCAAAACCGATAACTACAGTTTAGATTGAAAATATGTCACAATACGTGAGGTTCCTCAGCAAGATAGAAAGCAGCAACCCTACCAAAGGCAAAGTGAAGAGTTCTAGGTGTATTACTGGACATCAGAGTGGCCGTACTTAATAGCTTATTCCTTCCTGTTTATTAAACAATACCCGCCATCCGCTTCTCATGGGTGGGAGCTGGGGTAGAACAATATTATAAGATATACCCCAACCACTATTCATAGGCAGGGGCTGGGAGAGGACACTATGTCCAGCTGTTTATTGTATAATATCACCCACCCAACACTCATAGTTGGCGGATTTGGGGGAAACTAGGTCCTGTCCATTTATTGTATAATAGCCCCCACCTGCCGCTCATGGGTGGCCAAAAATTATTTACCTAGAACTAAGAATTGCAATTATTCTTTTCCAGCTATAGTTTTACAACTGCTGGAGGATCTTATGTATAGCCATCCCTCGACTGCACACAGTCAAGTGCAATGGTTTTTTTAGAACAATAAGTACCGTATATCATATTAAGTCGTCACAGGCAAAATATTTACTGTAGAGATGGAGATTGCCAACCCAGATACTCCATAAAGTCCATCGATATCAATTAGATTTTTTTAAACCGCCAATGAATTTTGCAGGATTTAACTATATAGAGATACGGAGAATACAATATACACTTACCAGTTGAAAAGTAACAGAGGACCCTGCTTTAGAACTTAAATGGCACCGGTCATGTCCAAAACTATGTTTGCTCTTTTTACAATATTAACTGTTAATCAAATTAAAAATTTTTAGCGTAGACTCTATGCTGAGAAATGTATTGATAAAAGTTGAGCAAAAGAGACCACACACAAGTTGTCCTTGTGCTTTACACCGATAATAACTACAGCACATACGCAGAGGTTGCTATGGTAACTCCCTAGCCAGTACAGGGAGTATAGGAATGAAGTGACTGACAGTGTTCACACGCTGGCATGCTGGCATGGAAGCCAGCATGTTGGCGTCATGGAGGAGATCCGCTCTGCTTGAATTAAAGCTTCCCCAGGCAAGGCAAACCAGTGATGAGACCAAACAGAGAGTGGGTGGTGTAATGAAATTGCGGTGGGGGTGGGGTGGAGGGTCAGGTAAGTGGTGAGATTCCCTTTAAATCTTGCATTTAAAAAAAGGACTTAGCAAGAAGACTAGCAAGCTTACAGTTTAAAGGTTATAATGGGGGATTTTATGACAAGAGACTGCAGAGGGACTATGAAGCAAATTGCTGGAGAGTTTGAGGGCAAATGTACAGACTATTTTGGTTCTGAGTGGTTAAGGAGGCAGTTAGTGAAGATTAGAAATGTCTGATTTAGCATTCTAAATCTTACGATTAAAGAAGGATGGGTGGGCAAGTGGCTGCATGTCCTAGGGATCAGTTATAGGTGAGATAGGATTCAGATATCTGTGAATCTATCCCACGCACGTCTCATTACATGATCACCCAATTAACTAACTTCAACCCAAACTTTGTCACAAGTGGCACTGTAGTCTTTCTTGCTTCACTCCCTGCATAGAAGCAGGAAAGACCATAGAGACAAAATATTGGTTTTCTAACACTGTCTGACCCTAGGTGCATGTATATGTCTGAAGGGTCCTGTCACATACTAAAAGTAGGGATGGGTTTCTATTTTTTTTTTTTATACAAATACTTCATTAAAAACAAATCTGTTTTCTTTCAAAACTTGAAGAAAGGATTATATTAAAATAGCTTTTAGGTGACAGTTCTCCTTTTAATATTTCTATGGTTTATATATGTATAATGTATACCCAATTTTTTATTTGGGAGTTGGTTTCAATTATTTTGATCTGCAAAGCCCAGATCAGTGAGAAAGGTGGGACAGACGTTTTACATGTTTTCCCATCCTTGATTACACTTAGGGACCAGTGGGTAGATGAGCAATAAGTAAGTCCTGCATCTTCTATTTTGGTGATGGGATGCATAGATTTCTGTCATAGCAGATTGGATCTGTTGAGATCTTGAAAGAATGTGAGGCTAAATGTCTCAAACACATAGGACACTTACCTCTTAATAGCACTCATTAAAAGGGCACTGTAGTGTTTTAAAGTCACTGCTTAGTTTAAGGGCTCTCCTGAATGTTTGTTATATAACATAGAATGTGACGGCAGATAAGAACCGTTCGACCCATCTAGTCTGCCCAATTTTCTAAACACTTTTATTGGCTTTATCTTGTATCTAGGATAGCCTTTTGCCTATCCCACACATGCTTAAACTCACTCACTGTGTTAACCTCTACCACTTCAGCTGGAAGGCTATTCCATGCATCCACTACCCTCTCAGTAAAGTAATACTTCCTGATATTTTTAAACCTTTGCCCCACTAATTTAAGACTATGACCTCTTGTGGTAGTTTTTCTTCTTTTAAATATAGTCTCCTCCTTTACTGTGTTGAAAGGAAAAAAATAAATTAGTAATAAAATAAATAAAATAACTCACCTTCTCTCCAGCACCAAGTTCCATCTCTCCATGCCTGCTTCTAACGCAATGTCCTCCAGGATGACAGCCAAATCCAATGTTCCTGATAGTGGAGCACTGGGGACTATAGGCTCGCTGTTACTGCACACGTGAGCCTGACGTCACGGTATGTGAGCTGGGTAACAAGTAACAGCATTGGCTTTCATAACGTGAGAGCAGCAATTTGAAGCCTCCAAACTATTAAAATAAAATGGTTTTTTTTTGGGGGGGGGAGGACTGAATGCACTATAACAACTTTAATAAAATTAAGTTCTTATAGCGCCTACTGTGTTCCTTTAAGAGTTGCTTATCAGCGTGCATCTGGCATTGCAAAGCAACATCTCGAGGGGCTGTGATAGGTGATGAGAGAATTTAGTAATTTGATATACCCCATCAAAAGATAATTGTTTGGCTTGTCTTGTAGGAATGATTGATGTTACCATGCGCCTAATAAAATGTGGCGGAAGAGAATTCGCAATTGGGATCTATTTATTTTTTTAATCAAAAGGTATTAATTTATAACATTTCAAAAGCACATTTGTTATTATTATTTATAAAGTGCCAACAAATTCCATATCGCTGTACAATGTGTGGACTAACATACATGTATTTGTAACCAGACAGGTTGGACGCACAGGAACAGAGGGATTAAGGGCCCTGCTCAATGAGCTTACATGCTAGAGGGAGTGGGGTATCATCTTTTAAAAAGTGAAAAAATTAAGCGAAATAACTGACTTCACCATATAATTTAAACTCCCAAGGTCACCTCTCAGTCAGATACCTTTAAAGGGACACTATAGTCACCTGAACAACTTTAGCTTAATGAAGCAGTTTTGGTGTATAGAACATGCCCCTGCAGCCTCACTGCTCAATCCTCTGCCATTTAGGAGTTTAATCCCTTTGTTTATGAACCCTAGTCACACCTCCCTGCATGTGACTTGCACAGCCTTCCATAAACACTTCCTGTAAAGAGAGCCCTGTTTAGGCTTTCTTTATTGCAAGTTCTGTTTAATTAAGATTTTCTTATCCCCTGCTATGTTAATAGCTTGCTAGACCCTGCAAGAGCCTCCTGTATGTGATTAAAGTTCAATTTAGAGATTGAGATACAATTATTTAAGGTAAATTACATCTGTTTGAAAGTGAAACCATTTTTTTTTTTCATGCAGGCTCTGTCAATCATAGCCAGGGGAGGTGTGGCTAGGGCTTCATAAACAGAAACAAAGTGATTTAACTCCTAAATGACAGTGAATTGAGCAGTGAAATTGCAGGGAATGATCTATACACTAAAACTGCTTTATTAGGCTAAAGTAATTTAGGTGACAATAGTGTTCCTTTAACACTTCAAAATATATACAAAAATCTACACAAGAAAAGAAAAACAATACATAGTGCAATTTGCATATAACAATTATTACTGTGCATCAAATGGTTGTGATCACAAGAGAGCACTAATTAAATCATTCTATGAGTGCCTCCCCCGATGACAATGGTGGGCCAGAACCTCCTTGTCCATCAGGAATCACCCGATACAAGAGTCAGGACTCCAGATTAAGTAAAAAATGCTTTTATTGTAGCAGCATGTAACCAACATAAATAAAATAAATTTGGTAAAACTTCCTGAGGGACAAGGAGGTTCTGACCCTCCATTGCCATCGGGTGACACAAAGAACGAGTTACTTTCTACTCTCTTGTGAGTGCAACCATTTGATGTATGTGTAGGTTTAAACCCTCGGCTCGATGGCAGCGCCAGTAGAGTCCTAAGAAAGGAGGCTTGATAGCCCTCAGCCTCTGCGGGGTACGGTACCAAGGTATCAGGAGCTTATACGCAGACTCCTGTATCTTGCTTGCTGGACAAAAACAAACAAACAATGCTGCACTAGGTCGCAAATCACTGAAAATGTCAATATGGATGGATGGAGATTTGCACGGCGCCTCTCTGAGGTCTGCTTTAGTTGGTAGTGCATGGATCTGCGAGATCCAGTCTCGACTGGCATTTGGGATGACTTACGTCTGGTCCAACGATTAGAGAGGTGCGGAATGGCGGCAAGGTAGTCCACAACAAGGGCATGAGGTGCCCTCTCTTGGGGTCCACATTACTCTGGGAGCCTGTGGGTCTTTCCTGTTTTGATATCGAAAGTATAGTAATTAATGCTAGATAGCAGGTAATGGCTCAAGATTTTGCAGATTTTGTTCATCAGCAGCTCAGCCACACACCCCTGCAGTGTAAGAATTATTAAACTCCCCAGATTTTAATATTCTTTCTTCTGCGACCCATTCATGCCCCCAGCACCTCCATGTGTCCTATTCTCTCCCCACAGCCCCTCCATGTGTCTCATTTCCTCCCCCCAATACCTCCGTGTGCGTCATTAACTCCCCCAGCACCTCCATGTGTCCCATTCTCTCCCCACAGCCCCTCCATGTGTCTCATTTTCTCCCCCAACACCTCAGTGTGATTCATTAACTCCCCCAGCACCTCCATGTGTCCCATTCTCTCCCCACAGCCCCTCCATGTGTCTCATTTCCTCCCCCCAATAACTCTGTGCACGTCATTAACTCCCCCAGCACCTCCATGTGTCCTATTCTCTCCCCACAGCCCCTCCATGTATCTCATTTCCTCCCCCAATACCTCTGTGTGCGTCATTAACTCCCCCAGCACCTCCATGTGTCCCATTCTCTCTCCACAGCCCCTCCATGTGTCTCATTTCCTCCCCCAACACCTCAGTGTGCTTCATTAACTCCCCCAGCACCTCCATGTGTCCCATTCTCTCTCCACAGCCCCTCCATGTGTCTCATTTCCTCCCCCAACACCTCAGTGTGCTTCATTAACTCCCCCAGCACCTCCATGTGTCCCATTCTCTCCCCACAGCCCCTCCATGTGTCTCATTTCCTCCCCCAACACCTCAGTGTGCTTCATTAACTCCCTCAGCTACTCCATGTGTCTCATTTACACCCACACGGCCTCTTCATTTGTCCCATTCTGTCCCGCCCCAAATCCTGCGACCGTGGTAGGTGCGTCACTGCCTATAGCAGTAGACTATGGGAACTTTTAAGATCTATTTCCCATCTCTGCACCAGTGAGGGCACAAGGATCTGAGCCAGCAGGTTCGTATGTCCACTGTTGGGTAGGCCCTAGAGTCCGTCGTTGAGTCTTAACACCCAGGAAAAGAAAATAAGGCATCCACTTGTTCAGCACAGTACCCTAAAGTGGATGGGGAAGAAATCCAGCATAAAAGGCAAGATTCTACTTGGAAAGCCCAGACTTGTCCATGCTGGTGCACTGCTTCAAAATAATGATATATATAATGTCCCTCAGAAAAAGGTTGAGAACCACTTATCTAGCAAGCCAAGCTATTAGAGTGCCACACTAAGTTCCATAACCTCTACAGCGAATTGTATGGTGCTATCAGTCCATTTCATGATTTTGTGTCATAAACCGTTTTGGAGTGGTTTGAAATAATGCATACATCCCAACTGTCCTGATTTTCACAAGACAGTCCCAATTATTGGTCTCCTGTCTCAGTATATAACTATCATTGGCTCAGCACTCCATCCGGAATTTTAACAATATATTTGAAAAAACTAATTGGACAACAGTCATTAAAATATATATATATATATATTAAAACAACAGAATATTGGGTTTCATTTCCAGTGTTACTGCTACTTTCTTTGTCGCCGCAGTTAATGATTAGCGGTTATTTACCAACTAGAAAATTTCCCAAGTAGCAACAGGGAGTTACCAACTATCACTGCTAAAAAAAAAAAACATCGCTAAGTGGCGGCTAATGGTTCCCATTATTCTATATAGTTAGCACTCATGTAAACTACTTAGTTTATTTTTCGGATGTTTATTTTCAAGTATTTGCAACTGTGCATTATCAGTACGGTTGCAGAGGAGGACGGCGATGAGTGCTAATGAGAGTCTAAAGTTTTGTCAGCCATGTTCAATGCCTTAATCCTTGCACAGATTAGATATATCTACTCTACGAGATCACAAACTCTTCACACCTTGAATTACCACCTCCAAACATCATGTGGCCACTTCCTGAATACAGCAAGTCTGTATTGTATGCACATAAACCTTTTGTAGGTTTGGAGGTTTCATTTACACGTGTCGCCAATTAAAATGTTAATGGTTTCGCTTGATTTGCAAGACATGTTATAATTGCGTATGCAAACTGCTCTTTTTGCATGTTTCTATTTTGTCCTTCTGAATTACTACCTGCCATTCATCTGGTTTGTCTTTCAACAACCTACAGTTTCACCAAAATCAATAAACGTCTGATGAATATAAGTTGTTGGAATACAGCAACATAATTATAGGGTTGTGATGAATAGTGTTCAAATATTTGCCACTCAGGCCCCCTAGTTTGGAATATGGGGCTGATTTCTTTGGTTGTGCAAATAATATGTTTATATCTAAGAGTTAATGCAGACCCCCCCCCCCCGTTGTTTTCATTTGAGATAGGTAGCATAATTCTTGCCAAAAGAAAGGGAATAAGCCCTCTTAATTTGGAGTACTATCTAAATCCAACAGGAACCAGGACAGCTGGTGTTCAGTTCATAATTAAGCTTTTTTTTTTTTTTTAAACCAGACACAAGCGCTCCCAGAACTCATAGCTTCATAGCAGAGAGAGGGGCAATGCAGATTAGGTAGAGCCAAGAGCCTTTTAAGTGCAAGCTGTCTGCCCAGAGCAGCATCTCAACTGGATACAGTTGCTATTGTGAATATGACGCATGTGTTTATGGAGGCACTAAATGTAGCATGAAAATAGCAAATATAAACCATATTATTGGAGAACAGTTTTGGCTTTTCTGGTTATTAAACGTCACCAGGCTGGAATGGTGTTTAATTTGGATTGTCTGTTTTTAAACAGCATTTAATAAAAGAACACTATGCACCAAAACCACTACGTCTTAATATGGTGGTTTGGGTACCTGGATACTCCCCCATTTCTTGGACAATGTAAACCACTGCTCATTAGTTCAGAGAGGTAATCAGTTGTTCACTATAACCGATTAAATGCTAACATCACCTATAGAATGTAATAGTATGGGGGATTGGAGCCTGACTGGCTTGCTGAGTGGATGCATGCTGCCCGAGCTCCTGGGCTCCACATGGCAATCCACCTAATATTTTAAGCTAGTCAGCAGATTTTACTGCATATCACATAGCGGGGACCACGGGGTACCAATCGATACCAAAATCTGAACCTTTTTGGTCCATACCTACAAACCATTCTCCAAGTGCTGAATCTTGCTACTTGAAGGACCACTTAAAGGACTCCTGTTCCATACCAAGCTCTGTCGTTCATACTTTGATCCAGCTTACTTTTAGCCTCTACGCAAAGCTCTACATTCTACAATCTAGCATGCTTAATAGCATTTATCTCTTACTACTTATTCTTGTTTTGTTTTCTTGATTATTATTGTTTAATTTATGGCAGGCTATATATTCTTACTTATATATTTTTTTTTAATAAATTCTTTATTTATACATTTTGCTTATGTTTTATGATTGTTGGTGGGGTACAGAAGAGAGAGGGAAGGGCAGTAGGTACATTCACATTTGCATTTTGTTACATTTCTCATTATTTGCTGCATTTCTGGTTTTACATGTAACAATTTTTGTTTGTTCCAGTGCGTGGGGCACTCGTTGTTGCCTAGGGTCCAGTCTGCGTGTTGGAATTGTGTCCCCTATGAGTTGGGGTATTTTATGGCCGGGAGGCCCTCACGTGCTGGAAGTGCCTGGCCATGTGGAGGGTCGTGGGGGCACGTGGGAGGGAGAGGGTAGGCAGGGTGTGGGGTGGGTGTGGAGAGTATTGGATTGTTGGGGTGTGTCTCGTGGGCCTACCGGCTTGGGTGTCTTGTGTGGTTCTGTTTATGGTTGTGGGTGTTGTTTTGACGTTGGCAATTGGTTCTGTGTTGGGGGGCGGTTCGTTGGGAGAGGGGGTTGCATGGGTCATGGGGCACCCGGTGAGGTTCAGCCCTCGTCTCCAAGGGTGTGGTGGTGGGTTTCTGGGACCGGTTGGTGTGGTTTTCACGTGTGCCAGTCTGTGAGTTAGGTTTGGGGGTTCCCTCGTCTGGGCGCGCCGCGCTCTGGTGTAGCCGGGTGCTATGTATGTTGTCGAAATGAGTAGGGGACCACCAATGTTGTTGTTGGGTATGGGAGCCCTGCCCGCCCCCCTGCGCCCACGCCCGCCCGGCCCTCGTGGGATGGGGGAGGAGGGGGAGAGGTAGAGCGAAAGAAGCAAGGGGGAGAAAGAGAGAGAGAAGAAAAAAAAAGAAAAAGGGGGGGTGTAGCTGTGCGGCGTCTGTGAGGGGGGTGGCCTGTAGTTAGGATAGTTGTGTTATCTTTTGTTTGTGGGGTGGGTCCTGGTTGACGTGGTTTTTGGAGGCGGGCTGGTTAGCCTGTGGAGGCTGTCTCCAATTTCGCATAGTTAGTGTCCCAGAGGTCCCAGGTTCGGTGGAATGCTTTGTACGTGTCGTGTATCTGTGCTGTTAGTTTGTCAAGGTCGCGGGTTTCTTTGACCTTGCTGATTATTGTTGATAGTTTGGGGATATGCTGGTCTGCCCACAGTTCCGCTATTGCCCGTCATGTTGCGAGGGTTATTCGAGCAGTTAGTTTGTTTTCACTCCTGGTTAGGGAGTCCAGTCGTTTGCTGAGTAGCATAGTCCATGGTTGTGCTGTGAATGGTTTTTCAAGGATGTGTTCGATGAGGTCGCATATTTTAGTCCAGAATGGTTTGAGTTTAGGACAGTTCCACCAGCAGTGAAGGTATGAGCCAGTGTCTCCGCACAGTTTCCAGCATCATTCGTCGGATTTTTGTCCCATTTTGTGGAGTCTATGTGGTGTCAGGTACCGGCGGAACAGTGTTTTATATGCCTGTTCCTTGTGCGTGACACACACTGTCAGGGAGTTTGTTGCTTCCCAGATTTTGGCCCAGTCGCCCGGGTCATCGGGCGGCCCCAGGTCTCATTCCCATGCGGTGATATAGGTTGACTTGAGTAGCGTGGGTTGTCAGGGAGTTATAGATGTTGGAGATTTGTCCAGATTGTTGGGGTGCATCAAAGCATTGCTTCTCGAATGTCGTCGGGGATGACGTTCCTGCCTGTTTGATCATTGGCTGTTGCGCCAGGTCTCTGAGTTGTATGTATCGGAAGTAGTCTGATGTGGTCAAGGTTTCTGCATTTGGGAGGTTGTTGTATGTGAAGATGTCTCCCTGGTGGTATAGGTGGAGTAGCCTGGAAACGTCTCTCTGGTCGAATGCTAGGAAGTGCTTTGCAGTCATCCCTGGCGGGAAGAGTTTGTTGTGATATATCGGTATTACCAGTGAGAGGAAGGAGGATAGGTCGTATTTAGGGTTGAGTTTATCCCACAGGGTTATTGTGTGTGTGATTGCCGGGGAGGTAGGTGGCGGGAGCGGACGGTGTGCGCGGGGCACCCCCATGTAGGAGGATGGCTGGTCCCAGCCCAAGACGTTGTGTTCCAGGTCCACCCATCTTTTCGTGCCTGGGGGAATGTGCCATTGTTGGATATGGGCCAGTTGTGCTGCGTTGTAGTATTGCTGAAAATTGGGTAGTCCCAGTCCGCCCCTGAGTTTGGGGACGTACATCGTTGCCCTGCAAATTCAGGTTTTTTTGGCCTTCCATATGAATCTATCTATGGCTGCCTGGAGGCGTTAAAAGTCCGCTTTTTGTAGAGGAATGGGTAGATGTTTGGAAGAGGTACAGAAATCTTGGGAGAAGGTTCATTTTCACTGTGGTGACTCTCCCCAGCCAGGATACCCCCAGTTTGTCCCATCGTTGTAGATCGGTGTGTGCCGCTGTGAGTAGTGGCCTATAGTTAAGTTCATAGGTGTCCTCAAGTGCGTGTGACAGCTTGATGCCCAGGTAAGTTAGGGAGCTCGTGGCGATGCGGAAGGGGAATAGGTGGCTGAGGTTGAGTTGCTGAGGTTTCAGGGCTATAGGCATGAGTACCGATTTAGTCAGATTGATTTTATAGCCAGAGATGTTGGAATATGCGGCTATAAGGGTAAGTGTGGCCTGCAGAGATGGTATGGGTCCGCCAGTGTGAGGAGGACATCATCCGCGTATGCCGCTACCTTGTATGTGTCCCGCCTGATCTGTACTCTGCGGATCTCGAGGTGGGTGCGGATGGCCTGAAGCAGTGTTTCTAAGGATATTGCGAACAACAACTATGGTGAACGTCTGGCCTCGATAATAGGAAGTAAGAGCTTGCCGGTTGGGTGGTCGTATATCGCCTGAATGATGTTCACGAATCCAGTCGGAAATTTCAAGTGCATGCCTTCTTCGTGTCCAGTGAGAGCATCACCGATGGGATGTTTCGGCTTTGGGTGTACCAAATTGTATCGAAGGCTCTTCTAGTGTTGTCTGCCGCCTGTCTTTTAGGGATGAATCCGACCTGGTCTGGTCTGGGTGGATCAATTTGGAGATGAGGCGATTGGCCAATACCTTTGTGAGAATTTTTAAGTCGGTGTTCAGGAGGGAGTTCGGGCGGTAGTGTCCAGGGTCGAGGTGTTCCTTCCCCGGCTTGGGTAGGAGGCATATGTCTGCTGTGAGCATTTCGGGGGGAAGTTTGTGTCCCTGCAACAGTGAATTGAAGGTTTTGCAGAGAGGTGGTAACAGTGTTGCCTGAAACGTCTTGTAGTAGAGGGCTGTGAAGCCGTCGGGGCCCGGGCTTTTCATGGGTTTCAATGTTTTGAGGACCAGGGCAAGTTCTTACGTTTCAATGGGGGATTCCAACAGGGCTTGGGCTGTGGTGGTCAGGGATGGTAGGTTGAGGGGCCTCAGAAAAGAGGAGATGGTTTCTGATTGGTCTGTGTCTCCCGTGGACGTTGGTGCGGCGTGATTGTATATGATGGTATAGTAATGCAGGAATTCCTGAGTTATGGTGTCGGGGTTATTCGTGACCTCCCCTTTTCGGGTTTGAATTTTTGAGATTCTCTTGTTTTCTTGCCGTGTTTTGAGGCAGTGCGCTAGGAGTGAGTCTGCTTTATTGCCCTTCTCGTAGAATCGTTGCTTGGTCCACATGAGATTCCTCGCCACGTCTGCTGCGGAGAGTTTTTTGATGATCTCTCGCGTGTCTGTGAGCTGTGTAAGGAGCATTTCTGAGGGATTTTGCTTATGGAGTGTTTCAAGCCTTTTTAGGTTTTTCAAGGCGTCCGTCAATTTTTGTAGGCGTTGCTTTTTGAGAGCCATGGCTATCGTTATGAGATTGCCTCTGATTGTCGCTTTGTGAGCCGCCCACAATGTCGTCCGTAGTGTTAAGTTCGAAGTAGGTTTTTAGGTTCTCTGTCACGGTGTGGACAGCTGCCTTATCTTTTAGAATTCATGTGTTTAGCCGCCAGCGCCACTGGTGTGCCAGTTGTGGGATTTGCATGGTCAGTGCGATCTCCGCGTGGCCGGACCACGTGATTTTGCCTATGTGCGTGTGGATGGCCCATGGTTGGACTGCATTGGAGATGAGGAAACTATCGATATGTGAGTAGGACCGGTCTGTGTGTGGGAATAGAATGTGAAGTCCCTAGACGATGGGTGGTGGATTCTCCAGATATCCATTAGGGGCGTATCATTCAGAAATTCCGCGTATAGATTGTCATTTCTAGTTGGGGCTGGCATGCTGCTCGTGTGCATTCTGCGGTCTGTAGCTGGCGTGTGCGTCACGTTGAAGTCGCTGCCAAGGACAAAATGTTTGGCTGATATGCTGGTGAGGTAGGTTTTCAATTTGTGCCAAAACGAGGCGTCCAGGACAGTAGAGGCGTATATAGAGCCTATCGTTAGAGAGGTTGTTCCCATGTGTCCCGTGAGGATGAGGTATCGTCCTGAGTGGTCCTTGAGGGTTTGTATATCTTCCAGTGGGCAGGAATTGCGTAGTAGGATGGCGACTCCTTTCGTTTTTGGTTCCAGGGAGTTGGCCAGATAATACCTTTTGAAGTACCTGTTGATCAGTGGGAAATGTTTTTGGTCAGTGAAGTGGGTTTCTTGGAGTAGGATGATATCTGCGCCTGTGCGGTTAGCCCAGTGCAGTATTCCGTGCCGTTTGCCTGGTGAATTTAGGCCCTTCACGTTGAGCGAGGCGGAGTTTGAGGTTCCTCGGTGTCATGTCGTGGTGGTGGCTGTGTTCTTTTGAGGGTGGGGTGCGGTGTGAAGAGGGGAGGGCGGGGTTGGGGATTTCCCCTAGTTTGGATGAGTACCTGATAAGTGGTTAGTTCGGTGCGGGGTCAGCGAAAGATGGAGAGGGCTGGGGGAGGAACTCGGGAGAGGGCGGCCGGGCCAGGCCCACGCAGGCACGCCGGGGGACAGGGACCCCCGTGGGTGGTCGGATGGATTTAGACTGGGCTTATCAATTTGGCCAGTTGTAAGATAGGTGGGGGGCTCGGTCTCCTGGCCTGTGGTCTGTGTATGTAGTGGTTCCAGAGAGAACCAAGTCTGGTGAGGGAGGGTGTTCGCAAGCAGTGGCAGGTCTCGCCTTTGACCTGCCCGTGTGTGGTCTAAGATGGCTGAGCCGGGTATGGGGCCCGGGGTAGGAGGAGGGGGGAGCTAGGTCATTGTGGTGTGTGGGTGCTACCTTTTGTCTGCAGTCTCAGTGTGGTGCCCCGCGGCCAGTCGCCCCCGGGGGAGTGTGCTTTCCCCAATACAGTGTTCCATTTGTGTTTGTCAATATCCCCCGCGGTGGCGGCCGACCTTGCTCTCGGGCGCTCCTCATTCTGTGGACGTCCACCCCAGGGGGGTGCCGCCTCCAGGCAGGATGGGGTTGTGCTTTTCCCTATGAGGCATGGTACCCAACCCTTTTGTGTACGGATGGCCTGCGGTTGGATCTGCTCTGCAACAGTGTTCATATAACTTTGTTTTAACTTTGTTGTCCATTTAATACAGTAGTTTGACAAGCGTATAACATGAAAACATAAAAACATGCAAGGTTCAAATAGCGTGGTGTGCAGGATCAGCCACTGACGTTCCCCCCCAGGGTTCAAGGGCTGTGCTGGGTGCTCCGGCTCTAGGCCCAGCGACAGCGGGTTGTGTGGGCCTCGCGGGTCACTTTGGATGCCGTGTGTGGTGTGTCCCATGCAATATACTTGCGGCTTTGAGTCCTCAGCCCTTGTGTGAGAGTCCATTATATGTCCCTTCATCCGTGGGGCTTGGTGTTGCGCCAGTTCGAAGATGGCGGGCCTATGCTCAGATCTGTGTGCTCCGGAACCCACTGTCAGTGGCTGTTCGGGCTGCTGTTTATGGAGCGGTTGGTGGGGTAAGTTGTTGTTGCGGTGGCTGTAGTTGGAGTTCGTGCTCTGCGGGTGGTCAGGAAGGTGGGTAGTTTGAAGGCCGTGTGCTTAGTCCGTGGTTTGTAGGCTGTTGCGTCTTGAAAGGGGTGCTTGTTCATTGCTTCGGGTGGCTGGTCCTGCTACGCTGTGTGTTTTTTGTTAATGGCGGGAGGTGTCTTGGCTGTCTGGAGCCGTGGTCTGGTGTTGATGGTCTCCGCTTCTAGCCGTCGGGTTGTGGCTTGTGGATTGGTGCGAACTGGGGCCGGAACTGAAGTGCAGCGTTTCAGGGAGTTGTGGTAGGCCCAACTGCTCCAGGAGCGCAGGGATTTCTGCGGGCCGCGTAAGGGAGTGGAACCTTCCATCCTTGCGGATGATTATCTTGAAGGGGTGGCCCCAGGCGTAGCGGAGGCCATGGTGGCTGAGGTGCTGTGTCAGTGGACGCAGGTCCCATCTCCTCTTCAAGGTGGTCGATGCCAGGGCCTGAAACAGTTGGACCGGCACTCCTTCCACTTCGATGGGGGTGTCCCTTGCGGCGTTCATTATGCGCTCTTTAATGTAATAAAAGTGAAGCCGCACAATGATGTCTCTAGGGGTGGCTGCTGCAGCGCTTGGGGCTCTCAGTGCTCGGTGTGCCCGATCCATAAGGAGGTCTGCGGCTGTAGCCTCGGGCAGGAGGTTTTGGAACACTTCGGTGAGGGTGCTGGTGAGGAGCTCCGTGGATATACATTCCGGTATGCCCCTCACTCTGATGTTATTTCTCTGTGTTCTATTGTTGAGGTCTTCGTTGGCGTCTTTGAGGGAGCGTAGTTGTTCTCTTAAGTCTTGTATTTCTTCGTCATGTGCGTGCACTGTTTCTTGAGTTTCCGCCATTTTTGTCTCAGTGGCCTGTGCTCGGGCTGAGAGGTCCGCCATCCCCTCCAGGATTGGGTTTGTCTAATTCCTCGGCCACAGACTTTTTAAAGTCGGCGATGAATCCACGCATATCCCTTCGTGTCAGCGGGGCCTCTGTCCTGTCCGAGGTTGCCGGGCTGCTCATTTCGGATTCCAATGGTGAGGATTACAAAGAGGGCGCCTGGTTTTTCTCGGACTTCTGCCTGAAGATCGGTGCTACTGAAGAATTGCATGCTTTTTTGCCGCCACCCATTGAGGGGGTGAGTGTGGGTGTTGGGGAGGATGGTGAAGAGGTTTTTAGGGCGCTGGGGGGCTCAGGTGCGCTTGATGGCTTTAGATTGAGGCTAGGCCTTGGCAGAGCTCAGAGATTATGCTGCCATTCACTTGCAAGGTTAGGCTCCGCCTTTCCTTACTTATATTCTTAAAGCCTATCATGTCTGAAATGTAATCTTCGTATACCTAACCTAAGTATATATGCTGTTTGTTTTTTGTTTTATTATTTTCATAAAATAGTGCAAATTCTCTATGTGCTATGTCAATGTGTTACCTTATAACTATTGTGGCCTAACAAGCATGTCTGCATTAACTAGCACTGCATAAATAAAGAATGTATAAAAGAAAGAAAATTTAAAAAATTAATGCTAAAGTACAGAAAAAAAAATCAGAGTGCATATAAAGACTACATTTTGCTCATATGAGCTAAACTTGCAGACATCTTTAAAGTCATCTAAAAAGTGCCAGTTGCAGTCATGTAATAACATTTATGGCAGGCTGTGCATCATGTGAAATGAATTTCACAGACATTAAAAGCAAATACACCCCATCTTATAAAAGAGAGTTGCACTTTCGTCAACGGTTACGAGGTATGAACTGTATTATGGCATAAACCATGGTACTGCAAATATGTGTGGTCTACATATTCTGAGAAAGTGAGTCCTGGCTTAACATCAAGGGAACTGTAGTCCATAAACAGCTAATGTGTGCACTATATTTAAGGACATAATTTCAGTTGTTGCTTAGCCAGTCAAAATTATTTTCAAATTATTGTATCTTTTCAATAATTAAAAAAAAAAAAATCATAAAAAAAAACAAAACTATAAAATAATTTTAAAACAACATTATAACAATTCAAACAATATTAGGGAGTACAGGTTTCTATCTTTACATATCAAAAATTAAAACGCCAAATGTTTACAAAAGTAAAATAAAATAATTTCACACACAGTATAACAATTTATAAGCAAAAATTAGTACAACATTTACCTCATGCATAAGCTTAGTATAAGGGGAAGATCAGATCAAATAGGGGGAAAATATATATATAAAAAAAGAAAAAGTAGTTCCCCCTGGAGTTTTCAGAGCCTTTTAAAACTTTTCATGTAACCATTTAATCACAAATATCTGCCAAAACTATTGGTCATACCATTTCTTTATTTTTTTAAACTGTTCATGCAGAATTTCACAGTCTTTGTGTCCCACTACTGTAAAGACCCACGATTTTTACACTGCTCCTAAGTATAGCAACACCCATATGTAGTAGACCAGGGATAGGCAACCTTTGTACTCCAGATGTTGTGGACTACATCCCCCATAATGCTGGAAAAGCATCATGAGAGGTGTAGTCCCAAACATCTGGCATGCCGAAGGTTGCCTGTGCTTGTAGTAGACATTTGGCATTTTAATTGTGGTCAAATTACAGAAAAGCCCACTACATTTTAACCCAGTCATGGAATAACATGTGCCAAACAAGCAAATGTGGGCAATTTAAAGGGGTACTGTCAATTTTATGAATTTCGTTTCATGTCCTACGCTGTGATAAAAGGAAATTAAAGCACCTCTTCTATGCAAAACCAACAGCTTCTGTGACTATACACTGTGAAAACAGTGTAAATTCTGTGATAAACAGGCGCTTAGAAAACTGTGGTGACAATTGTAATAAAGCTGCTTCCTGTGCAAGTATCTCTTTCACTTTACACAATATACAAATATACTACATAGTCAAAACCAACACAACGGAGTATGGTGGAGCTCGGACATACTCGCTTATGTTGGTTTTGACTACCTAATCAGTTTCATTATATCTGTGAACATAGAGATTGTATTTGTTTTTGCAGATGTTAAAGGACCACTATAGACACCCAGACCACTTCAGCTTAATGAAGTGGTCTGGGTGCCAGGTCCATCTAGGGTTAACCCTTTTTTTTATAAACATAGCAGTTTCACAGAAACTGCTATGTTTATATTAGGGTTAATCCAGCCTCTAGTGGCTGTCTCATTGACAGCCGCTAGAGGCGCTTGCGTGCTTCTCACTGTGATTTTCACAGTGAGAGCACGCCAGCGTCCATAGGAAAGCATTGTAAATGCTTTCCTATGAACTGGCTGAATGTGCGGAGGAGAGGAGGAGGAGAACTCCCCGCCCGGCGCTGGAGAAAGGTAAGATTTTAACCCCTTCCTCTCCCCAGAACCTGGTGGGAGGGGGACCCTGAGGGTGGTGGCACCCTCAGGGCACTATAGTGCCAGGAAAACTAGTATGTTTTCCAGGCACTATAGTGGTCCTTTAAATAGTAATGGATAACAAGATTAGCCAATTTAACAAAAATAAAGAAAACAATCTGGCTTGATTTAGTCTGCTTCATATGAGGAACTGACCTACTGGATACACCATTTAAAAGTCAAAAAATCCTTATTTGTGAGTGAGGAGGCACTTATAATATATGTTAGCTTTCCTCACTTAAAGGGACATACACTACCCAAATGCAAAGTAAATTTAATACAATCACTGTTTAATAGACATACACTGCCCAAATGCAAAGTAAATTTAACACAATCACTGTTTAATAGACATACGCTACCCAACTGCAAATTAAATTTAATACAATCACTGTTTAAAAGATATACACTGCCCAAATGCATATTAAATTTTGACCCAGTTTTAATTGTTCATCGCTATCAAGATGGTCACAGAGTATGGAATACTTTGAAATCTAACCAGTTGCGTATTAGCTCTGCAGTACCACTTTGCCTAACTGTTTAATTGTCATGGAACCATGAAATACAGGGGATGCAAACAGCAGAGGGAAGTTCAGATGAGACACATACAGGTAACAGGGAGTTGACTTACATGAACTCAATAATGCTAAGAAGACCTGAGTAACAATGAATTTAATGAAAGGGGAACAGTCACACCACAAGATTTGTAATATTATGTTTACTTTTCCATATGCTTAAAGAGAAACTCTAACGTTAGAAATACAAACACGTATGTTTAATGTTGGAGTTTATTCCTGGTCTTTCGGATTTAGTGCTCTCCTTTAAAATTGAAAATAATTTTACTCACCTTTAATCCCTTGCCACGCAGGTCTGGCCGCAATTACTTTTTGCTGAGATCCCATATAGATGGATTATCCCAATGTCTTTCTATAAGAACCATTCGGAGTGGGAATTTTCAGAACATCAGTCCTGCAAAGATTGCAGGATCTTAATAGGAAGCACCTCTAGTGGCTGTCTGAGTGACAGCCACTAGAGGTGTCTTTAGGAACAAAAATAAACACTCCCTTTTATACTGTAGAGACAGAGAAGACTCTGCACCAAAACCACTACATTAAGCTGCAGTGGTCCTGGTGCCTTAGAGTGTTCTTTTATTAAATTAAATGTAAAAAGCAGCACCTATCTATCCTGGTTTAGTCACCTCCATCTTTAGTCCCTGACAATTACTGTTATAAGCTTTGGCCTTATGACGTCAATTGCAAAAACCTTTAATGTACGTTTAAGAGAAAATGGAGGAGTATCATAAGAAATTTGATGTTTAAGTTAATGGTGTAAATTAAACTGTAAGTTTGATTACACTTCACCTCATTAGAAAAGAAAGAAAAAAAACCTAGGCGGTGTATATATTTTCTTTTAAGTATAAAGGATGCACAAAATTAAACATTTGTTCACATAGAATGGGTGTGTGTGAATACTATTTCTATTTTTCACTTTATAAATGAAGAAGTGAAAACTATGAAGTTTTTGTTTTAATAACACCCAAAACCACATTTTAGAAATTTGAAGCAGTGGTCAAAAATAGCCACTCTTCGTGTCCCCACTTCCTTATTTTTTTGGACTCCTGTATGGGGACACTAAATTATGTATCTCAGTACAAAACACTGTCCGATCTCTCTTTTCAGTCAACTGAACTTATAAACAATATGTATGCTCTTACTGTGGCCTGTGGTTGAAAAGTGAAGATTTGTAAAATGGAAAGGACTGTTAAAGATGCAGTTGATTAGCAAAGTACAGACAGACAATAGGAAATGGAATTAATTTGCTGATTTTCTCACAGTGTCCAAAATCCAGCTATAACTAATCTTATTGATTTTTTTGATTGGGTAACTAAAATAATGGATCAAGGTGGTGCAGTAGACATTGCTTACCTAGATTTCAGTAAGGCTTTTGACATTGTTGCACATAGAAGGCTTATCAATAAATTGCAATCTTTAAGTTTGGATTCCAATATTGTTGAATGGGTAAGGCAGTGGCTGAGTGACAGGCAACAGAGGGTTGTAGTCAATGGAGTATATTCAAAGCTTGGACTTGTCACCAGTGGGGTACCTCAGGGATCTGTACTTGGACCCATTCTCTTTAATATTTTTATTAGTGATATTGCAGAAGGTCTTGATGGTAAGGTATGTCTTTTTGCTGATGATACTAAGATATGTAACAGGGTTGATGTTCCAGGAGGGATAAGCCAAATGGCAAATGATTTAGGTAAACTAGAAAATGGTCAGAATTGTGGCAACTGACATTTAATGTGGATAAGTGCAAGATAATGCATCTTGGACGTAAAAACCCAAGGGCAGAGTACAGAATATTTGATAGAGTCCTAACCTCAACATATGAGGAAAGGGATTTAGGGGTGATTATTTCTGATGACTTAAAGGTAGGCAGACAATGTAATAGAGCAGCAGGAAATGCTAGCAGAATGCTTGGTTGTATAGGGAGAGGTATTAGCAGTAGAAAGAGGGAAGTGCTCATGCCATTGTACAGAACACTGGTGAGACCTCACTTGGAGTATTCTACGCAATACTGGAGACCATATCTCCAGAAGGATATTGAGACTTTAGAGAGAGTTCAGAGAAGGGCTACTAAACTGGTTAACGGATTGCAGGATAAAACTTACAAGGAAAGGTTAAAGGAACTTAAGTTGACAAAGAGTAAGCAATATAGAAAGTTATTTGTAAATTAGATACATGGGCATTTAGGTAGGTTGAAAGGTAATATGATGGTAAATAGAATTACTTGGGGAAATTAAGAATTCATTATTGGTGGTAAAGCTGTGATAATAATCTAGATGTTAGGATATAGTATTTTTGTTTCCTTGAGGATACGCCAAACAACGTGAGACGAAACATGAATTCAATGAAATTTGGTTTTTGTTGGGTTAATTCACTAAACACTAAACTGGGTTTATTCATGAAACACTGAGTTTAAAACCAGAATGCAAAATTTTGGCAGAAAATGCCAGGTTGTATTACAGCCGAGTTGGAGAATATTTCCGAATTCCCAGTTTTTCTGATATTTCTGGTATCTCTTTTTTGAAAATACAGTTGTTGTTTTTTTATTGCAAGGTAGACATACAATAGGGAATAGAAAATTGCAATCGCAATTTACCAAGCTTCTGTTTGATTGCATATATGTTACTCAGCTTACAGTCAATGTATAGTACATGCACCACACCTGTCAAGGTCCCCTGCAGGACTTGAAACTTTGCAACCTTTTCTTTTCCAGTTGGATTTAAAAAAAATGTCTTATGGGGCGGAGCCAAGCTGCAGAACAGAGAAGTCGCATAGCATTGTAGCTCCTGCAATTTTATGCCAAAACACCCTAACCAAACGACCAAAATCGTCCAAAACAGCCTCAAATCCCAGGCAATAACAGGGGAAACGACATGGGACGGAAAAGCAAAAAACAAAAGCCCGATCAGCCCAGACTTGGCCTCGATATCGGAGCCATGTGGCGACAGGCCCACGGAGCGGTTGGGCCCAAGATGGCCGAATACCCAGAGACATACTCCGACCTGTCTGATGACTTCTCCCAAGGTGAGGACACACTTCACTCTCCCAGTCCACCAGCAGCAAAAGCCACACCACCAGACCCAGATAACGCACCAGTCACCACAGCGGTGCTCAAGGCATTACTGGCAGGCCTACAGACCACGATCCAGGCAGAATTGGCGGGCCTCCGCACAGACCTCCAGGGAATAACCGGGAGACTAGGCACCCTGGAGGATTCCTCCGCCACCACAGCTACCCGTATCGCCACCATGCAATCGGAGATAAGGGGTCTGCAGAGTAAAGCAGAGGTCTATGAACGGCAGTTCGCAGCACTGGAAGACACACGCAGAGCAACCAACATAAAGGTACAGGGAGTACCAGACGACATGCCGGCGGAGGAACTGCCGCACTTCGCGAGGAGGCTCTTGGCAGCGCTGCTACCAGCACGGAAAGCCAAAACAATAAGCCTGGACGGAGTTCACAGAGTTCCCAAACCGACCAAAGCCCCACCAGCGGCCTCCAGGGACATTATACTCCGCTTCCAGCGCAAGGAAGACAGAGCCGCAACCATGGCAGCGGTCAAAAACCTTCCCCAGTACCCCTTCGAAACCATGTCCCTCTCCTTTTTCACGGACTTGTCCGGCAGCACCTTGGCTTGGAGACGGTCGCTTAAGCCACTTACAACGCTACTTCAGCAACGAAACATAACATACCGATGGCGCCTCAACCGTTCCCTGCTGGTGACACATAACGGGAACACCCATGAGATTCACAACCTCCAGGGAGCGGACGACTTGCTACCCATACTAGGACTACCTTTAGATGCCATATGTCCCACGACAACCTCCAAACCACAGCACAGGTGGAACCCGGAAAGGGTGAAAACTTTCGTTCCGCGAAGGTCCGGACTCGGCTCCCCGGCTGACAAGCCGCAACAAACTATTGGCCGGGACTGTTTGAACTAACTCCTTGTGACTCTTTACACTACTTAGCAATTTTGCCTAACCTGTTAATTTATACTTCTTTTTACCTACCGTTATGAATCTAATAGTTCATGTACCTTAAATGTTACTAGCTCGTTACCGGGAAGACTCACATAAGAATGCTCCCAGTCAGGCTACTTACCCCACTCCCCCCCACCCCCATCTGCCCTAAGCGGAAACAAGATGGTACATCACCCTAAACGGCAGAGAGATGGGGTTACGGCACACCCAGCACCTAGATACCTCCCAAGCTATAGCAATACCTCACAAACACAGAGGGAAGAGAACACCGTAGAGCGATACACTGCACCACTGAGCTCAACACCTCTAGGAACAGCTGATTGAAACATAGGCGGATTTACCCCATAGCACACATCCTAACGGAGCAGACAACTCCAACTAGCTAGACACACGCCAGGTATCATAAGACCTCTCCATAGCTATTATCAGGAGCGTATTTTTAGTACATATTGGCCACTCAACGGCTATTAGTATTACCCAGCTACAACATGTGTACTCATTGCGTGTAGTTAACTTAGCGATTGTTAGCATGTTATACTCTATAAATATTAAATGTGCAACTCCTCAGATATGCCACTGAAAGTTTTGATATTGCTCACAGTAGCTGTTGTGGCACTGCAAGCATGTATGTATCCAAATGCACAAGAAAAATAAAGAATTTAAAAAAAAAAAAATAAATAAAAATTTAAAAAATATATTTCTGTTCATACAAAAACCTACATTATACAAATAAATACATTATTTAGCACTAAAAAAAAAAAATTTCTTATTGAAATTACATAGTTACATAGCTGAAAAGAGACTTGCGTCCATCAAGTTCAGCCTTCCTCACATATGTTTTTGCTGTTGATCCAAAAGAAGGCAAAAAACCTAGTCTGAAGCGCTTCCAATTTTGCCACAAACTAGGAAAAAATTCCTTCTTGACACCAAAATAGCAGTCAGATGTCTCCTTGGATCAAGCAGCTATTACCCCACTAATTAGAAATTATATCCCTGTATGTTATGTTTTTGCAAGTATTTATCCAATTGCAGTTTAAACATCTGTAATGACTCTGACAAAACCACCTCTTCAGGCAAAGAATTCCATATCCTTATTGCTCTTACTGTAAAAAAACCTTTTCTTAGTACACTTCCAGATAAAGGTTTGTACTGGCCCCGAATATATTTGGATAATGTTATCATATCCCCTCTCAGGCACCGTTTTTCCAAACTAAAGAGATTTAAATTTTTTAACCTTTCTTCATAACTAAAATGCTCCATTCCTTTTATCAATTTTGTAGCTCGTCTCTGCACTTTTTCTAGTACCATGATATCTTTCTTTCAAACAGGTGCCCAAAATTGCACAGCATATTCAAGGTGTGGTCTTACCAGCGATTTATAAAGAGGCAAAATAATATTTTCATCTCGAGAATTTATGCCCCTATTTATACATGACAAAATCTTACTGGCCTTAGCAACTGCAGATTGACATTGCATATTGCTGCCTAATTTGTTGTCTATAACAATTCCCAAATCCTTCTCGTGTGTGGTTATCCCTAGTTCACTACCATTTAGGGTGTAAATTGCTTGTGCATTCTTAACCCTGAAGTGCATAACTTTGCATTTCTCTACGTTAAATTTCATCTGCCATTTTAGTGCCCAGTTCCCCAATCTATCCAAATCCCTCTGCAGCAAGGCAATATCCTGCTCACATTTTATTACTTTACAAAGTTTTGTGTCATCTGCAAACACCGATACATGGCTTTCAATGCCCATTTCAAGATCATTTATAAATATGTTAAATAGAAGCGGTCCTAAAACAGAACCCTGAGGGACACCACTTACCACTTTTGTCCAGCTTGAAAATTTACCATTAATGACAACTCGTTGTTCTCTATCCTTAAGCCAATGTTCTACCCAAGAACAAGAATATTCATCTAGACCAATTTCTTTTAGTTTGAAGACTAACCTATTGTGAGGAACCATATCAAATGCCTTGGCAAAATCCAAGTAGATCACATCCACTGCAACACCCTGATCTATACTTCTACTTACTTCTTCGTAGAATGCAATTAGGTTAGTTTGACATGACCTATGTTTCATAAAACCATGCTGATTATTGCTAATAACACAGTTCTTCCCAATTAATTCCTGAATATTATCCCTTAATACCTGTTCAAATAATTTCCCAGTCACAGAAGTTAAGCTCACAGGTCTATATTTCCAGGCAAGGATTTTGAACCCTTTTTAAATATAGGAACAACATCTGCCTTCCTCCAGTCCTCCGGTACAATACCTGAAACAAAAGAATCTTGAAAAATTAAATACAGAGGTTCACTTAATTCCCCACTTAGCTCCTTAAGTACTCGTGGGTGCATACCGTCAGGCCCCGGACCTTTATGTACATTCATTTTCTTTAATAGCTGTAGCACCTTGTCTCAAGTTATCCAATCACAAGTTATCTGCATGTTTGTTGCAGCAATCATTTGCTTATCTCTTGCCATAGGACCCTCATTAATATATACTGAAGAAATATATTTATTTAAAATTTCTGCCTTTTCCTGGTATTCATTGACTAACAGACCCATCTCTGTTTTCAGTGTACCTACACTTTCATGTTTTGTTTTTTTAGAATTGATGTACTTGAAAAAATGTCAGACATAGTCTGTCTATGACCTTAAAATATCACTTTTATTATTGTAGTTTTGGCAGAAACTAGGTTATTTAAATGCCAATATGTATAAATGTCGGTGATTATCAATCTAATTTGTGGTTGGTAAATATATCTTCAAGCCTTCTGATATAAAGGCATCCTGTTATATTGATTAATGAAAAGAGTGTTTTTTTCAGGTGAGAGGTCCGATTTCATCATTTCAATGCCAGGAAATAATGGGCTGGCTGCACCCCTCCTTTGTATGCCCACAGGGTACAATAAAGGAGCTGGACTGAGAGTGGAAGCAGCCTTTGCATAATAGCGATTAATGTATACACTTTCATTGCTAAACTAGAACCTGCAGCTCTTTGCATGGTATTAACATTGAAACCCTGGGAATGTTAACATACTACCCCAAAACGAGCAAAAAACAAACACGAATGATGAGCTATAGCAACAAATCAGCGGTGGGCTTAAAGGTGGGCCGAGCAATGACAAAAAAGCAACTGCAGACCAGTTTAGATAGTTACGTGCCAACTCTGCATCAGTCCAGTGGTGCCCCCCACAGGTCATAAATGAGGTGGCGTGAATCCAGCTTAGACTTTCTAGTTCTGAGTTACACAAAATAATAAATATATCTAACTTTGCAATTATGTGTTTTTGCCTACGCATTGTTAAGAGTAAATCAGGCACAGATGCTCGCTCTGGCAGTCGACCGGCTTTTGATTGGCTTGACAATGGCAAGTTCTGGCCTAGTTTGGAAGATCTTAGATTAAATTCTGACCATTTGCTACACGTAAAAAGGAGAGAGTCAGTTAGAAGCCAGCCGGATTATAACTCCCATCACACCTATCTGACACTGTACAGTGTCACAGTTGTGGAAAACAAAGACCAAACTGCTGAAACGAGCGTTTAGGGAGTTAATCATGACACAATGAACTGTGATGAGCTGTCAATAGAATTGCCAAAAAAGCCCAGCTGAAAATGTTTCCAGGGTACAAATGAAATAAGAGAAAAACAAATTGTACTGTTCCTGGTAAGATGCTTCAGAAACAAAGAGAATTCATAAATAACACAGTTGTAAAATTACATCAGCGCCCAACAACCCACGGTTTAAGGAACATACCCTCATTTAACACATTTATTGCCTTTTTATTACTGCACATGAGTCAATGTGCTTTACATGAAGAAAAAAATTGTGTTAATTTCAAGAGGTTAGAATGAGTTGACACAGATGTCATCTAGCTCTCTCTCTCTCTCGGAAAAACCGTAAGCATTCAGGTTTACTCATTTAAATTATTCACACAAAACGTTCCTGGCCTTACCACAATCTGTTTCAGTATAATTTCACAAAGAGAAATGATAGTCCATTTTGGAATAAAGAAGGATTATTTTACTATTTTGTGTCACAGTTTGAAATTGCATTAAACTGGGTTTTTCATCTTCTTTTGGGTCAACAGCAGAAACAGCGATATGCGAAAGGCTAAACATGACAGCTTTTTTTTAGTTTACGATACTATGTCATGTGTGTAACGTACAGCTTGGAGGAAAGACGAGACACAGGGGATATGATAGAAAGATTTAAATACATAAAGGGAATCAACACAGTAAAGGAGGAGACTATATTTAAAAGAAGGAGAACTACCACAACAAGAGGACATAGTCTTAAATTAGAGGGGCAAAGGTTTAAAAATAAATTTCAGGAAGTATTACTTTACTGAGAGCGTAGTGGATGCGTGGAATAGCTTTCCAACTGAAGTGGTAGAGTAGCCATAAGGCTATCCTAGATATAAGATAAGGCCAGGGGCTAATGAAAGTATTTAGAAAATTGGGCAGACTAGATGGGCTAGAAGGGCTTCTTATCTGACGTCACATTCTACGTTAATATGTATGTAACAAAAGGTTTATAGCCACTATGCCTTTTGCCATTTTGTGTATTTGTGGCTGGTTAATCTATGAGAAGCACTGGATGGGACCAAAGATCATCAGCATTGATGATCTCTTTGGAGGAGCGGGTGCCTGGTGAAGTCCGTATTGACGCAGAGGCTGACATTCTCAGCCAATATGCTAAGCCTTGCAATAAATGGCTGAACTCATGAGAGCCACTGGAAATTAATGCATAGGAACATAGTAGTGGAGATAGGTAGCGGCATCCGGTGGTATTACTTTTTGATATTGTGTTGAACATTTTATTACAATACGCAATGATGTACACAATTCAACAAAAGATAATACAATTAAATGTCATTTATTCAATGCAAATATACTCACAACAAAGTGAAAAAGGCTAAATACTAACAGCAGAACACAAATGGCAACAAATAGCCTAACAAAGAAGATGTGTGTCCCATGAGTCCCCTGAAAATGTTATTAATCTAATTTTATTTCATTCTTTACTCACATATTCTCTGTATATGTATAAACAGGTAATGTGCACGTTGTTCTGCTGTAGTGATTAATACTATGATCAAATTCAATAGGTTTGTGTCCCAAAGCAATGCCCCCCTAACATTACTATGAGCCTTTGACAGACTCCCATCTTACACTGTTATAAATCAAGTTTTGAGCCAAGTGAAGCGCAGATAGGCAATGTCATCATCTCTTAGAAAACTAATTTCACAACAGAGGATGTGCCAGCACTGTTAAAATTGAACAGGAGTTTTCTGAAACCACTGTCATTATCATTATTTTATTATTTATATAGCGCCATCAGATTCCGTAGCGCTGTACAATGGGTGAAGTGGTTAAGACATGGTGATACAAACACACTGACGATTAATCCCTTCTATGCCATAATCACAGACTGTTTATAGAAAATATGCCAATCGTGAATATCTTGCTTACTCAACGTTGCCATTCAGGCAATCCCTGGTGTAAGGAGTTAAAGTTTGTTTAAAAAAAAAATATATATATATATATATATATATATACTGTATATAAATAACGTTGAAATATTTCAGTTACAATCACAATTATTTATATAGTTACCAATATAATCCTCAGCTCTGTACAATAGGACACAAAACAAACATTGATATATATGATAGAGTTATTTAACAAACTATTCTAGAGACAAACTAATTTGTTTCACAATTTTTCGACAATCATTCCAAAATTATCAAAAATGTAAGAATAATTCAATATATTAGCTTTTTATAAATAAGGGTTGCAATTAATTGCTTTCAGAATCAATATAGCAATTATGTGTATTGATTTAGCTGCGTCATTTGTTTCAAGACCTTTCATCAAGCCTACTGGGTATGGCATAAATCACTACAGACTGGTATGATTTATGGGCTAGGAGTCTAGGACGCATGAAAAGTTAAATGTAGTATGCTTTTTTGTTTGTTTTGTTTTTGAAGGGATAAATAGCTCACAGTGTGCATTTTACAGCACCTCCCCTACCGAACTGCAACCTAAATAGCATGGTTATTAAAAAAAAAAAAATGTTTCAGGAGGATGAATTGTTACATTATTATTATTATTACTGATATTTATATAGCGCCAACAGATTCTGTAGCGCTTTACAATATTATAAGAGGGGGGATTTAACTATAAATAGGACAATTACAAAAAACTTACAGGAACATTCAGTCCAATATAATAAAATAATGGAACAGAGATCTAGACAAGATTCAGTACCCCAATTGTTGTAGAACACAAACTCTCACAATGTTTAAAGCAGGCTTCCCCAAACTCTGGCCCTCCAGATGTTGCTGAACTACAACTCCCATGATTCTGTGAATTAAATAGATAGGCTAAGAATCCTGGGAGTTGTAGTTAAGCAACATCTGGAGGGCCGGTGTTTGGGGAAGCCTGGTTTAAAGGCTTGAAAAATTCTGCTTATATGTGCTCTATACCGGGGGGAAAGGCAATTTTGCAAACCGAATCAAAGGATAATTATTTAAGAATACAGAATGAATGCATTTATTTTGTTTCGTATTGTTATAATACTCACTAAATTTCTTGCTGCTCTGTTTCTTCGAATTCTGGTCCATTTTGCCTTAAGAAAATAGAGAGAAACTCTCATGAGCAAAGATTACAAACTGATTATGTTTGGCAACTCTAAAAGGCTGCAGCTCGTAAGCACTTCTATACACCCCCTCTTTCCCCTGAACTTTTTCATATTTGCTCATTTCCATACCCAATGCTTTAAGCTGATAGCTTCTTTGTGGTTTTGAGGCTGTCCTTTTAAACCACAAAATTTGAGAGGAGAACTAAAGAGAAGTGGCTTTCAGAGAATTTTTTTAAAAAAAATCTATGACCTGTTAAGCTCTTTTGATCTTTAGAAAGTCATAATTGACATGTGGCTCTGGCTACGCCAATGTTTTATTTGGACATTTTGTCCGCGAATTTTGACTGGTGAGGTTCTGTACACATCATCCAAGTCTTACCGGAGCTTTGAGATAAAATTGTGACAGTTGTTGAGGAGATTCTCCCATCGGGTGTATATCATACTTCTTGATACTAATCACAACTTCCGCCTGTGCAAGTTTCCTGTCAAACACCAACATCTAACGAGGCAGACATGAAATCATTCTCATTTTACTGTCTTTTCATGCAAATAAACATTGTGTCCATCAGTTAGACTTTATCTAGTTACATACCAGGACATACTTGAAAACGAGAGAAATCTCACTGTATCTTTTCAGGTAAAATATTTTATAAATAAATAAATTTAATGAATAATCTGCTTATTGCATAGTACTTAATTTATTTATCTATTTTTGTTCCCAATCAAATACCGTGATTAACATATTTTTTTCAAAACACTTCTTTTCAATTTGCATTTATCTAACCAGAACCCATAAATAGGAAATTTGCCCTTATTTAAATGTATTTCTCAAACTGTGCATCATTGCTAATTACATCTAGATTTGCCAGAACCTTAAAAGGGACAAAAAAGGCACCCAGATCACGTCATCTCATTGAAGTGGTCTACGTGCCGTTTCCCTGTCCCTTTTAGTCCTGCAATGTAAAACATTGCAGTTTTAGGGACAGCCTAAAACATTGCAGTTTTAGAGACATCCTCTAATGGCTGTCTACCAGAGAGGCGCAAGAGTTGCTTCCTGGAGTTTAGATCTCTAGGTCGCCTATACGACACTGGCAAACCTCACACTCTGCACGAGGACATCCAGTATCAGTGAAAGCTCCATAGGAAAGCATTGTGTCAATGCTTTTCTGTGGGGAGGGCCTAATCGGGTGAAGAAGGCGGAGGGTCGACCCAGAGCGAAGAACAATGGTGCTAGAATTGGATAAGTGATTATAGGGTTTTTAACCCTTTATGTACTGCAAGGGGGGGGCCGCAACGGAGGGGGAGACTAAAGGTCACTATAGTGTTAGGATTACAGATTTGTATTCCTAACACTATAGAATCCCTTAAAGCATACAACATTTAGAAGGCTCATATTATACATAAGGGAATGATTTATTTATACAAGAACTAAGAATTACTATATATGCATCACACGTTAAAGGGACACTATAGTCACCTGAACAACTACAGCTTAATGTAGTTGTTCAGGTGAGATCTATAGCTCCCTGCAGGCAATCCAATGTAAACACTGTATTTTCAGAGAAAATACAGTCTTTACATTGATTGATAGGAATACCTCCAGTGGCCGTCACTAAGACGGCCACCAGAGGGACTTCCTATCATGTAGGGCCCTAAAAAGGCCTTGTACACGTCAGACGTATTAAAATACGTCTGACGTGTGCAGGAGAGAGAAGGCACTATGTGCGCGCCTTCTCTCTCCTGCCTGTCGGGCAAAGACGGTAGTGCGCTCAGGACTTCAGAGGGCGGCATGAATGTATGTGCGCATGTGCGGTGAAGCCGTGCATGCGCACAAGGGAGCAATGACGCTTCCAAAAGGAAGCGTCTGATTGCTCCCTGCTCGCGCCCGCCTATTTAGTCATTTTGACGAAATAGGGGGCGCGGATTCACGAGGCTCCCGGCGCTGGAACCAGGTGAGTAAAATCCTCTACCTTGGGAGTCCCTTTAATCTCAAATCTGTTTTTTTTTTACTAATAACTATATCCTCCCCTTATCCTTTGTCAGCATTATTAATGTAAGTGCACTTATAGTTTACACAACATCTGAAGTGATGAAGGTTGCCTACACCTGTCCTATAATGGCATCCACGAAAATGGGACTCCGCCATAGTATAGCCTGAAAAAAGAAATATACAAAGGGGAAAAAATATACACAAACCTTGAAATCCCAACATCCACTATGTATATATTACGGCTCAAAATTATTGCTTGCATCTCTGCACCATCTGAATGAACATCTGAGAGGTCCAAAAGGGGAGTTTAAAGGAACACTATGATGTTATTAAAACAAGCCTGTATTCCAAAAACTACAGCACCCATGTCTCCTTAGTTATATCCAGTGTAAACATTTGTAATCATCTTTTTCCAGTAATCAAATTTCCTCTGTGCTGCTCACCTCCCACAACGTCACCGAGAAAGCATGGCCTCCTCCGCTGAAGGTCCAATGAAATGCTCCTCATAGAGAAGCATTGGGGACCTGATGAGCAAGTGCAGCAAGTGACGTGAGGGCTTCCAAGCTTCTCGTCGTTGGTGCTGAAAAAAAATGCTAATTCAAACATTTATTTTTATTATTTTATATGTTTTTAAATAAGGACACTAAAGCAATAGGAATAGAGGTTTGTATTCCTAAAGCTATAGTGTTCCTTCCTTTAAAGCTACTACCAGTGAGTTTACTCTACTTTTGATAATAGGTAGTTATACGTTATATTTTTATTTGAATTGATATCAAAATAGGTTGGCAATTTTAGATTCATTTAGTCTTTTTTCATGCGGGTTTCACTGCAATACAGAGTTTAGTATAGATATCAATAAAAAAAATAAAGTGTATAACTATAATGTATGTATATATACACACACACACACACACACACACACACACTTTGTACTTTTTCCATTTTCTTACACTGTACACAGTAGGGAGTTTTAATTAGTGCTGTGTAATTATCATAGTGTGTCAGTGAATGTAAATTAATCTTATAATCAGACTAGCTGGTGAGGTGTCTGCCTGGATAAAGAATGACAATAAAAGCATATTATTCCCATTGATGGTGACCATGCTCATGGCCTGGAGCTCTCATTGTGCAGTATACATAGTGAGTGTGTATCAGCCTCCCTCCCTCCCCCTTCCCCTCCCCTCTCCTCCCCTCCAGCCCCCCCATGGCCCTCTCATGCTGGTTATTAAAGGGATAGACACACAGCCATATTGGACGTTGGATGAACCCGACCATCAGGCTTCCTGAGCCCACACACAGCGGCGGGAGAGAGGGAGCGAGGCCTGGCTGCACTCACAGACCGGGGACTGGCCTGGCTGCGCCCACAGACCGGGGACTGGCCTGGTTTTAGCTGCCGGACCCGGCCCTCGCAGGCCGCCGTACTAGGCCTTGAAGCCTAACTCGAGTGATCGCAGGGCTCCTGGAGACCGAGGCGTTTCGAGGCCCAGCCGTCTGCCTCCCTCCCCCCGCAGGAGCCTCGGCTTCTCCCCAGCAGGCAGCCTGAACTCCACGGCCCAGCACCGGGAGAGGCCGGGGGCCGGCGGCGGCGGAGTGTGCCCGGAGCCGGATACCCGCGGCCCGGCTGCTCCCGAGCCCGCTCCCTCCGCCTCGGCCGGGTCGGCCATGTCGAAAAACTACGACGCGGTGGAATTCCCGTTCTGCGATGAGGTATCCAAGTACGAGAGACTGGCCAAGATCGGCCAGGGGACCTTCGGGTGAGTGGGGGGATACCGGGAATGGCAGAGCTATTCACTAACCTGCGAGATATAACGCTGAACACATACAGAGCTATTCACTAACCTGCGAGATATAACGATATACACACAGAGCTATTCACTAACCTGCGAGATATAACGCTGAATACACACAGGGCTATTCACTAACCTGCGAGATATCGATATACACACAGAGCTATTCACTAACCTGCGAGATATAACGCTGAACACACACAGAGCTATTCACTAACCTGCGAGATATCGATATACACACAGAGCTATTCACTAACCTGCGAGATATAACGCTGAATACACACAGGGCTATTCACTAACCTGCGAGATATAACGCTGAACACACACAGAGCTATTCACTAACCTGCGAGATATCGATATACACACAGAGCTATTCACTAACCTGCGAGATATAACGCTGAATACACACAGGGCTATTCACTAACCTGCGAGATATCGATATACACACAGAGCTATTCACTAACCTGCGAGATATAACGCTGAACACATACAGAGCTATTCACTAACCTGCCAGATATCGATATACACACAGAGCTATTCACTAACCTGCGAGATATAACGCTGAATACACAGGGCAATTCACTAACCTGCGAGATATAACGCTGAACACACAGGGCTATTCACTAACCTGCGAGATATAACGCTGAACACACAGGGCTATTCACTAACCTGCGAGATATAACGCTGAACACACAGGGCTATTCACTAACCTGCGAGATATAACGCTGAACACACAGGGCTATTCACTAACCTGCGAGATATTGATATACACACAGAGCTATTCACTAACCTGCGAGATATCGATATACACACAGAGCTATTCACTAACCTGCGAGATATCGATATACACACAGAGCTATTCACTAACCTGCGAGAGATAACGCTGAATACATACAGAGCTATTCACTAACCTGCCAGATATCGATATACACACAGAGCTATTCACTAACCTGCGAGATATAACGCTGAACACACAGGGCTATTCACTAACCTGCGAGATATAACGATATACACACAGAGCTATTCACTATCCTGCGAGATATAACGCTGAATACACAGGGCAATTCACTAACCTGCGAGATATAACGCTGAACACACAGGGCTATTCACTAACCTGCGAGATATAACGCTGAACACACAGGGCTATTCACTAACCTGCGAGATATAACGCTGAACACACAGGGCTATTCACTAACCTGCGAGATATAACGCTGAACACACAGGGCTATTCACTAACCTGCCAGATATAACGCTGAATACACGCAGAGCTAATCACTAACCTGCCAGATAGATATCTCTATCTCTCCACTCGTGAGCTCACTTCGGCGGGGAACATACATACACACACACACACACACACGGCTATTTACTAACCTGCCAGATATCGATATATATATACACACACACACCCACACAGGGCTATTCACTAACCTGCCAGATAGCGATATACACACACACACAGGGCTATTCACTAACCTGCCAGATAGCGATATACATACACACACGGCTATTCACTAACCATATACACACACACTAGAAATTGTAATGTGTACCTGAAGTAATATTGCTTTCGGATGGGCAGTGTGTGGAAAGTGCTCATCGATAGTATGTAGGATTCCTATGTTCTTTGCAGAAGATCAATTAAAGGGACAGTATAGTCACCCAGACCACTTCAGCTCAATGAAGTGGTCTGGGTGCCAGGTTCCCCAGGTTTTAACCCTTCAGATGTAAACATAGCATGTTTACATTGCAGGGTTAATCCAGCCTCTAGTGACTGTCTTCCTTACAGCCTCTGGATGCAAAAATCGCATTCAGCGTGCAGAACGTCCATAGGAAAGCATTGAGAAATGCTTTCCTATGTACTGTTTGCACGCGCGGCTGCGCATGCTCTTGACGCGCATGTGCATTTCGCTCCACTCGTGAGCTCACTTCGGCGGGCAAGGAGAGGTCACCGGCGCAGGATAAAGATAAGTAACCCCTTCAGCGCCAAGGGAGGGGGACCCTGAGGGGGGGGTGGACCTAAGGGTTATATAGTGGCAGGAAAACGAGTTTGTTTTCCTGACACTATAGTGATCCTTTAAGGAATGAAGCTCTAGTTGGCTTTTTAGGGATTCCTCCTTGATTAATTGATTTTCCTTCCTGGAGCATATGTATTGTCAGGGCCGCCATTAGGGGATGACAGCCATAACGGTTGTCACTGACCCAGCAGTCCTGGGGGGCCCCCACAATTACTCTTTGCACCTATATATAGCGATGATCGCTATAAATAGGTGCATCTTTCTTGTAGGCGGTTTGTGGAAATTTGCATATTGCTTTTGTTATTGACATATTTGTATAAAATAAAGGATTTTTTTTTATATATTTGTTGTACCACTCACACATTGTTTCTATTTATTTTTAATTTTTTGTCTGACTGTAAACTTATGGCACGCATAAATTTAGCAAGCCCGTGTGTTTTTTTTTGTTTTTTTTTTTGTTTTGTTTTTTTTGCAGTTTGATTTCTAATGAAATCAAACAAGTTTGTTTTATTTTTATAGCGTGCTTTTTTAAAATTTTGGATACAGAAATGTAAAGATTTATATAATGACTACCCAGTGTTGTGGAGAATTAAGAAGGAAAGAGCATATTTAGATGAGGGAAAAAGTAAAGCAACTTTGGCCTCAATTTAGTATTGTTGGATACGTTTTCCAGATTATTTAAGATTTTTGGATTTAAAATTGATTTAATATTGTAATATTTATAGATTTTTTTGATATGGGTCTTTATTTTTTATATATATATATTATTTACATTTTTAAAAGTTGATCCAAAAATATTAAATCATTTTGGAAAGCCTATCCAACTATTAACTCAAGGCATTTGTCCTACAATTTGCACTTCTTGATAAACTGTCCACATTTTCTCAATTTAAAAATAAATACCATTGACAGTTAGAATCCTGAACAATTATGGTTAAAGTCTTGGTGGTATGATTGTCATGCTTAATTTTTTTTAACTTTCTTTTCTGGGTGTACAGAGAAGTGTTTAAGGCGAAGCATCGTCAAACTGGGAAGAAGGTGGCACTTAAAAAAGTACTGATGGAAAATGAGAAGGAAGGGGTAAGTCTGAATGGCATTCTAATTATCAATGGTGAATTAATTGTTATTATGATTAGCCACCAATTTCAGTATAAATAAAAATTTTGTCTCTTTAACTGCTTGTAAGTTGGAAAATATGGTTTTGCTCCCACCCCTTGGAGTACGCATGCTCCATATCTCTGATATTTATTTTGTTTGTAAGGTATTCGTTTATGAATCCAACATAAAAGAGAGAAATCCAAAAAACAAACGTCAAATTTTAAAATGGTATTATTTCTTCTAGTTTCCAATCACAGCTTTGAGAGAAATTAAGATTCTACAGCTGCTGAAACATGAGAATGTGGTCAATCTCATTGAGATCTGTAGAACGAAAGGTAAATATAATTCTTTTATTATTGCATGACTTTTTGGTGTACGTGTGGTAGGTGGAGGGCTAAAGTGCATGATTGGGGTGCTTGGCAGTGGGGCAACACTGATGCATGGGGTATTTATTAATGATACACCTAGTAGAGATGTGATAGGGCATCTAAATACATGCAAGGCTTCTTCTATGACAACTCGTCATAGTGTACTTGTCATGGTACTAATCATGTTTAAAGGGTTACTCCAAGAACCGTGACCACTTCACTGATGCAGCTTGGAGTCTGTATGTGCCACATTTCAATTTAAAACACTGCTCATACAGAGTTAAAGATATTTCCTTCCCGAGGTATAATTCCACCTCAGCTTTATAAGCTAGCCCAGAACAAGAGTTGTGTGCTGGCTACTAGACAAGTACCAGTAGCACTGGAGCTCTGTGGTAGAGGTCCGCTAACCTCCAAATATATCCACAAGTAAAGAGCCACAGCATAGGGTGAACCAGATAGTTTGTTTTTTTTATTGGGGGAATACAGAACAAAACAAGGATACGATTTTTGGCCTAACGGCCAAAACATTGTTTCCTTGTTTTGTCCTGTATTCCAAAATAAACAGATCTGGTTCACTCTACGCTGTGCAGCCAGTGGCTCTTCACTTCTGTCAGTTCTGTTTGCATTTGGCATCTGTCATCAGCATGCCGGCAACAGACGAGTTAAAACAGAAAACCAACGCAACCTGAGAATGATGGCGGTGGAGTGAGAGGTAGGTTAGTATAAATGCTCCTAAAGCAAATAACTAGATCATTAATCTTTTATAAGAACGTTTGAAAAGTATCCCACTTCCCATTTTTAGTAACATTAACTCATTTGTGACACAAGACCAGTGCCTCATACATTGACATGCATTGATGACACACTGGTGCACTTTTTGCTGAGCACTGTATGGCTGCCCAATAAACCCCTTCAAGAGCATTTTAATATGATTAGGAAAATAACGGTCTCCATTTCAAAGGCGAAAGTTCCTCTTTATTTGTCTTATCTGACTTTCCAAATGTTGTTCATTGTTTTGGTTTTATTATTGTCCATTCAAACCTTCCTACAAATCCAGAATGTGCTAATCTGGAATGATACAAGTGATAACCTTATTAAAAGAACTGAGTGCCTTGACACTGAACGGGAATTAAACGTTAATCCTCATTACAGCTATAGGATTAAAAAACACAATTTTATTTTTTTTCATAATGTTATCACAGAGATTTATAACGGATTTAGCTAACCTAACTAGCTCGGAAACAATAGTATAATCTTAAACTTTTATTTGAGCAGGAAGGAGTTAATAGTAGCCTTTCTCTCATATGGTTTATATTAAGAGTATCCAGGCAAACTAATTGTCCTAGCTAGATTATATGTATATGTCAGTTTTTTTTTTATTTTATTTTTTTATAAAGTTTATTAGGTGATGCATGTGTAAAGGGGAAAGATTTAGTCAGCGTGTCACAACGTATTTCTTAGTTAAATTTATACGAGCATGCATCTGGTGGTAGTGGTGAAAACATATTTGGGGAGATGTATAATAAACTCAATATATCTACATTGCTAAAAACATAAGCTCTATTAACAGTGCTCATTCATTTGTGGAGCATTAGATACTTTTATTGGAGGTGCCTAAATAAACTTCTGATAGTTGTGGATTCAAAATAAATGTGTACAAATATGGATCCTATGACATTTATTTCTATTATAGTAAAGTCAAAGTTTCAGACCCACTATTTGAATTCTTTATTCAAATGGTAATCTGCTGTTTCACTGACTTTTTTAGGTTTAAGTACGTAATATGCCAGTGCACAGTTTCTCAATTCTGTCAGTTTATACATCTCCTCATTTTGTTTGGTGTTTTTTATTTTGCATGTTCCATGTGATTTGCTGTATAATGCTTATGCTGTGAATGTCAGAGCGTTTTCGAGACTTTTTTGCCCACCTAGTTTCTCCCACAGCAAACCAATACAACAGATGCAAAGGCAGTATTTTCCTGGTATTTGATTTCTGCGAGCACGATCTGGCCGGCCTGCTGAGCAATGCGCATGTCAAGTTCACTCTTTCCGAGATCAAGAAAGTGATGCAGATGCTTCTGAACGGCCTGTATTACATTCACAGGAACAAGGTCAGCACATGCTTAATCCAGGGATGCAACATATTGGTCTATTTGCATGCTCTGATTTTGTTTGTACATCCTGTTTTAATTGACACTGTTTTTGTTGGGTTTTTTTTAACAGATTTTGCATAGAGACATGAAAGCGGCAAATGTGCTCATTACAAGAGATGGAGTCCTCAAACTTGCAGATTTTGGCTTAGCCAGAGCATTTAGCCTTGCTAAGAACAGCCAACCAAACCGTTACACAAACCGCGTGGTGACCCTTTGGTATCGCCCTCCTGAGCTATTATTGGGTAAGGATTTAAACCTTAAAAGCAGCAAAATGCTGCAAACTGCTGGCTTACATTTTCAGCAGCTTAGAGCTGTTTTTACTGGGGGTGGGTGTATTTTCTTTTTGGTCAGTATCATATCTATATAGTAATATATATTTATTTTTTTCACATAGAAGTGTTAAAGGCACATTGAGACATAGTTGAATATGGATATAAAAGTAATAGGATTTACCTTGTGCATTTTACTGTCTGCAAGAAACTGATTTTGAAAACTGTGAGGGAGAGCCAAGAGGTAATTTAACTAACCCATGTGCAATGACTGTTTCCTACTTTCAGTCAGAATGCGTGTACAAGTCTTAATCTGGCCAGTCATTAGAACAGCTCACTGTCTGATATAAAATGTAGACTTTGTGGTGCAATACAATTAAAACAGATTTACAACACATGAAGAATGCCTGTCCAGTCTGTTTGGGCTACATTTCAGTGGCTGAGCTTAATGGGTTACTCCAAGTGGGCTATAATGGTTAAGATGCCTGGGGTACCCTGGCACGGTTCACCAGTAAAGGGGCAGACTGCTCAGCAACGATTTGTCCTCTTACCTGGGTCCCCACCAGTCACTGAGGTTCTTTTCTACACTGGTGATGTGCTCTGGCTTCTGCAGAGCTGCCGAAACAAACCCAATCCAGTCACCATTTATTGGCTGAGAGTGTCAGGTGACCACTCTCAGCCAACGAATGGCACACTGCGCATGAAAATGTATACAGAATTAGACATTAGTCAGCACGGGATTCTTGTTGCTGGCTAATGATACCCCAGTGACACTACTGGAGGTGGAGTTACTGGCAGCAAAGTGGTTAAACTTTGTATGTGAAGCATTTCATACTGAAATGTTGCACATAGACTCCAGGCAACATTACCACTTTAAATCAATTCAGAGGTCATGGTGCTTGAGGTATATGTTAACAGGGACACTCTAAGCACCATAACCATTGCATCTTATTTTGTAGTGGTTATGTTTGGCAGTTGTCCCTAAAAACTTGCTTTTTATAACCATGTCATATTTGGGATTTTTAACTTCAATAATGATGCGCAACCTATGCTCTACTTTAACACATGATGTTAGTAGGATAAGGGGATGGGGGGGACAATTTGTAGATTTTCAGGAACCGCAACCTAGTGTCATGATCACTACAAAAATCTTTGGTGCTTATAGTGCTTGGACTGTCTCTTGACATTCAAGCAATATAGTATGTTCTAAATAGTACAGAGTATCTTCCTGTACAAGGTAAATGACTCTCGGTATGTACGTTTGCTTGTTTGAGTAAAGTGGGGTTACTAGGAGTGAATGAACTGGCAGCGTGACCTTTAAACTCAGGAGGCTTTTAAAAATCACATTGCCCGAACTGTTCTAGTGTTTCCGGATCTCTCTCCCAGCTGTTCTTTGAAAATGTAATAGATTGATAAACACACACTAATTAAGCATTAAATTAATTTATTTCAGGAGAGCGTGATTATGGCCCCCCAATTGACTTGTGGGGTGCAGGTTGCATAATGGCAGAAATGTGGACAAGAAGCCCCATCATGCAGGGAAATACAGAGCAACATCAGCTGACACTAATCAGTCAGCTATGTGGGTCCATTACACCAGAGGTGAGTACAATTTTGATGAGGGCCTCTTCTAGCTTACCATGGTTGTTATTGGGCAGTTTACTCTTGGGATCTTTGGTACCATTTCCTATTTAACTTGCTGAGCATCATTGGACACATAGTTCACTCTTGTTATGATGCGTTTAGTGGAGTTATTGTTAAATAAATAGGAATTTTAGATCACAGCTTTTTGTCCTATCTTTGGTGGCAATTTTTATATTTTTTCATTGCACTGAAAAAAATAATTGATTACATTCGAAAGTAACAGACTAACAAAATTTGTAAAATACATTCTTAATTATTTATAACCCCCCTTCAATAAAAAGTTAACATTTTTTGTTTATGCAGACAACCTGCATAGTGGTTTCTGACTTGACACACACACTTCCCACATTAAATATGCACTATGGCTGTCTTGCCATAGTGCTTTTATCCAAGTCTAGTTTTATAGAAGTTGATGCCATGTCTTTTCTCCTCCTTGCAGGTCTGGCCTAATGTTGACAAATATGAATTATACCAAAAGTTAGAACTCCCCAAAGGCCAGAAGAGGAAGGTGAAGGAGCGACTAAAGGCTTATGTAAAAGACCCCTATGCACTGGATCTTATCGATAGGCTGCTCGTCCTAGATCCTGCACAGAGAATAGACAGTGATGATGCACTCAACCACGACTTCTTTTGGTCCGATCCAATGCCTTCTGATTTGAAGAACATGCTCTCTACCCATAACCAATCTATGTTTGAGTATTTAGCACCTCCCAGACGAAGAGGTGGTCACATGCCCCAACAACCAGCAAATCAGGGAAGGAACCCAGCAGCTGCCACTAACCAAACAGAGTTTGACAGAGTATTCTGAGGGCATTGTAGACTGTACCCACTCCATCCTGTATTTTATTTTGTGCTTCCACAAAGATATATAGAGGAAAGAAAAATCCTTAAATCACTGCCTTCAATGCAGAAATGTTGTTGTGCGTGAGGAATACTCATTTTATTTTTGAAATCACGTCAGAGACTTTGTGATGGACATTTTCGTCTGGTATACTGGTCCTCCCTGGATTGTTACTGATGGGCACAGAGACTGCATCTGAACTTCATTCAAATTCAATAGATGAGCACTTTTGCAATTACTTTCTAAACATTGGGAAACCCATCTTTTGGCACTATTAAGACACGAATCCTTTCCTGCTTTCAAAAAGCGTTTGTTTTACCTTACCTAAAGAGGAGGAGAAAAAAAAACTAATTTTTATTCCCCATTTATTATATACTTGAATTAAACAAATTGTGCTGTTCAGGTGTGGCGGGTGGAATCTCGCACTTTTATATTGCGTACCGGGCGCATGCTGTACAGTGCATCGATTATGAATTTCCATGTTGTTTGTGCATCGTTATATCTATGCATTTGATACTAGACTGTAAATTAAATGGTTATGCTTTCGTATTGGTCTTGTGTAGATGTCCAATTATTTTCTGTGATTCTCTCTAACACACCTCTGTGCTGCATTGTCAGAGGAGAGAAAAGGGGGTAAAACTTATTTTTTTTTTTTTTTTATTCTTCTTCTTTCTAAATACACCTTGACACATCTGGGTAATCCCTCAATCCTGGACTGGTAGGCATGTGTTGAGGACTGGAAACCACTGAGGTAGAGTCTTTAACTTAGAAGTTGCTAGATAATAAGTTATACTTCTCTTAAAGCATCCTGAAACTAAGAATTTAAGTCTAACCAGGACAGGTGTAACAGGACAGGTGGTCATTGTTATAGACGTAAGACCATTCCCTTTGGCAAAATACACAGAGAGCAGGTACACAATGTGAAATGCTCATTAACGTAAAACACAGGTTCTTAACACGAGTTGAATAAGCAGATTCCTTTATTGCTCGTGCACAAGAAGACTGCCCTCCCTCTATATAAAAACACATTCCTTATATACAGTGGAACAGCATAGTGACAGTATCTTGATGTATGCAATAAAAACATAGTAACCTGTAATTAGTTGCCTCTAAACCTACTGATCCTGCTATGGTCAGTTCAATCTACTTCTGAATCAATCTCTCCTGACCATTCACTAAGGTGATAACCCAGCTTTACCGGTTTCCATTATGATCATTTAATATCAAAACTGCTTCTTATCCTCCTCCAACTATTTCCAAAAGGAATAAGGAGGAAGCAAAAATACCTATCATATACTCATGACGGCCCTTAGGGTAATTAGCAGACACTGGAAATCACCTATGCCAATCACTGAATTTATACAAATATTAGAAACTACAAGACTCTATGAAATGGCTGCCAGACGAACCTCTTTCCCCTCCAAAGAAGGACTGGCTAGAGGCATGCGACGATTGGCGCCAATACATGGAGAGCAATAATTCCTCCCCGAAATGAGATGGCATTCCGATTGCAAACCGACAGCTGTGTTCCTCAGGGCACGAGACCATGTCAAAACATGTAAATAACGGTACTGAAAAAGGTCAATGTAAGTCACTTCACGCCTGGGAGTGACACTCACTTCCCTGTTCTTCCCGCCCCCCAACTATTTTCCCTTTTTCCCAGTGGCATCCTGGATAAGGAATATGTAAGTCACCAATACTGTACTTGAAGCACGCATGACCTGATTTGCTCAAATAAGTGCAAACTTTTAGCGTAATACTCCAGATGGAAATTGAATATTCAATTTGTATACTGTATAATACACCTAAATTGCTAACAATGAGTCACTAATGGTATGTGCCTATACCACTGTACTGAGTATGTTTACGCCTGCCACTGCTTTCCCCCCACCCTTTCTTCTTTCTGTATCCCCCAAAAGATCAATAAAAATTGTCAAAGATAAAAAAATAAAAAAAGTTTCTTATAATAATACTACTTGGCGCAAAGAGCACAGCCATGTCCTTACTTAAAGGGATCCTATAGTGCCATGATAACAAAGCAGTTTTCCTGGCATTATAGGGTTAATAGCCTCCCCCCACCCCCTCGTCACATCCACCCTTCTATGGGCCTGAATGGGTTAAAACCCGTTCAGCAACTTACCTGAATCCACCACCGATGTCCCTCACGCTGGGTCAGGCTCCACCCTTGCTCGGCTGATGGCAATGGCCGCGCGCGCATTAGACCTCCAGATAGGAACGCATTATTCAATGCTTTCCTATGGGGAAAATCTGAAGTTGGAGGTCAGCCATTGAAGGCAGACTTGGATCTGCAATGTAAACATTGTAGTTTATCTGGAACTGCAATATTTACCATTGCAGCACTAAGTGCAAAAGGGGTCACAGCACCCAGACTATTTCCATGAGCTGAATTAGTCTGGCTGCCTGGTGTCCATTTAACCCTTCAAGTACACAAAGTCACACAGAGGGCAAACATGGCTGATATAAGAATAATATGGCGGCTTAAGAGCTAATGTACTATCTCAACATTCACAACAATAATATAAATAACCTGCATTTGCCATACCCTAAGCCAGGGGTGCCCAAAAGGTAGATTCCAAGATGTTGTAGAACTACAACTCCCATGATGCTTTGTTTTAAATATTTTTATTGGTATCATGTCATAAGCGTGGTTTACGATTGTATTTGAACATTACAGTCGGTTGCCTGCGCAGAGGCGTGTTTCTCGTTGCGGTGATCGGAACAATCAGTTGCCTGCGCAGAGGCGTTTTTTCATTGCATCTAACATAACGTTTAGTTGCCTGCGCAGAGGCTTGTGTCACTGTGTATCTACCATAGCGTTTCGTTGCCTGCGCAGAGGCTCGTTTCACATTGCAGCAGATGTGTCGTTTAGGTGCCTGCGCAGAGGCGGTTCGAGTATTTTACTTTTAACTTTTAACTATATAATGTAATATAATTATTAGCTATCATAGTGTGCGTGCTGTGTATGGTCTGGCTGGTGTGTGTGTTGTTTGATGAGTGTGGTGCATATTCTGATGCTTGTTTTAGGACTTGTCACATGTCGCAGCGCTTTTTTATCACATCTATAGTGGATTTTGCCTGCGCCGCGTGCGCTCAACCCGTTCCTAGGGCTGTGTGTGTTGAGGTATTGAGCTGGTATGTGTTGTGGGTGCTTATTGCGTCTCGGGCTACTGGACTGCAGTCACTTAGTCGGTGTCTTTCCCACACGTCTCATTTGTGGCCCCTGCTGTCTCGTCCTATTTTCCTGCTTGTTGTCGTGTGTTGTGCCAGGTCTGTTGCGGTCTCATGGGCAGCACAGCTTTCGAGTGGGTTTGTTATTGCGGCCCGTGTTTCCTGTGTTCTTGTCGGTAGTGTGGGGGCATTTGTGTTACGCTGTTTCATCCTGTTCTATCCGTGCTTGTTCGCTGTAGTTCCTCTATATATTCCCTGGTGTATCTTGCGGGTGTCGCCTTAGCCGGTGGTTGGTGTAATATTATGTGTCTCTGTTTCCTGAGTCCGGTAATGTGACCCTCTCTTATGCCTAAGGTCGATGTCTTGAGTGTTAGTGTGTGTGGTCGTGTCCTAAGTGAGTGAGCGAGGGGGTTGTGGGTTGGTGGTCTGTTATCTAGTCCCCTGTCGCCGCCCCGTTCCGCTCAGCCCCCGGGCTTCTCGGCTCCCCGCTCGGGCCCGCCTCCTCTCGCTCGTTCCTCTCGGGGGTGTTTGCTGCTAGGTGACTTTGGAAGGGGTCAGACGCGGTGTGGCGTAACCAGTAGAACCAGCGTTGTGAGTAGCGGTCCCTTTGTTGCGTGGTGACGGCTTTCATGTCTTCGAATTTTCGCGTCGCTTCCACTTCTTCTACCCAGCGTCTCAGTGGGGGTGCAGTGGACTGCTTCCAATAGATGGGGATGGTCGCCTTGGCCGCGTTTAGTAGTCTGGGGATGATGGATCTGATGTATGCCTGTGTTGGCATTGTAGTTTTGTGTAGGAGGAAGGCGGCCGGGGTCTCTGGCAATAATTCATCTGTTACTTCGTGTATAGTTTGCCTGATCGTCTCCCAATATGGACGGATCTTGGGGCACTCCCACCAGATGTGTGTGAACGTACCCACTGCTTCCTCACATCTCCAGCAGGTGTCAGTTATCTCTGGGTTTCTTGCATGGAGCCTTGATGGCGTCAGGTACCACCTGGTGAAGATTTTGTAGGAATTCTCCTGTAGGCGTGCTGAGGCCGGTGTTTTCTGTATTAAGGTGATGAGTGTGTCCCATTCTGCCTCTGTCATGGGTTCGTCTAGGTCTTCCTCCCACTGTCTGACGCATGGGGGTGCCAATATGTATCTGCTCGTGATTAGGGTCGAGTAGATCTGTGATATGGCCCGTGGCGGTTCCTTGTCTTGCATACAGAGGTGTTCAAACGATGTTGGGTCCCTCAGGAGGGATGGTTTCTGAGGGATGGATCGGGCGTATTGTGTCATTTGCGCTCTCTGGAGTGTGTGTATGAAGGTAAGAGGTCTATCTGGGAATAGTTCGTGCAGTGGTCGTATGTCAAAGGGGTTCTGGAGGATGTCCTTCATGCGGATGATTGGCTTGTGTCCTATTGGGTGCGGGGTTGGGCCCATGTCCCCTGCCGGGAAGTCTGGGTTGCCTCTCAAGGGGAGAAGTGGGCCGGGGTCTGTCGTCAGATATTGTTTCGCGCCCTGTCTGTGCCAGACTTGCATGGTGGCCGCCACGAATGGGTTGTTGATGTGTTTGTGTTTGTATGTTGCTTTTGGGATCCAGGGTAGCGTCCTGAGGTCGCAGTTGGTCGTGTCTGATTCCAGTTGGGTCCACAATTTCGTGCCGCTGGCCACCGTCCAACTGATGATTCTCGTGAGGTGTGCCGCTTGATAGTACTTTTCGAAGTCCGGTAGTGCCAGTCCCCCACGGAGTTTGGGCAGGATTAGTTGGGCATGTGCTACTCGGGGGGACTTGCCCTTCCATATGAATTTGCGGACTTCCGTTTTCAGTGCCGTGAAAAATGATGGTGGGGCTGTTATTGGAACTGTTTGAAATATGAACAATAGTTTGGGGAGAAGCGTCATTTTGACCGCGTTTACCCTTCCTAGCCATGATATGTAGTAGGAGTTCCAGTTGTGTAGTTCCTCCGTCGCCTTTTTTAGTATTGGGAGGTAGTTTTGCGCATATAGGTCCGCTGGGTTGGGCGTGAGCCAGACCCCCAGGTATCGCATTCTGTGGTCGCACCAGCGGTATGGATGTTGTCTCTGGATCGTTGTTCTCAGCGCGTGGTTGACTGTTAGGTTTAGGATCTCCGACTTCGAGTGGTTGATTTGGAGGTTTGAAAGTTGGCCGTATACTTCGAATTCTGTCTGTATGGCCTGGAGGGAGGTCTCAGGGTTCGTGACCACAAACAATAGGTCGTCCGCGTATGCCAGGATTTTGTGGTGCATGTTTCCGATCCTGATTCCTTGTATGTCTGCGTTCTGTCGGATCTTATTGAGGAAGGGCTCTAGCGTCATTGCAAATAGTAAGGGTGAGAGCGGGCATCCTTGCCTGGTTCCGTTGAGGATGTGGAACGGGTCTGATAGTGCACCGTTGATCCTGATCCGCGCTGTCGGGTTCGTGTAGAGCGCCGTCACCCAGTTGAGGTATCTCGCCCCTATGCCGAATTGTCGCAGTGTTTCAAACATCGTGTCCCAGTCTACTCTGTCGAACGCTTTTTCCGCGTCTGTTGACAGGAGTAGTACCGGTGTCTTTTGCGTTTTGGCGTGGGCTATGATGTTCAGGGCCCGGATGGTGTTGTCCCTCACTTCCCTGCCTGGGATGAATCCTGTTTGGTCTGGGTGGATTGATGCGGGGAGCAGTGGCGCCAGTCTGGTCGCGAGGATGCTTGCGAGGAGCTTGAGGTCCGTGTTTAACACAGATATCGGGCGGTAGCTGGGGCACAGTGTTGGATCCTTCCCTTCCTTCGGGAGTAGGGTGATGTTGGCTGAGGTGAATTGGGCCGTCGGTGTGGCCCCATCTTGGATGGAATTAAGTGCCGCCAGGAGTTTCGGTGTCGTAACGTGTGTTAATGTTTTGTAATACTGGAGGGGAAGGCCGTCCGGTCCTGGTGCTCTGCCTGTTTTCGCTCTTTTGATGGCGTACGCTATTTCTTCTGGTGTTATAGGTGCTTCTAATGCTTCTCGTGCTATGTCACCTATGTCGGGCACGTTCGCGGAGTCCAGGTATACCCTGATATTTTCAATGATGTTTGTCCGTGGGGCTCCTGGGGCTGCTTGGCGGAGGTTATATAGGTTCTGGTAATAGGCTCGGAATGCTGCGGATATGTGGTCTGGCCGGTGTTTGAGTTGCTGTCTTGCGTCCTTGATCTTTGGGATGTAGAGTTGGGTCCTGCGTTGTTTGAGGAGGTTTGCTAGTAGCCTCCCGCATTTGTCCCCGTGTTCATGTATCATGTGTTTGTAGTGTTGGTATGAGCGTTGTATTGAGCGATTGAGATGTGTGGTGAGTTGACCTCTTTTGGTTACCAGGTCCCCATACGTTGTCGCGTCCAGGGTGCGTTTATGTCTAGCCTCCAGGGCTGCTATGTCCCGGCTGAGGTCGAGGATCGCTTGTATCGCTGTCTTCTTGCGGGATGCGCTGATTGCGATAATCTGGCCTCGGATCACAGTTTTGTGCGCCTCCCAACATGTCAGTGGCGTCACGTCGTCGGTTTCGTTTTCCTCGAAGTATGTTCGTATGGAGTCGCTGATTTTATCTACCACTGTCGTGTCAGATAGGAGCGATTCGTTCAGCCGCCACGACATTTGTTTGGGTCTAAACAGCGGCGACTTCATCCGTATGCGGATCGGGCAATGGTCCGACCATGTCATCGGTAGGATCTCTGCGGTGGTGAGCAGGGTCAAGTTTTGATGTGGTGTGAGGAAGTAGTCGAGCCTTGTGTATGTTGCGTGGGTCCTTGAGT